CCGCCTTAACTATGCTACTGTTCAAATGATATGAAGAAAAGTACAAGTCTAAGCTGGAGAAATTAGCTTCTAACTTTTTCAAATATTCATACACCAATTAAACCACTGTTCATCCTGTTTTGCATGCATATATTTCAGGAAATGAAGCTATTGGCAGAGGTGGACCAACCAGGCAGCCTCATTGACAATTACGTGACCCAGTTGAGCTTTGTGCTTTCACGCAAGGCTGCTGGTCTGGTGAGTCTTCAAGCTCGCCTTGCCAGGTTCCAGCATCGACTGAAAGAGCAGGAGATACTGAGTCGGAAGAGAGTTCCTCGTTAAAGCAGCAATTTGTTCTCCGTTTCCATTACTCCATCAGATCCTGTTCTGTAATTTCCTCTCATGTATATCTTTTTGGCACTATTTGTCACGGTGGTCACTTACATTAAAAATATGCTATAGATGGATAAATTTTTCCCTTAAATGAATCAACTCGGTTCTGGCAGTCGATGCGCGGAGCTGTTCTAAGGTCTTGAGAGGAATTTCATCAGCATTCCACAGATCTCGGACTCTCCTTGCAGAGGCATCAATGTTGCTGTTCACGTGCGTGTTTCCTTGCTCATACAAAGAGGATTGGGGTGCATCTCTTACGTGAGGGGGTGAATTGTCAAAAATGTATTATTTTTAGATGAATCCGATGTGTTGTTGTTGAGAGATTGATATGGGTATGTGGCCTTTCTTCTGTTGCTGTTTAAATGGTAACAGGCAAATGTTGATTTCTAGGAAAGGAGATACAAGGAAAATAGGGCTTCTTATTTTCTTCCCCTTTTTTACATCTGTTTATTTGTACTCCCAAATTATATTTTGCTTTGTCACCTGGAAAAGAATCAGCTTGTGCATGTAAGGTTCTAGTTTAAGAAATATGAATGTCTTTGAATATTTCAAACTTCCCAATTTATTGAAATATTATGTACTCATTGATAAAGACTGCCTGAGCAGCAACTTTGGTATAAAACTTCTATGTTCTACATTGAGCAAATTATGTTACTAATAATGGAAATTTATAATAACTTTTATTCTAGCAAAAGTTAATAATCGGAAATATATATATATATATATATATATAAAATATCATGTGAGGAAAGTCCAAACTACAAAATCCATTCCTACTCAAAAGCTGTAAACAAAAAGCAAAGCACAATGGGTATAAACGGGAAAGAAGAAGAAGAGAGACCCTTTTTTATGGCATATGGAAAAAGATACAACCAAAAACCTGTTATTTCCAAGACAAACTCTTTGAGAAAGTTGTGCCCTACATTCTCATGGCTTGCATTTACAGTTAAAAAGTAACTCGGTCACGCCTTGTACACTACTATCATACTTTTGCCAAGTCATTATACTGAATACCCTAATCAGAAAAAGCAAACTCTTGCACACCATTCCAATTTCCTAGTAAAAAGCCTTCTCAGTAGTCAAACTAGATAAGGAGGCATACCTATACAAATCGGAAAAAAATAATTATAAAAATACCCGAAAGATGTTTCAATTGTAAATTCGTTTCCGGGTGCTGCAGCATGTACACACTTTCAATCATTCTGCTCTCAATTTTAAAATTTCTTTTGCGGTCCTTAATCGGAAATAGGGCATGTGTTCCTACAGAAGGATGGAAAATCACAACTCAGTTCAACGACAAAATCAAATCAACAGTTTTTTAATCCAGATAACTATTGACTTGACTACCATGACGTTAATCACATGAAGCAAATGATTTATAATGAGAATTACAAGCATAAGAAATTATTCTCCATGAGCATACCTGGTCAAAGTAAAGCCTTAACCCTCTGCTATAAAAGTCAATGTACTTTAACATAAACATGCCGCAATCAAACCTGTACATAAAGAAAGTTGTTTGAGGAAAATAATTTAAATTTTAATAGAAAAGGCCCACGTAATAGTTAATAATATACTAATTATGAGCACCCTAGGTGGGAGGAACTGTACTTTACTTCATTAATATGGGCTCATCAAAAATTTTGAACCAATTGCCATAAAGGGTTTGTAAAAAAGAATCAGATGTGTACAAAGCAACTGCACAATAAATTACTTAACAGTTTTATTTGTTTATGCAATAAGCTTAAGAAGAACAATTATTCTAACACTGATCCTTAAAACATGACTGGAGCAGGTATTGCAATACACACCCATTCTCCTGTGCAGGAAGGTCTTCAACATATTCTCGTTCCCAAGAACTGACATCTATGTCCTTTCCACTCTTGTCCTTGACTTCTTCAACAAAGTATTTTGCCTGGCACATACAACCAACATTAAAACAAGTTTTACAGAAGTGCCAAAAACTCGTGTATATAGATATACACCTCTTGTATTGTTTCTAGGGGGAAGAGCGGGAAGGGTTGGCTGGACCCTACTATCATGAATTAGACAGTAAAGGTTTAAAACATAAAGAACTAGTAGAGAAATGACTCTTGCAGCTAACAGGATCTTAGACTCCAAATCCACTTAAATATAAGCTGCATAATGCACTTTGAATCAATTAATTACATGCATCAAAATAACATGACATCTAAAGAAAAAAACATGTCACCGGAAATCTTACCAGTGAACTTAGCACTTTAGCATCTCTTCCTTTTAGTGAATCAAGATACTGGAACTTCCGATCTTTATTATTGATAACTGCCAAGCACCAATGTATGTCTTTGTGTATGGGGACAAATATCTGAGCAAAGTAGAATAATTGATTCAGGGATGAATACAATGTTCAATCACGCAAAACAAATGATTGTAGAAAGAAAAGATAAATACTTACTTTATCACAGTCAAATAGGCAGTACCCCAACTTCCTTTGTGAAGTCCATCTTTTGACAGCCCTAAAATTATAGCCACTCTCCATACTTACTAACTGAGCATCACAATTCAGAAGGAAAAGTAGTTGAGAAAATGATAGCCATAAAGACTTTTACATGAAAGAGTAAAGTTTAAGGAAGTTTAAGGTACACTAAAATTGAAGAAGAGCAAGCAACCACCTTTTTATAGAAGAAAGTGTTGAAAAAATGGCATTTCAGAAACTTCTCCGGCTCTCTATTTTCCCTTTCTTTGAGTAATTCAAGATAGAGATTAATAACCTACAAAAAAAAAAAAAGACGTGTGTAAAATACAGATTATTAGCTAAGTACGTTGTAATTGCATGTTGACAACTAACAAATCCTTCTAGTGAATACAAACCTCATCATTCAACCATGCGCCTGGTTTCAGACATTGCAAAACTTCTCCTCTAATATCAATGCTTGAGTTCTTATGAGAGACTAATATCTTCTTCCTGCAAAAGCAAGCACAAACAATGTTACAGCACAAGCGACATCCAGTCAAATAATCAAATACCAACACATGCATTATAACATACCAGTTTTTTGTAGAAAAAGCACGTGAAACCTCTGCCATCTCCTCCTCTGTAAGGGGGGTAAAAGGTTCACGAGGTACCACCTGAAATTTGATGACGTTAATGCCAATCAGTCTAAACAAATCACAACACTTTTTATTCTATTCTAGAATCAACAAAAATTCTTCAAAATACAATACCCAGACAATGCAACTCAAGTAAAAGCAAGCAGGCAAAGGAATTTCACCTCTTCTTGCTCCTCCTCTGGTTTCTGCTCTGGTCGCAATGCCTGAAGTGCAGCTCTACGCTTCTCATTCAACTCAATTTGAAAATCCAAATCTTTCAACTTGGGAGTTCTCCTCTCTGCACTCTCCAGCAACTTCCTATAAGCTTCTAAAGTAGACACATCAGCAACCTCCTGATTCAATGACAACATGTCCAACGCACTCTCCACTCTCAAACTCCCATTATTCAACTCAGTAACCACAGATGAAGACGATGGCTGAACATTCTTCTCTTCCTCCTGCGTATTATTCTTCCCTTTTTCAATAACCTCAACTTCTTCCACACTAAAATCATCCGAAACCGCCTCTTTTTCTTTCTCATCATCATCCTCCACAAAAACCACTTCTTTTTCCTTCTTAAAGTACCTCAAAACATCAAAAGCTTGCCTTTTCGCATTACTTAATCTACGACTCAAAACATTCCCCATCATATGGGTTTTAACTGAATCCTGACTAGGAATCAAAGCTGATAACCCAAATTTATGGTGTCTAACAGGGGCGTGAACTTCTCTAGGGAAAGGAAGCTTAGCTTCTGGATAACGAGAGATTCTCGAAACGGTGTTGCTAGAGGATACAATTGCTTTTTCTGGGCTTCGATTCATCAAAGAAAATCTGGGTTTTTTAGAAAGTTGAAAATCTGGGGAATTTGAATACAGGGCTTTGTTTTTGTGATTGAAATTGGAATTGAAATATTCGTCACCACCGCGTTTCCGATTACTTGCTAAAGCACCCATTGATGAAATGTACAAACTTCAAGCCCTAAAAACTCAAAACCCATTTATAGAAAACCATAAGAAAACATTTGGGAGGTTAGGGTTTTTATAAAACCCTAAAAGCTCATAAACCAGAATAACTGTTTTTACAGGGAAATCGTGAATACCCAGAATTTGAAAGATCGAAATTTATCAAAACCCCATAAAAAGATAGGAATTTTTTTTTTCTTGAGACTAAAAAGAACCAAGAACTTTCAAAGTGGAGAAAATAAGGGGGGAAAATGGGAAGATGAATAATGGAAAATCTGGGAAATTTTGCAGGAATTATCCGGTGCTGCTGCTGGCGCTGTAGTTGGGATCTAAACGAGAAGAACAGATTTAATTCGTTAAAGAGTTGAAAGGACTTGAGATTGGAAACGGGTTTTGGAATTTTTGCATTGGCTTTCGCGGTACAACGAATAAACAACTTGGAAACAACTTGGTACGGTGCGTTTTCAGGTTTATGTTTGGGAAACGGCATGTCCGGAGGGGACAGCTGTTTTAAAAATGATTTTGTTTGTTTGTTTGTTTCCTTTTAAGAAGGATTTTATTTGTTTCAGTACAATAATAATTCATGGAAGAGGTGGAAAATAAAAGAAAAAATTTCTTACTTTAAAGCTTTTGTACCATAAATTCTTGAATTCAGCATTGACTCCGTTGGGAAGTGATACAAGGAGTTGTGTTTCTACACTTTTATCATACTTTGATTTACATAAAATAATAACTCTGCAAAATAAAATAAAAAAATATTTGGTCACAAAAGAATTGCAATTGATTATTAGTAAAACTGCACAGGATGAGGATAGATGTCAGGTTTTAATCATCCTCTGCCCAAAGGTTAAAAGTTGCGCTCTTTTTACATCTGACACAGAGGGAAAACCAGGTGTGAGCAATTTTATGCTTTTAGATGAGATTCACACAAGCTGCACGACAGCAGCTACTCTTAGGGCCCCATTTTGGAGAAGATCAGCCAGCTCATCAAACAACAGAGCTGTCCTCCAGCCCCATCCCTTGGGAGCTTTTGGCAAGAGAGTGCCCCTCTGTTTGAAGCTTCCAAACACCATGACTTCTCGTTTTGATGGACAAATCAACTGCAAATTGTAACATCTTTGCATATTATTATTATGGCTGATAGCACAGAGAATGGGGTTGGAACTCTTTCTTTAACATGTTTCTTTACCTGATACCGGGCGGTCACCTTTTCGCGAGAATCGACGTATATGTGAACCTGAAAACAGGATGTTTTCTTATTACTCGAAAGCTCTGCTTACATTCTAATTTAATCATACAATAACCAATTCTTGGTCACCAAGATCTAAACAGCAAATGAAAGACCATCTCATGCTTTGATTTGGCAAAAGAGGGCTGACCTTTCTGAGAGAGTCAGTTATCTCAGCCTTCCGCCGGTGAAGAAATAATCCTAAAGTGGGGAAAAAATTGGGTTAGAAAACAAAATCGCAAAATCATCATAGTGACCTCAAAAAACACAGGATAAAAACTTCTGGAGGTTGATCCTTCCATGATTTGAAGATTACCTAGAGTCCGGCGTCCTTGAGGATCTTCATCATTAAAGGCCTGAACACTAACCTGTAAATTGAAGTAGATCTTAATTCAAATCTTCACACAAACATAGGATATGGAAATGATGTTATTTAGAATTCATGCATTTTAAAAAACCCTCATTCCAAATTCCTCATCCAAATGTATTCTTAGAGATACTATCAATGATATTTGGAATATATGAGATAATAAGACAGGTTTGGAGCAAAACTGAATCAGTAATGAGGTTCTGAAAGGGTCTTTATATTCAACTACCTTCCACAAAGAACCAGCATAAAAGAATTCTGGAGAGTGCTTGACTTGAGCATCACCAAGCCTGTGAACATCTTCAAATTCAACCCTGCAACCAGTAAATGATTTACAGAACATGTATCAGAATTGCTCTTCAACCTTTAAGTACCAAAAACGAAAAGGACAAATGCTGACACAAGATTGACAGATTTAACAGAGACAGTATAGAACAGATGGCACCCTAAAATTCAAAAAAATGTGGTTTGCTTCTCATTGAACATAAGAAGTGATCATCAGTTCAAAACAAGATCAACAGTGTTGATTCTATTAATTCTTAATGGAGGTAAAATGTACTACTAATAATATGTTATCTTCAAAATAAAGAGAATAATGCTCAAGTAATGCACTGAGTAGAAGAATTTCCACCATTAATTGTATAAACAAACCTCTGCAGTCTACAGAAGCTCCTGCATGGCTTCTTTCAACTTACAAAGTGCAAACCAATAGTTATATGTAACAGAGATAACTTACCCAAAACGAAAGGGAGGGAAGTGACTCAGAGGGGTTTTCATGTCCAATGATATAGAAGAACTAGTTGCATTCTCCCATTCAATTCCAATGCCATGTTCTGGGGACTCGAGCATCTGCATGGCAATCCCACTAGTAGCTGGCCCTGCAGCAGAAGTTACAGGGACACTGCTTTGCAGATCTGTCTCATAACTCCTCTCTGTTTGTTCTCCATGAACATTAGTGGCATTGCTTCCTCCTTGGCTTAACTCAACCAGAGCAGTTAATCCACCACCAGACATGTCTCCATTATTGTCAGCTCTAGCCTCTGAATCATCATTAGGAAGAGATTGCTGGCCATTTCTGTTGCCCATACCAAAGGGCACACGGGAAAAGACAAATCGTGTTGGAGGCCATGCAGTGGCAGGAACAAATGTAGCTCCACGTCCAATACCTGCAAGTCCATCAATAGGCCCCCTGACATGCACTCTTACTGGCCTAAAGAGGCCACTTCCTTCACCTTGATTATTATCAGCCACATACACATTTCCAATGTTGCCAGTAAGATGATTTTGATCGTGCTCTTGCACATAATAGCCTGTAGTAGCTACTCCGTGTGGAAATCCAAATGGCTGCCTGCAAGCGCATTGCATACTAGTGAGGCAGCAATTTTTGCATGTGTCAGCCCCAACTTCTTGCACCCTCTGGCTTAATAGCATCTACATAATAGCCATACAAATACAATGAAAATCCTTACTGAAGCCAGAAGCAGAGGGAACAATTTGTAAGAATTGTGAATGCTTATATCAGAAAGGAAGAAAAATACAAATTTCCAGGAGAAAAGGAACAGCATAGTCTCTGCCATGTTTCAAAAATCCAATAAACAGATTATTCAAAAACCACCAGATTCAAAGACTTCCCAAGATTCAACCCAATACCTAATCATAATACCCATTGTGTCCACCACTAGCATTATATTTCTTGACTTGATTTTATCCAACCTTCATAAAGTATTCCTTATACAGCACAAGATATAACAGACATAGAAACAAATGAGTACAGATAACAAACCTGCAGCCAAAGACCATCATTCACAGCTTTGCAAGGAAATCCCAACTCTTCAAGTTGCTTCCTGACATTCAAAAGTTCCTCAAAGGACATATTGCAATATAGAAGAGAACCACCTTCAAATATATTGACAAAAGCATCATACTCCTCACCACGAATCCTGCAGTTCCCTTTAGCATAGCTTTTTACCTGTCTTTTACCCACAACCCTGCCACCCCAAGAAAGAGAAGCCATGCCACACCTTCCCCAATCATTCAACATGATCCCACTACAGGAGGAGTCCACAGAAGAGCAATTCCTTGATTGATCGCTTGCAAGCCAATTATCATTATTCAAATGGTAGCATGAGCCTTCCTCAGATGGTCCCTCCATGGCCATTCCACTGGCCCCCAATCCACTTGTTCCAACACCAATTGGCATTTCAACATATGAACATGAAGTTCTTATCCCCTCTGCATCTGAAAATGAGTTATTCATTGATGAAGACTGATCCATGTTGCAGGGATATATAGGCTCTGATTGAGCATATTTAGGTTGCGGCACCTGTTTTTCAGAGCTAGATACTCCAGTCTGGATGTCAACCATACATTCGGTGAGCTCCACAAGGAGGTTCTGAGCAGTATTACAGTGCTCTAGGTTACCTTTTAAACTGAGGCATCCCAGTTCAGATTCCAACGTCTTACCAGGACAGCTATCAACTAAATCTTTTCCCTTTGCTTTAGAAGACTCAGGAGGAATGCCAATTGCCATCTCAGGAGAGGAACTGCCTTGATCAGAATGTTCAGTCTTGTAGAAAGCACCTTTTGAGAGGAGCGTGTGCAATGCCAGTTCAAACCTTTTGATAGAAAATAAAAACAATGGTTCATCCAACTGTATAAACATGAACCACAAAACCCAAGTTTACTGGCTGCCTACACATCTTACCGTTTTTCTTCACTATGCACCCACAGCTCGTCAGAGGTCAGCAATGCATGTAAAGTCTGAGATGAAAGTTTAGGTAGCACCTATGCATGATGGCAAAAACCAGTGACCAGTTAGTGAAGCTCCTACATGAGAAAACTCACGCTAATAAATAACATCCACCACTAACCTACACTGGAGGAAAAATTTTGGCTCATTAAATTTTTATTCTCTCTAGTTCTTGTTAGTTCCTCAACAATTTAGTCAAAGTATGATAGCTGAAAACATAAATGTGAGCTGGTAAACACCACAAATGGAACCTTTTCTGCTTTACCTCTTTCAATTCCATGGCACCACTTTGACAAAGGTAGCCCCAGCAAGCATTCCTCACCCTTTCTCCATGTATCCCATAATCTTGACTCTCCGCAAACACCTAAATTTACATCCAAAATTCGATTACAAAAAACACAAAAAGGGATAAAAAAACAAAAGAAATTGTGAAATTATAGTTTGAAACCTGATATGCTAAGAAATTCGAAGTCCACAGCTCAGATATAATAAAATCAGTACATATTGCGCATAGATCCTGCATTCACATGCCAAAATTTAAAAAGCTATAATTTAATTAAATAACCGCAAAATGATAAAATTGAAAATTAAAATTTAAGAAATATTCGATCTTTTTAAGGACCTGAAGATCAAGAAATGAAGCAGCAGCTAAAACGCGAAACGCGTTATTATCATTAAGCTTGGGATGATGTCCGTACAAATACGCCAACGCGATCGCGATCGCTTCACCGTTAACGTTGTTATCGTCGACGTTCAATGTCACCATCGGAGCTTTGGCTTCTTTCCAAGGCCCGTGCAACATGTTCCTGATTAAAACCGAATCAAATTAGAGTTTAATTAGTGAGAAGTTAGGAGTTAGGTTGTTTTTTTTTTTGTTATTATTTCAAAATTCTTTTTTTTTTTTTGTTTTTTCGGAGGACCTGAAGTAGGAGCTACGGGAGAGTATGAGGCGGTGGAGGTGGTAGGTAGATCCCATGGCATTCACGACGATGTCGGAGAATGAACCGCCGTTGAAACCTTCCATTTGGATGTGTTCGCAAAGGGAATTAAGGTTGCAATCGACCGCGCGGAGTTCGCTGCTGCTCCTGTCGTTGTCCGAGTGTTGTGGCGGTGGCGGAATCGTCATTTTCAATTGCTGCTGCTGCTGGTGCGTCGGCGGTCCGTACGATCGGGGCCTCGAGAATTGCGGTTCCATGTTTCTTCACCAAACGTCGTCGTTCAACTTCGTGAGGAAACCATTAATGCCAGGGAAACCAAAAATGAAAGCCTTTTTTTCATTTTCTCTTTTTCAGTGCGGGGCTTTGAGCGTTGAAGATTTGGTTTATTAACGACGGTGACACTGGAAGCGAAAGTTAATGAAGCGCTGCGTTTTGAAATATAAGCAAAACGGTTCGTTTTAACTATTTAAGGAAGCTCTCTTTCAGTCAGACTGTCACTCTTCCTCCATCTTCCGTTACCTCCTCCTACTTCCCTCCTTGCTCCGTTCACATGAACTAAACCCTTCATAAACCCTAAATTCTTCTCATTTAGTTTGATTGATTCCTCTTTGAATTTCTCTTTGTATGCAAAATAACTTTTTTTGTACCTTTTGTCAATTTTTTAATTCGAGATTATACTAAGTTTTGTAATAGATTACGCATGTCTACATGAAGATGCTCTTAAGAAATCCAGGTAAATTATTTATTTGTGGAATTTCAGTATTGATTGAAATTTTTGATCTTTTGAGTTTTATAGTGTATTCTGTCCATGGGTTCTCTTTTTTCTTTTTAATTCCCTTCCATTTTCATGTGTGTTTCTTTTTTGTGGGTGCTGCAGGAATAACACTTTGTATTCGTACAAAGTGTTGTCAGATTTTCAATATTTCTAAGAACCTGTCTTCCTTCTCAGATGGGCCTTCTTCTGAATTGTATAAGAAATCTGTTCCCTTTGTGGGTAAAAGTAGTATTCAAGAAAACCCAAGTAGAATTGAAGGGGTGAGAAAAGAAGTGGATGATGTGTGTTGTGTCTTGGAGAGTGGTCCTTGGGGGCCGGCCCTCGAACATGCTCTGTCTCTGCTCAATGAGAAACCTCAACCTGGCTTGGTCATTGGGGTTTTGAGAAAGTTGAAGGATGTCAATCTAGCAATAAATTACTTTCGATGGGCTGAGAGGAAAACAGACCAAGCACATTGTCCAGAAGCGTACAATTCACTTCTCATGGTAATGGCTCGGAATAAGAAGTTTGATTGCCTGGAACAGATTCTTGGAGAAATGAGTGTTGCAGGATTTGGCCCGTCTAATGACACGTGCATTGAGTTGGTAGTTAGCTGTGTCAAGTCCCACAGGTTAAGAGAAGCTTTTGATATTATACAAACAATGAGAAAGTTCAAATTCCGGCCAGCCTTCTCAGCTTATACGACTCTAATTGGTGCTTTATCTGCTGTCTTTGAATCTGACCTTATGCTCACTTTGTTTCAGCAGATGCAAGAGCTAGGTTATGAAGTCAGTGTCCATTTGTTTACTACACTTATTCGCGTCTTTGCCAAGGAAGGCCGGGTTGATGCTGCGCTTTCTCTGTTGGATGAGATGAAGAGCAACTCTTTTGAAGCAGACATTGTTCTTTATAATGTCTGTATAGACTGCTTTGGTAAGGTGGGTAAGGTGGATATGGCATGGAAATTCTTTCATGAGACGAAAGCACAAAGCCTAATTCCTGATGATGTGACTTACACAAGCATGATAGGTGTTCTCTGCAAAGCAAATAGGCTACAAGAAGCTGTAGAATTATTTGAGCAGATGGAGCAGAATAGAAAGGTCCCCTGTGCTTATGCCTATAACACCATGATCATGGGTTATGGCTCAGCAGGAAAGTTTGATGAAGCATACAGTTTACTAGAAAGACAAAAGGAAAAGGGGTCCGTTCCGAGTGTCATCGCATATAACTGCATTCTTACTTGCCTTGGGAAGAAGGGGAAAGTGGAGGAGGCATTGAGGATCTTTGAGGAGATGAAGAAAGATGCAGTGCCCAACCCTCCAACGTATAATATTCTTATAGACATGCTTTGTAAGGAAGGAAATCTTGAGGATGCTTTTAGGGTTCGAGATGCCATGAAAGAAGCTTGCTTGTATCCCAATGTTATTACTGTAAACATAATGGTTGATCGACTGTGTAAAGCACAAAAACTTGATGATGCTTGTTCTATTTTTTATGGAATGGATCACAAAGTTTGCTGCCCAAATGAGGTTACATTTTGCTCGCTTATAGATGGCTTGGGCAAGCATGGCAGAGTAGATGATGCTTACAGACTTTATGAGAAGATGTTGGATGCTAATAAGATTCCAAATGCCGTTGTATATACATCCCTCATCAGGAACTTCTTCAAGTGCGGCAGGAGGGAGGATGGTCATAAGATGTATAAAGAAATGCTTCGCAGGGGCTGCCCTCCTGATCTTATGCTCCTCAATACCTACATGGATTGTGTTTTTAAAGCTGGAGAAATTGAGAAGGGTAGGGCTTTATTTGAGGAGATAAAGGCTCAGGGATTCATTCCAGATGTACAAAGCTATTCAATTCTGATTCATTGCCTTGTGAAAGCAGGTTTTGCGCATGAGACCTATCAGTTGTTTCATGCAATGAAGGAGCAAGGCTGTGTTTTGGACACCCGTGCTTACAACACTGTGATTGATGGATTCTGCAAGTCAGGTAAGGTGAACAAAGCTTACCAGCTGCTAGAGGAAATGAAGACAAAGGGTCACCAACCCACTGTTGTTACCTATGGTTCTGTCATTGATGGTCTTGCTAAGATTGACAGGCTTGATGAAGCATACATGCTCTTTGAAGAAGCAAAATCACAGGGCATAGAGTTGAATTTAGTTATCTATAGTAGTCTTATTGACGGGTTTGGGAAAGTTGGTAGAATAGATGAAGCATATCTAATTTTAGAAGAGCTGATGCAGAGAGGTTTGACACCTAATGTATACACATGGAATTGCTTGCTTGATGCTTTGGTGAAAGCAGAAGAGGTTAATGAAGCCCTTATCTGCTTCCAGTCTATGAAGGACTTGAAATGCACTCCCAACCACATTACTTATAGCATTCTCATAAATGGTCTTTGCAGGATTAGAAAATTCAATAAGGCCTTTGTCTTTTGGCAAGAGATGCAAAAGCAAGGTTTAAAACCCAATACCATCACTTACACCACCATGATCTCAGGACTTGCAAAGGCTGGTAATGTTGTAGAAGCTCATGGACTCTTTGAGAGGTTTAAAGCTGATGGGGGTATACCTGATTCTGCCTGCTATAATGCTATCATAGAGGGGTTAAGCAGTGCAAATAGGGCAATAGATGCATATACACTTTTCGAGGAAACTCGACTGAAAGGTTTTAATATTTATACCAAAACCTGTGTTGTTCTTTTAGATGCACTGCACAAGGCTGAATGCCTTGAGCAGGCAGCAATCGTAGGGGCTGTCCTGAAGGAAACAGCCAAGTCTCAACATGCTTCCAAATATTGGTAACTTGTTTCTGTTAGGTGTTGGAGCAATCTGTTAACGCGTTTACTTGGCAAGTCTCTGATGCAACAATGAGGTCTTACTCATCTTGCTGGTGGAGCGATTTGGGGGCTGGACAGTTCTGTTACAAGTAACTCACATCTAGAGATGAGCTTAGGCTAAGGTATTTCCTCTTCTTATCAAGTGCTTGATGCGTTATGTAAGCTGTGACTATGCATTTAATTTTGTGTGTTAGTAGTTTGAAGGAGACTGCTATGCATTCAATTTCCCATGAACATCAACATCTCCCATTTTAATCATGTAGTTAAATAGTTATATAGGTGGACATGTGATATGGTGCCTTTGTGTGTTATGGTTCTCTGGATTTCAAATATTGGCTTCTAACTGCATATAGGATCTGTAATGACTAGTAAATTTTCAATCTGACGATAAGACATACGATTGGAGCATTGAGATAGCGAGGCTACAAAAAACCAATATCCCTAAACTCTCTGTTCAAACATCTATTATTCTAGTGACATGTGAATCCATATTCTAATAATATCTTCATTCACAATATACATTCCTTCTTGTTTTAATACAGGATTCTGGGTTACATTCCAACATGAGAGCTCTCTCACCGAAGCCATTGCAATCGTGTCTTGGATGATTGGGAAGAAAGATCCCATCAGCAAACAACAAAGTTAGCAAATGCCTCCTCTTGTAATTTTCGATCATTCACAGTTTCATATTTTGATGCAAACCCTACCAAAACTTAGAATCTGATGAAGGGGTCCTCTTTCAGAACATGTAGTTCCCCATTGAACACGTTGTCAGCGTGATTTCATACAAATATTTATAAGAAATTTCGTTCAAATAAATTGGTGTGTTGTATGTATTATCACTTGCAAGAAATCCATTGTCAAATAAACATGTTATAAGCATCAAACCTTTGTTCTTATGTATAACATAGGAAGAGGAACATTCAAGAAGTACTATCATGAGATGGATGCAGAGGCCCTTGTTTTCCATGTTGGCTCATCTTTGTTTGGTTTAAAATCAAAGTTTTAGTCCTTATATTTTTATGTTAAATTAAATAAATCATAATTAATTATTTTTAGTTAAAATATTATATTAACATGATATACCGGCATGTCATAACGGTAATAATATATTATGTTATTGATATAACATAATGACATAATTATGTAATATTTTTCATCATTCATGTTGTATAGCAACTCTATATATTCATAAAATAACAAAATAGATATTTTAACTAATTTATTAATTATAAAAATTTATTTGATTCAAAATAAAAATATAAAAATTTAATTAAATATAATAAAAAATAAAAATTATTAATTTTTTTATTTATTTACTGTTATCTTACTAGTAGTATTTTTCAAATTCAAAACTATGTGCTAATAGGATTGTCAATGCCACGCGTCCTAGCAGAAATGAACAGAATAATACAACCCCGAGTATAGAAGATAATTACCACATTATAGATTCGACCGTTGGGAGCTTAGAAGAATAAAAGGGAAGCCCAACGTCTCTTTTCCACTTTCTTCAAAATTTAAATATTTGAGCGTTTCCGTAGCCCTTTTTCTCCTCCATCAAAGTAACTTTAACCCTTTTAAATCAAATTTTGTCTCGAATCCCTCTCCACCCTTTACACCAATCTGTTTTCAGATCGTAGATTCCTCTTTTTCTCATTGCGAAATGGCGTTGAGACCCATAGATAATGCACTTCCGATTACTCCAGAGAGACCCAAGAAACAAGCCAAAGTGTCGGTTCCAGTCCAGAAAAAACCATCAGAGTTTGGTGTGAATGACGAGAACAAGGCTCCTTTGCCACCGTCTGCTGATGCATCCGTTGATTACATCCCTTCCGAGAATCTCAAACCCTTTCAAGACCCTGAATCCTTCATCCAAGTAATTCCCATTTTTAACTACGGTGAAAGTAAAACACTGTTGCAAGTTCATTAGTCTGATTGGTTTCTTTTTGGTATGAATTTTTTACATTTCAGAGCTTAATTGAAGGGTTAGATTCAAAGGATTGGGTGAAGCTCTGTGAGTCGCTTAATGACGCTAGGCGTTTCTCTTTATATCACTCCAACCTACTGCTTCCAATCTTGTAAGATTCGAGATTTTCTTTTTTTTTTATTTATTTATTGTGCCTTTTTTGGTGGTGGCTTATTAACTTATTATGCTGATGAATATATGTGATTATGCAGAGAAAAGGTAATCTTGGTAGTGGTAAAGGCAATGAAGAACCCGAGAAGTGCTCTGTGCAAGACCTCGATTATGGCTGCTTCAGATATCTTCAATGCCTTTGATGAAAAGTTGCTTGATTCCACTGATTCTGGTGCATTTGATCAGTTGGTGGGTACCCATTTGGCCAATTAACATTTCTCTTTTGAGGTTTTCGATGCTCAACGTCAGGTGTTAAAATTTGTGGTGGGTTTACAGTTGTTGCAGCTGTTACTTAAAGCTTCCCAGGACAAGAAGTTTGTGTGTGAAGAAGCAGATAGGTCGCTGAATGCAATGGTTAAGTCTATGGCTCCTTTGCCACTGCTTCAGAAGCTTCGCGGATATGTTAACCATGGCAACCTTAGAGTCAGAGCCAAAGCTGCTGTTTCCATTTCCAATTCTGTTCTCAAGATGGTACAGTACCGAGAAAACTCTTTGGCAGCAAATGTTTACAAAATGTTGAACATTTCTCACTCGTTGGACATTGTTATGTTTACCAATTGCAGGGGCTGGAAGAAATCAAAGAGTTTGGGATGGTTACACTGCTTCAAATGGCTGCGGATTTGCTGAATGATAGACTGCCAGAGGCCAGAGAAGCTGCGAGAAGTATTGTATTTTCTTTATACAAGGCATTTAGAGAAAATGAAGAGGAGATTGAGGAGGAGGCTTGGCAAAGCTTTTGCCAGACAAATTTACCACCCAATCACGCTCAGTCCATGGTCAAAGTTACTCTTTCCAGTAGAGTTTAGAGTAACAGTTTTAGCAACAGCATAGGTGGTGGAAAAGTAGGAGTTTTTGAACTTCTGTTTCATGTAAATGCTGTTTTTACATGATTTAGCAATATCTATTTTCTTTCCTTTTTTTTTAATGATGGAATAACACATTTTCAGTTTATCTTCTTTATTTTTTAATGGAAGTTGACTTTACATTTCATTGATTTTTTTAAGTTAAGAATTCATCTGCACTTGATAACCAAGTGCTCTTACCTTCCCTGTTCCCATTTCACCGCTTGAAGTGATTGAAGAACTCAGCAACAAAGATACTTTTCCACCCAGACAATATATTTGTAACCTAATCAATCTAGTTATATGCAATAGATGCCAGCAACCATGAGTTTTTGCAGCAGCACCAGTATGAAGAAAATTAAAACTTCAGACATTCCCATAAGTTCTCAGAGAAAAAAATCTGAAATTCTTGAAGAAGAATTAATTAATCAAATAATCCAATAATTTATGTTTCAACTATTCTTCTCGAATGTAAGCACTCAAATGTCATTAAATAAAAACAATGGTAACAAAATTTTTGTGGCAGCTTTTCACAACCACTACAACATGTTGGATAGGAGGGATTGATGTTCGTGTGGGTAACTCAATTACTCGCATCTGAAACTTCCCATTAAGAAATATGTCCGCAGCTTGAAGAGAACCAGAAGAGTGATTACATGTTCTTCAACTCCGGTCTTCACCTCCTGTAAGCATATATCCTCTTCAATTTTTACAGTCTCTGTGACCAATTCCATCCTTTTTAATCCTCCATGGCCTATTCTATGGTTGCAATGGAGGCACTTTGGTTATCTTTAATCAAAGAGTGCAAAGCCATCTCAACCTCAGCAAATGGTTGACCAGCATAAAGCTTAAGCTGCCCCTTCCTAACAACAATTACCTTCTTGGCATGCGATTTTATAGCTTGATAAAGTTCCTGCATAAGTCACAGGTTTCATTCTCATATCAGTACTGTCTCTGATACGGATTTAGGAAAAATGCATCCACTAAAGAGTTCTTATCCTTTATGACAGCCAATAAAAATTTGCTGGATGTAGTAAGCAACTAAAGCAGTTGAGAAGTGTCCATAAACTGGTAAGTAATATCCCCTTTGTAGATTGATAACAAGTAACACCCTATATATCTCTTTTATCATGATTCAGTCAAATAAAAACACAGATGTTTATGAAGTTACACAAGCTTGGACTTTCTAAAATCAAATTATTTCTTACTTTTACTGACATTGGAACAACTTCAGCACTGAAATCCCCTAGATCTTCAAAAAAACATTCAAGAAGATAACAGAAGTTATTGGCATCACTGTGGTCCTCAAATGCAACAGTGCATGAAGTTTCACTCTGTTCCTGGCCCTCAGATGAGATTCTTAAGGTAAAAAGTCCTCCGGGTCCTTCATGATCAACACCTCTTCGCATGAGAACAGCCTGGAAACAGTATGAGAACAGTCTGAAGTTTTACAATCCTTGACAAGTGGGAATGATATTGCAGGGAAGGGGATGGAGAAATTCCAACAGTCATGAATCCAATAAGGCACCCAACAAGTTACATGATAAAAATTTCAAACAATGAAAATGGTAACACACTTGTGGTATTGAAAACTGGCAGTCAAGGAAAAAGGTGCTTGCATGAGGTTTCATTATTAGTGTCATTTGTTTAAGAGATATGTCTCAAGTCTCAACTTTATTGATCCTCGGACAACTCCTCTAAGATGAACTATGACTATTTTCATGCTATTGAGACAGAATAATTGTTAAAAGAAGTGAAGAAGTTCATTACGTACTAGAACATAAGGAAGATTCAGCCACCATGGATCAGTTTTAATGCTTGATTGGTTATCCTTGACTTTGTTGGCTGGTGGCTTGTTGTAAATTTCTCTGCATATAGAATAATGCAAGAAAGCATGCTTATCAGAGTCGGTTCTAGCTTCCTGGTTCTCTTTTGTAAAGATATGTGAATTCTAGGTATCCAAATCTCTTGATTTTCTTGATTTCATAACTTCAGTAGGCAACCTCTCTTGACTGGATTCTGAACCAGCACTTCAAAATTTAACAAATAACCAAGGATTGTACAGGACTCAAGAAAACTATATGCTCAAACTTTAACTGATTGCAAAAGTCACACATTTATATAGAATTATAAATAAATGGCTTGAAATAAAAGTAATGAGTCAAGCATTGAAAAGCTTTTCAGGAACATTACCAAACCTCATATTATTGTGCACAGCTCCCAGTTCCTCTTCCTCTATCTTCTCAATGTCCTCTCCATCACTTGGCAAGAAATCCAAGTTTTGACTCACTACTCTCTTCCCATCTTCCCCCTCCTTAGTCGCTGAACCACTAGTAGCCATACCATTCTTATTCCTTGTTGCGCTACCATCCTTTAAACCGGCAAAACCCTTCACATCACTTCTTGAATTCTTTTCAGGGGCTCTGAATTTAAACTTCTTCTTTATGAACAATTTTTTATCCATATCTTTTGCATCCTCACCATCCTTTAACTTATCCAAAATATTGACATACGACCCTGGAAAGTTCTCTCTCTTAGAATTCAATTTCTTCTCCAACTTATTCAATCTAGCACCAATCTCCTTTTCAAACCCAATTCTTGCCTTAGAATTCAGACTTTCATCAGTCATATCACCTTCCTCATCATCATTCTTCGTTTCTTTTTCCTCAATTTTTCGAGCTTCCCTAGCCATTGCTCTAATTTCTTTAACTTTTTCTTCGAGTTCAGAGTCATCCCAGTAAAACATATTTCTTGAACTTGATTCAACTTTCCCATTATTTAAAAATTTCCCATTCCCACTTTTATTCCTCTGAAAGATATTAACTTTATCCTGAGAATTTCCAGTTCCCATCACCCAAACAGCAACTAAAGTCTGAAACACAAAAATTCCAACAAAATAAAACCCAAATTTCAAGACGGAATAAGCTGAAATTTTACCAAAATTCCCACTGTTTTCTCCAGCAACGCCCGACGTCTCAGAAACCTGAAACTCTTCAACTCTATAGGTTTCTTCTAAAACTTTGATTGGAATTTCATCAGAAGGAGGCTCGAAAACGACGACGTCGACGGGTTTATTTTCAGGTGCGGACTCTACGGGGGTTATCGGAATAGTTGGAGTGGAAGAAGGAAAGGGTTTAGTGATGGTTTTAAGGATTTTGGGGCGTAAGTAGTTTTTACGCTTGGTAGGCTTGGAGGGAACGGGAGTGGAAAGAGGGGAAAACAGAAGCGGCTTCAGTGAAAATTTGCGAACGAAAGAGAGAGTGGGGGAGAGGGAGACCGCCCCCGCCATGGCTCGACGTCGGAGCTAGAAGGACAGAGGTGGCAGTTGAGAAAATTTTCCATTTCTCTGGCTTTAGTGTTGCTATTTGCAGGCCTCCATTGAAGCCCAAGACAAGTAAGATTTTGAGCCCAAAGCCTTTGTTTTCTCTATTCGGGTTCGGGTACCATTTTCATACAGTGGGCCAATAGAAATAAGCCCAACATTTTGGTTACGAGTTCGTTGGCCCAAGTCAGATACTGAAAATGTAGGCCCAATGCCTTTGTTTTTGGGTTTAAAGTTGGTAATTACCTTATACTTAGCCCATAAAGGTAAGCCCAATTGTTTTGGGTCAGTGGTTCCTAAATATGTCGGGTTCGAGTTTTGCGTGGATATTAATAATCAAGCTAAGGTTTTAGATATTAATTTTTAATCAATTTCACATAAAAATATAAATAGTTAAATGCTAATACGAATGCTATAACCATCACACGATTCCTATCATTTTATATTCCAATAAAAAGGAAAGAAAGTAGAAGTCTTGTTTAAATAATGTTGATTAGGCACAACTTATAATTTGTTGAACCTTCACTTCCTTCATCAAAGATGTGAAATTCTTTTTATTTTCCATGATCAAAGGAAAATCGCAACTCCCACACATGCTTCCTCATCAAAATTGTCATCCCTTAAATGATGGAAAGTCGTTTGTCGTGAACCAACAACGATCTCGAACAGACATTTGTAATTTTCTAAATATAATATTTAAAAGAGTTTGAAAATTTGATATTATATAAGAAGGAAATATTATTTAAATCATGCATGTTACACAATTGAATAATGCTAACTAAATATACTATTGTGTAATAATTTAAATTAAATAATTTATATAATTATCTTAATATGTACATTACAAACAAATATAAAAAATTATTATTTATAATCAAATTCAAATAATAAATATCTTAAAATTATTATTAACATTTTGTTTAAATATGTTTATAAAATATCGTAATCTTATTTATACGAGTTGGATTATGCCGGATACTTGTTTACGTTTGCCGTCCTTGAAAATGATAATCTCGAACCAACATGTAATTCTTGCTAAACATAGGGATAGAACTATAATTTGATGCACTATATATTTTTATTTGGCCAAGAGGCATGTAACGTGGGGCTATATTAGTAACAGAGAAAAGATGAGACAAAAGAACAAGCAATGTTCGCGGGTAGTTCCCCAGCCGCCGCTTTCTAATCCTATCTATGGCTCTCTTGACTCGGCTCACTACTCCAAGCACAAGTGGTTGTCTCACTCTCCAAGCCAACTAAGCTCCAAAGGCCAAACCTAGAACCCAACAGTGTCCAACTCAAACACAGACTTAAGCATCATCGAAAACAAGACATAAAGGGCGGATTACCCCAGAGCCACCCAGCGTCTAATCATCAACACAACCCGAGGAAGAAAAAGCACAAATAAAAAAGCTCATTATCTGCATAGGTTGGGCATCTTTCTTTTGAGCAAAAAACCAAGAGCTCAAGGTCAAGGCCATGGACTCAATGCCCCTTGTCTCCTTTTCCACAACAGAAGAGACCCCATCTTCGTCAGCAGCAGCAACAGGTTCTTTACCTATCCGAGCTCCTTTAACTGCTGATTCTGATTCTGAATACGAAACCAACGGTCATGAAACTGCCAGCTCTGTTGGTGGGAGTGGTTTAAGTAGTTTTGAGAACAACAGTGAGTTGGGTTCTGAAAGTGAGGAGTTTTTGAGTAGTGACGAGTTTGAGACTGCTTCTGAGAGGAGAGACCCAGATGAGGAAACCTTAGAGGAAGAAAATGGGATTGGTGAAAGTTACAAAATTTATGTGGCCAAGAAAGATGATGACATTGATAGCATGGAGAATTCAATGGAAGGGGAGGGAGAGAGTGGTGGTGATGTTGGTTTGGTGGGTGTTTCTAGTTCGGAGCCGGTTGTTCCTATTGCACAATTGTCAATGGATGATGAAGAGTTTTCTGAAGCGTTGAGTGAGGAGGAAATAGTGACGGAAGTGGAAGATGGAGGGTTTTCTGGTGTGGTTAAGGTTCCTGGTGCTGTTGAAAGTTCACACAGAATAAAGGTGGCTTTGGGGGTTGAAGAAGGAGATGGAGAAGGAGAAGAGTCATTGGAGTTGAGAAGTTCTGCTTTTGTTAACCAATACGAGTCGTCTACTCTCGTTAAGGCAGAGATTGAGAGGATCGAGTCAAAACATGGTGATGGTCATGAGTTAGAGGAAAAGAGTTTTGTTATGGGCAATGATGCTATTCATTCTTCTCAACCTGTGGTGAAACCTGTTGACAAGATTATTGTGTCCAATATGAAAGAATTGAAAGTTGAGGAAACAGGGGTAGAGGCAGGAGAAATAACGAGTTGCCAAGGTAATGAACGGAGCCATGTTGATGTTATTGAAAGTGGTGCTGTTGATCAAGGTAGTGAAAGCAAGAAACTGGAGAATAGAATTGTTTTGGGAGCTGAGTTGTATGAGCTCTTAGCTGCGAACAGAGATGAATCTAATGACCATGATATTATGATTGCAAATACTGGGAATGTTGGCTTGTTGAAAACTACTGACGGTGAGCAAATTGGAGACGAATTGATGAGTGATACCAACACCTTTAAATTTGCAGCTCCAATATCAAATTTAGACCACAAAGTTAAACCAGAAGCAGAAGATATATCTAAGCATGTCTCAGAAAAGGTTCTACTGCCTGATGAAGATGTTGTGCAACTGATATTTGGAAGCTCTGAAACAACCAAACATGTAACGAAAGAAGTAGAACACGGATTAATGTCCACTTCTCCTTTGAAGGTAGATTTGGAGGAGGAATTGGAGACATCAAGTCAGCAGATTGTCATGGACTCAGATGAAGAAGTGGAAACAAAGAAGGAGCATGAACTAAAGGAACTATTCAATTCTGCTGCATTGGCTGCTCTTCTGAAAACAGCAACAGGTGCTGAATCAGATGGTGGTGATCTCACAATCACTTCTAATGGTGGTTCTAGAGTATTCTCTCTTGAGCACCCTGCTCACTCAGGTTCCTTGTTCCATTCTTCAAAAGTTGATCCACCATCAAATATGGCTAATGTCGTCTCAAAGGACAGTATAAGTGGTGAAGAAAAGAAGAGATTTGAGAAGTTACAACTCATAAGAGTGAAATTCTTGAGACTGGTAGAGAGACTAGGCCATTCTCCTACTGATCCAATGGTTGCACAGGTCCTGTACAGGCTGGCCCTAGCTTTGGGTAGTCTTTTCAATCAAGAATTCACCCTTGAATCAGCCAAGAGAGCAGCTATGCAGCTTGAAGCAGAAGGTAAAGATGACTTAGATTTTTCTTTGAATATTGTGGTTCTCGGAAAAACTGGAGTGGGAAAGAGTGCAAGCATTAATTCCATTTTATGTGAGCAAAAATCTAGAACTGATGCTTTTGAACCAGCCACATCTGCTGTGAAGGAGATTGTCGGGACAGTAGATGGAGTTAAGATCAGAATTTTTGATACACCTGGTCTTAGATCTCCTGTGACAGAAGAAGCTACTAATCGCAAACTATTAGCATCTATAAAGAGGTTTGTAAGGAAGTTCCCACCAGATGTTGTCCTCTATGTTGATCGTTTAGACGCACATGACAGAGATCTTACCGATTTGCTATTACTGAAGTCACTAACTGATTCTCTCGGTTCTTCAATATGGCAAAATGCCATTGTAACTCTCACTCATGCTGCATCTGCCTCCCCAGATGGACCATTAGGGGAACCCCTAAGTTATGAAGTCTTTGTTGCTCAAAGGTCCCATGTGGTTCATCGAGCAATCAGCCAAGCAGTTGGTGACATGCGTCTGATGAATCCAAGTATGATGCATCCTATGGCTCTTGTTGAGAACCATCCATCATGTCAGAGAGACAGAAATGGAGAAAGTTTGCTTCCCAATGGGCAAAGGTGGAGGTCACAGTTGCTACTCTTGTGCTATTCAGTGAAGATTTTATCTGAAGCAAGTTCTTTGTCAAAACCTCAAGCTCCTTTTGATCACCAGAAGCTTTTTGGCATCCGACTTCGTTCTCCTCCTCTACCGTACTTGCTCTCTTCTCTATTGCAATCTCGTTCTCATTTAAAACTACCTACCAATCAGGGTGGTGATGATCTTGACTTGGATATTGAGTTGGGAGACTCAACAAATTCTGATGACGAAGATTATGATGAATATGACCAGCTCCCACCATTTAAGCCTCTAAGGAAATCTCAGGTTAAAAAACTTAGCAAGGAGCAGAGAAAGGCTTATTATGAGGAGTATGATTATCGTGTGAAGCTGCTTCAAAAGAAACAATGGAGAGAGGAGGTGAAAAGAATGAGGGAAATTAAGAAGAAAGGGAAAGATGGTGATAATAATTTTGGTTATGTTGGAGATGATGGAGACGTTGAAGCAGGGGATAATCTGGCAACTGTACCAGTTGCTTTACCCGACATGGTCCTCCCTCCTTCCTTTGATGGAGACAACTCTACTTACCGGTACCGGTTTCTGGATTCCTCATCTGAGCTTCTTATGAGGCCAGTTTTGGACTCACAGGTTTGGGATCATGATATTGGGTACGATGGTGTTAGCCTTGAAAGAAGTCTTGCCATAGCCGGTTGTTTTCCTGGGGCTATTGCTGTTCAAATTTCAAAGGATAAAAAGGAGTTCAGTATCCATTTAGATTCCTCAGTTTGCGCAAAACATGGAGAGAATAAATCTACAATGGCGGGATTCGATATCCAAGCTGTTGGAAAACAGCTTGCTTACATCTTCAGGGGCGAAACAAAATTTAGAAATTTCAAAATAAACCAAACAACTGCTGGTTTATCAGTTACTTTCTTAGGTGAAAATGCGGCTACTGGACTTAAGATTGAGGATCAGATTGCAGTCGGGAAGCGCCTGGTTTTAGCTGGAAGTGCTGGGGCTATGAAATCTCAAGGTGATACAGCATATGGAGCCAATATGGAAATCCGCTTAAAGGGTAAGGATTTTCCTCTAGAGCAGAACCAGACCACATTGGGACTGTCTTTGGTGAAGTGGAGGCGTGACCTGGGTCTAATGGCCAACCTACAGTCTCAGTTCTCTATTGGACGTAGTTCATCAATGGCTGTCCGTGTGGGGTTGAACAACAAGCGGAGTGGGCAGATCACTCTCAAAGTAAGCAGCTCAGAGCAATTACTGATAGCACTTGCTTCCATTCTTCCGATTGCAGCCTCCATCTTCAGGATGATCTATCCTGGCTCTGATAGATCCTGAATTTTTGTTTACTATAGCGATTCTAATTCATTTTAGCTACCTAGTAGGTTTTCTGAACTTAAAACTTCAATGAAACAGAACCTACTCATTAGATGGTTATGAGCCAGCTTGTTCATTGTATAAAATAAATTAATATTTCTTTACAGCAGCTGGCCAAATGAATGCACTTTGATGAGCCTGCAAGAGTTTTCAAATCCCTGCTCATCCATAATTTCAACTTCTGGTCGGTTTGCCATTTCCATCTAACTTGCTAACTCCATTCACTCAATGATTTCTGTCATTTCTATACAACCTGTCAATACTACAAGGCAAATGCTACATAAATTGAAGTAGTGTGTTCATTTCTAGCATGCACCAATTACCCAGTTGAGTTGTTCCATAAGCTAAATTACATAATTGCCATGTCATTTTCCTGCAGCTTTTCTGTTTTCTGTTATTTAAGTTGATAGATACATTAAACAAGTAAAAGAAGAAATACAATGATAGAAGTAGAGGAGCATTGTCAATGTCAAAACTCCTACACCAGTTTAGGCATTTCTGTGAAGAATGTTTCCAGTTGCAAGGTTATGTAAATGTGCAAAAGCCTACCTTTACTGGAAGATTGGATTTGCCCACTGAACAGGATTTGATTATTAAACTGGTTAAATCATGATAAAATCGTACAAAGATCCAACACAGCCACTCAAATAATAATAGTGAGTCACGTTGGTTTCAATATACAGGGATCAGAAGCAAATGGCACAAATGACCAGAGGTATTACACCCTAGCGTTTTCCAGGGTAAAAGCAAAATTTATGTTACAGACACATGCCCGTTAGAATCCTCGTGACTCTGGAATTTTGAATATTTTTTCACTCGGTAACTTATTGGAGCTGAGCGCCTGAATTTTCTGATGGTTGCTGCAGCAACTCAGGTTCCTCTAAATCCTCAGCGTGGATCGGTATATCCTGTTAAAATGGAAAGAAGCCATTATTGTTTATGAATAACAATGAGATCACCATTCAGGCAGATGATAATTTTTAGATGCACATGCACCGAAAGCACTCCTGAAATTAGCTAAGAACCAATGCACGTAAATCTGATACAAGCTGATACCTGAGCCTGCAGTAGTTGATGTGGTTGCTGGTCTTGTGCCAATGTGTAGGGTTGTGGCTGCGACATTCTATAATAAGGCTCCTTGAGATCAAGTTTGCATGATGAGGTCTGAAGAATTCCGCCTTGTTCTGCCCCAGGGCCCCACATTTTAGCTATAAGAGTTGAAGCATACCTCATTAGGAGAACAAAACAGCAAATTAAAAACACAGAAACAACGTCAAAACCAACCTGACAATGTTAGATATATCGTATAACTCTGAGCATTATGGGCAATCATGTGAAGTCGGCCAGTAATTTCTTGCCCAGCCATAACATAAATTGGCTGAGAAAGAACACATCGTATCTGGTACCAGTGGGTTGTAGGTGCACCAGGGGCAGTGGTAAGCCATCTTTGCACAGTACTGTTTAAAAAAGAAAGCAGTTTAAGAGCAGTTAGATTGGATGAAACTGCAAACCCAATGAAAATACAAAAAACTGAACATTATTACCTCCCATTAAACAAAACATCAAACCAACAGGCCAAGCCATGCACTCTAGTCCCCACAGATGCTGTGAATTTCAATGGAATATCTATTTCATATAAGTCCTCTTCCTGCAAAAAGGAATTAAGAGCATGTTGACTACACATTTACTGATAACCATCAAAAGTAGTCAACTATGCTAGGAGAAAGAAGTTCAAATCAAACAGCCATAATTTAGTGAAAAGTATTGCACCACTCAGAAAAATGGTTTTAATATCCCATGGTCATTAAACTCAAGCTGCAAATCTGCAACAAGCTAACAACTAAAAAATGCTTTCACATGTACAGAGTTCAACAAAGCAACCAAGAATCAAGATACAACATAAATGGATGTTTATGACAGGAAGTTTAAACAATCAATAACAGGCTCAAGACAACGCCTCGATGATACCTTTATTTCAGCAAAGTCAATTACATGGCACATAGGAGGAGACACCAATAATCTTGGATCAAAAGCATCCACCACAGGCTATACGAAAGCAAAAACATTTCATTAAAATTTAGTTGAAACAGAATGAAACAACAACGGAGTAACCATAAACACATGAAGACCAGTATGGCAGCTGCCAAAGAAAAGTTATTGGCAACTATCAGAAAACCCAAATGTGAACCCTACATTCTGATAATGCTTCTATAAAAGTACCAAATTTTCATTCTACAGAAGCATGTGATGGTGTACAAAACAAACCTGAGAGAAGTATCCCTGGAATGCAGACCCATATAAGGGTGTGAGATCTACACCATAATAGTTTTGTTGCTGCCAAAAAAGAGCCTGCAAATTTTTCTGGGTTAGGGGAAAGGAACAGAAAAGGTAGATATAATGCAAAATTAAAAAAGGAGCAGCATGGGAAGATTGATAGCAAAACAAGGAATGCAGAAGGAGACACCATCTGATGCCTATAATTTATAAAATGCACAATCAAAAGAAAACATTGGGGTTGACAGCATTACTATGCATACAATATATCAAATGTTTCAAAAGAGTTTCCAATAGCAAGCCATCCCCTTGAAAACTTGTGAAATCTATAAGGTTCTTTTATTTTCTAAAGAACAATGCATGAAACAAACAATGGAAGCTCAGAAACAGTATAAAACACATTATACAGCGACTTTCCATGTAATTCTCTTATAAGACTGGAGGAGCAAAAAGATCCATGCCAAGAAGTCATGAGACATTTTAGATCCACTTTCTTCAAAGACTTAAATTCACACATGCATGTAAAAAAATGCATACAATACTCCAGCAAAACAATGTCAACTACATACCTTATTTGCAATTTCAACAAATAAATATTCATCACTGAAAGGTGCCATATGAATCCTACAAGAGTAAGATAGCATGAGACTAACTCAAGGAAAAAGACTTAAGCATATTACAGCTTGATGATCAAAACAAAAATCAATGAAATTAACAACAGGAACACAAAAAAACCCAAAGGTACAGATATATGTAGTCAGTGACAGTAATGATATATTTCCAGCAAAAGATAAAAGATAAAAGGAGAAAAAACCATATCAAATAAAACAATTAAATTGAACAACCAAGGGGAACAATAGGATGACAGCAATCATAAAACTGCTTATAATTTAAATCAGTTTAGCATGGTAATTCATTAAATAGACTGGCAGAGTAAGACCAAGTAAAATGCAAGTTTTCATAAGTAAAATTCCTAAAAGCATTAGGATGATATTATATGCAAGTAGGAAATCATTTATCAACTGCATGAGAAAAAAACAGATTTCAATGGAGGACCTCTTACCTTCCAATTGATGGAAACATTTTCCCATTAGGCACAAGAAACCGATCTCTTGCAATTATGTAGGACTCCAACATTCTTTCATTAACTAATAAGGTGCCTGCAAGTGACCCAAAAACCAATTAAAGAAGCTTGCTTCAATCAAAACAAAGCAACAAAAGTTTAAACATCCATAAAATAATTCTAGACATCTTCAAAGCATTTCATTTTCAAATTCTCACTAAAAATTAAAACTTTCATTGGTATCATGGAATTTTCATCATCACCACATAATGACAAAAGTAAAGCCTCACACATCATCATACCCATTGGTTCAGAGATCAGAATATCTGCTTTCTCAGGCAGCTCAACTTCCTCAACTTTACCCTTGATCACCTATACGTTAAACGACAAATGAGCAACCAGATCAATCCTGATATAAGAGAGAACACAAAACAACATGACAAGACAAGCACATACAGTAATCCGTTGACCTAATGTGGGGTTCCCAGCAATAAGTTTGCGAGCATATTCTGCCATTTCAGAAGCTTCCACAGCATAAACATGCTTTGCACCAGCCTAATAGGGAGAAGAAAAGAGTAGGGCATCAACCTACAAACCACAGGACATTGTCAAAGTAGATCAAAAGGTTAAGAATACCTGTGCAGCAAATAATGACAAAATGCCACTGCCAGCACCAACGTCAACTACCACATGACCTGTAAAATCTGCACGGTTCTCAATTACAGCAGCATAGTAGGTTCCTGGAGAAAAATGCAGTTAAGAAATGATCAGCATGTAAAATGTGTGACCTGTAGTAAAAGTTACTTGTCTGGTAACTATGTTTGCATGTTGATCATACATAATGCCATAATATCTCACAGCAGTGTGCTTTGTTAGCATTGTCTACAAAATTCAAAGTGAATATGTAATACAAAATCAAAAGAAACAACGAAACACAGCTTTGTGATATAACCTGTCCTCACATAATCCTGTAACATATTTTGCTGATGTAGCAATTGTCCATAATAATGGAAATACATTTTGGCAGAAGCTGGCTCGATTTTATTATCAAACTTGCTCTTAGAAGCAGAAATGGCTCCATTTGGTAAATGTGTTCCTGGATGAGAGAAAAAAGAAAGAAAGAAATAAGGACAACATAAAAGCCAATAAACAGTCAATTTGTCTGCATGATCATAATCAGGTATCAAAAGTAGCACCTTGAACAACATCTTCCTCCTTCCATTGCTCAAATGCAGAATGGAAGTCCCTGCCCTCTTCCTCATTTCTAAATTCAATGGTGACTCCCCACGAATATGGTCTCTGATTCAAAAGAAATTCTGTCAAAAAATATAGCATCTGGCACTGGTTTGACATCATACAGTAATATCATACATATTAAAAGCAAAGATTATGCAAATTTTCGACAAAAAAACATTGGCCAGGACATATACTCCAAATTGCAATAATTCAAGTAATAAGTAGAAAGAAGTAGCTAGGTACAACCAGCAGCTTAGCATGGATTTTCATGCATCCAAACCAGGAAAACAACGGAAAAATTTGAAGAAATTAAAAGAATGAATTCATAAGTCATCACCGTTCCTTCTATTGCTAAACTTCCATATATACCAGGCAGAGAACCTCAAAATATTAAGTTTGAAATGACATTAGTACCTCTTTATTGGTTTCAGAACTCTCGGAAACGCAAAGAGATTTAACAGGCCCCAACTTGAAGAGCTGAAAACAATAATAACAAGAAACTCAACCATGTTACACCCTTCAAAGCCGTCAGGAACTAAAAATGTCATTCCAGAGTTGGAACTTTTAATAATCCAATCCAATTTCACGGGGAAGTGAAACTCAAAGCAAACCCAAAGCAAAAAAAATCAAAATAAAAGAAAAAGAAATTCAACTCGCTATGCTCCTCTTCAATGCCAAAGAAAAAAGTAGGCATTCACTAACCCAAGCTTGTTTCTGATTTAAATTAAAAACAAAAATAAAAAATCTGCCCAAGATTTCCTCTTTCTTTATCTTTCCATCGCATGTCCATTTTCTCAACAATAAAACAACAAACTCTCTCTCTCTCTCTTACCTGAGCGTTTCCAAGATCGACATTGAAGCCATCAATAAATTCCGAACCTTGGTGAAACCGAAGCTCCGCAACTCCACCATCAGCACTGAACCGAGCAATCACCGGCGTATAAGAAGAAGAAGAAACCGATGAAGTAGACAGCTCAGAAACTGACGCCAAAGTGAACTCCAAGTGTTTATGTTTTAGCCCAGCTGAACCCTCCATCATTATTACCCAAAAATAAAAGGAAATAGAAATTTAGTGTACCTAATCTATTTCTAAAATTAGGGTTTTTGTTAAAGAAGGTAAAAATATGTATATATATATTAAAAGAAAGAGAAGAAAGGGCAAAGCTTGAGAGAGCCGCCACCGAGTGAGAGAAGGAACAAAGATCGTGGCTTTAGCTGATTTATGGAGACTGAACAAAAAAACAAAGCCTGTTTTTTTCTTTTTCCTTTTCTTTTTTGGTTTTTGTGTTTGAGGGTAGATGCTACTTGCTCAGAGGGAAGTTTGAGTGTGATTGGTGACGTGTGAGCATCACAGCCGTTGGATTTATTTTCACTATGGATCCAATAGGAGATTTTAATATTTTCAAGTGAAATCTTAGGGCAAATTTAAAGGCAAAATTTTTAAGTGGAATGGGAATTTTTTGTTTTTATTATTTTGTTTATTTCACACTACTAACTTATTTAATCTTATAATTTTTAGAATCAAGTAGAAAATTTGGACTTGCTACCAAATTATTTGCATCATGAAATTAATTTCTTATTTTTTTCTATATACACTTATACCAAGTTTGCATGCTAAAATTAGTAAGGTAATTGGTAGATAATCTTTTGGTAGTATCATACAATTATTTAATTTGAAGTTTTTTAATTAATATTTTTAGTACTAAAAAACTATGAAGAAAATAAAAATATATATATATAAAATAAAGAGGAATTTCTTTTATAGATTGAAAGAGTGGGCGGAATGAAATTCAATTATTTTTTTGTTTTAAATCTTTTTTGATTTCATTTGTCCTGCTAATACACTTGTAAAAATTATTTCCTTTCATATTCCTATCTATATTAGCTTTTTACCTTTTTCATGTTTTCATCTTTTCTTGGGGAGAGGATGATGCCAAGGCTACCATTGATAAAATTACAGATGGAAGAGAGACTTTTTGGCCCAAGAGTGAACAAAGATTGAGGAGATCAGATGCCAGAGTAACCGGTCTGCCATTCAAGTTGCTGCTACATTTTGCAATCTATCCTGGACAGAGCATAGTCCTTGAGCACAAACATAAAGAATATCAGGGGCTGGTAACAGAACATGAATCTCATTTTTCCAATGGATGATTCCATTAGCTCTTCTCATCCAGATGAATGAACTCAACTCAACTCTTTGGTGCAGATACATAACATCCAATGCTATGCTCTTACAAGGTTTCTATAGAGAACTCGAATTGAGTAAGGAAAGGAAGGAGGAGGTGGAAGAACTGTAATCTCAAAGGCAAAAGGTAGTGATCTAAGTTTTGGTTAACAAAGTGCATTGTGCAGAGCAGTGGTAGCAATGGCAATTCTCATACTCTCTCACGAGAAATCAGGGCCAGAATGTGCTAGAAACAGAGACGCTAGCTCCCTGGACATCAACTTCATTCATATTAATTTAACCAGCAACTTTATAAGCAGCAGTAACACACAAACAATAGCAAGGCATATTTAAGTTTGTTCAGTTCAATTACAACGAAAATAACAATGTCTAGTTCTTGTTCCCTTTGCATGGGTTATCTACAAACGTATTCATACCCACTGAACAGAGACAACCATTAAAATTCATCATTGAAACATGAAATCTGGCAACATCCTATGGTTACTTAAAAATCCAGGTGTGGTGATTACCAATCTTTACAACAGCATTTCCTCTGTTTATCTTCCTAGCGTTCTTTCTGCTCAGCAATTATATATTTGCAAGAATAAGTACAAGCATTTTCATTCCAACACAACTAATAAACTCGAGCCTTCAGGTAATCAAACAATTCATTGAAGGAAGAGTGCTATTATGATTTCCATTGACACTGAAATATCTATGAAAAATTTAGCCACTATAAAGAGTGCTACAATTCCATCCAATAAGTATGTTACTAAACAGGGTAAATCTATACCAGAAATAATTTCCTTCCTATAAATCAATAACTAGAAAATTGGTGATGAAAGTATAAAAACTGAGGACATCATCAGGCTACCAAAAGGAAGGATTAGCAATGAATCGAAATAGACACGTAAAAGAGTAAATCAAGAACAGCAGTGTATGACTGTTGCATATCAATCCACTGAAGCTATTCCATCAAACCATTATGAAGGTGGTGAAACCTTAACAGCTTTAAAAGCTGGATGTAGCAACCCTAACTCATCTTTAGTTTCAAGTGGATTAGCAGTCTCATTTCTAACTCTCTTAACCCTCCTACTGGCCAGTGATTTATGCATAAAGCCATACATCTGCAAGATCTGGTTATCCCCAAAGTTAAAAGCTCTGTCCATTTGCCTCAAACACCTCTCCACCGGATAATCCCCAAACTTCCCGCAGGGCTTGCACCCCACAAAATGCGTAACCAAGGGCCATCTATGATCCCCTAACCCCGGATGATAATTCTCTATCATTTCTTCATAACGATCCACCAAAATTCCCCAATAACCATGCAAATAGTAAGCATTCTCTAAATAAACTTTTTCTCCCCACTTGGCCCTTTCCTTGACCAACAAGTAAACCATCGCAGACTGATCATCGGCTTCGAAAACCGGCCTTCCCTTCAACTCCCTGGTCAAAACTTTCCCGGCTTCTTCCCTAATCTTCCCTTTCGGGCCCATCGGAGCCCAAGCATCCAAAAGATCAAGCGACCATTGACAATTCCTTAACAAAAAGCTACCCGTATTTAATCCAATCCAATTTTTCTCATCATAAACCATTTCATTCCAACCATGCATAACCAAATTAGAATCTTTGTACCTTTCCCATGGAACCTCGTACGCCATGTCCGTAAACATAGCATCACTGTCCATCCACCAGAGAAACTCGATTTCTGGATGCGAAAGCAAAAGCTTCCGAATCAACGGTAATTTCGCCCAAAATCCCGCCATTTCCGCATCCAAAAGCGCCATGTTGTAAAAAATCTCGACCCCGTGCAACCTACAGTAATCGATCTTGTTCTTAATCGATTTCAAAAGGTAATGATCGCCGACCGGGTTTTCGCACGGTTTGGGTGACGAACCGGTGACGAGGAGGACTCGGGGCTTGTTTGGACCGATGAAGTTTGGGAATTCTGGGTTGTTTTTGAGCCACTCAGATCTTTGTTGATCCCACTCAGATATCTTAGGTCCGAGTGAGTACGGTTTGTTCGGGTCAGGCTTTTCCTCGTCTTCGCCTTCTTCATCGACGAGAATCTTGGAGATATCAAATTCGGCGTAGTTCTTATCGTTGTTGTCGTTCTGAGCTTCTTCGAGTAAGCGGCGGGACTCCGCCCGCTTGCGGGAAGCGTAGGAGCGGTGGTTGTCGGAGCTTTCCCCCGAGGAGCCGGATTTCGCGGGGGTAAAGGTGCCATGTAGGACGATGAAGGTCAGTAGAAGGCAGAGAACGGTTATTTTGGCTCGGGAACGGCGAGGTCGTAACCACCGGTCCAACATCCTGGTTTCTTTGCCCCTTCAGTCGATTGGTTCGGATTGTAAATAAATGGAAAACCGAGGGGGAGAAATAAATCGGTGGAGTGGGAACTGGGAAGTGAACAAGGAAGGAAGGAAGGAAGAAAAAAGAGGGAAAATTAAAGGGGAAACAGAGAGATGGCTTCTATATTTTTATTTTATATTTTATTTTTGGGTGGTTTAAGGTGAGCACGTTGATGGAAATGTAAAATATATGATGGTGTAACGACGGGCGTAGATCCCATGGGTGGGGCACGGTAAAGAGAGATCGTACGGTGGTGGCCCTTTCATTACAGGGGGTGAGCCTATTAGTCCAGTTAGAAGGAGCGCACGTGTTCGAGATTTGCATTTACTCCAATCACATGGGTTTTAACAACTTGATTAACATTTTTTGATTTACGGCTCAATGAAGGGACGGCCCAAAATTAATTAAGAGCTTGACTTTTTTATGAGCTGGCACTTGGCATTTGGTCATTAAATTTTTTGTTTTCTTTTATTTTTTTAATCTAATGAATAAAGTTGAGGATTTGATCCATTTGATCAGTTTAATTTTAAAATTTTTTAAAATTAAATTAATTCAATTCTAGAATAAAGAATTGAAATGAATCAAATTATAATAAAAAAAATCAATATCGAAGTTATTTCAATCAATTCAATTGATTATTTCAATGTAAATGAAGTTTTTTTAAAATATATGTTAAAACATTAACAATATTTTTGTAAATAAAAAATATTGTTTAAATTTATTAATAATATTTTATATATAATATTCTCATATAAATTATTAATGATATATTTTTCAATCGATTCGATTAAAAATTTTGAATACCAAAATTTGATCAAAATAATCAAATAAATTATTTCCATTAGCCAATTAATATGTAAAAAAAAAGAATAATCAAATTCAATCGGTTCTTCTTAATGGATTAAAATTGAAATCGAAAAATTCAATCCAAAGTTACCAAATTCAATCAATAATTTTAATTTGACTCGATTAATTTTCATCTCTACCAATAAAGTATATTACATTGAAACGAATTACACTATTTGATAGAAAATAAAATAGATTTTAAGTATGTCTTCAAGTTTTGAGCATATCCCCATAAGTCTTAAACAATTGCAGCCATGATTGCTTAATGCTTAATAATGTATTTAACATTTGCTTGTGAAAATTAGATGAACAATAATTTGTTGTGCCTTGGTAATATTATAACTTGATGTGAATAAAAAATCTTTCAAAAACTTGCATGCAATATGAATATCCTAAATCCAAAAATAAATAAACATAAGATATTTACAATCTCTTAATTTAAAAGGATTTTCACATCTCTAACTCTCGATGTATCACACTAATTCACCCTAAACATTTCTTCGAGATTTGTCGCTAAATTTAAAGGGTTAGGAGTTTGTAACTAACTATTGTAAGAAATCCGGACCAAACCAAACAAGGTTTAACGAGATCTCTAGCAAAGGGATTCACTTTCCTGAAATTCCAATAACATGCAAAAACAGTCCCAAAATGCAAGAAACAGAACAAGAATCCGAGCCCGACCGCACCCATGACCAACTCCAGAGGATCCCACACGATGCTCAGCGATATCTGGGAAACGTAGAGGGGCAAAGCGTTGGAATTCACGTGGAACCCACGGTCGACCCAGACGAGCCAAGCTGCCAGGCTCATGAGGAAACTTGTCCCGATCGAGGCAAGGTGAATAAGCCACAGCGGGGGGAACCAAAACGGCTTGTGCGCCATGGCACGGTACCTTTTGCCCGAACCGAACTTGAAGATTACGAAGAGGGTGAGGGAAAGGGGGATTGCGATGGCTGTGAGGAGAGAGCAGAGAGCCCTCTTGGCTCTAGCCTTCTTGTCTTCCGGTCTGGCCCTCACCGGAGGTTGCGCCGCGGCTTGTTTGATCATGTTGAGAGTCCGCTAGGGAGAATTCGAGAGGCCATTTGTAAAAGGCATTGAGCATTGGGAAATGAATATTTATCGAGGGAAAAAAATCATGGGGTGGAGATGAGTGTTGTGGAGCAAATCTTGGGTTTCCATAAATGGAACCTTTGAAAATCAATTGACCACGTATGTTTTTTTGACCCTATTTTTTCTCATACTAATTTGTCTAATAAAATTTCTAAAAGAAGAAAATTTGGCTCCTAATCTTCCTCTCTTTTCTTTGCCTGTATACCTTGTTCCATCTAAATTCCCCACATATTGAATTGAATTTTAGATTCTGTGAAGAATTTTTGGTTGATTTTTATGATTAAGGTCGGACTTGGTCTCAAGTATTTAATTAGTGATTTTAAATTGAATTATTTTTTATTTTTATTGATGTTAATTTCGAATGTACAATTAAATGAGGAATAACGTAATTTTATGTCACTTAAGTGATTCAATAATTTTTTAAATATTATTCACAAAAAAAGAAGAAACTATCTAATGAAAGCTAAAACTTTAAAATAGACATATAATCAAATTTTAGCACTCATTGTGATATTTACCTAATATATATATATATATATATATATATATATAAGTATAAACTCAGAGTTCTTTTATTGATGAAAATGATCATATTTATTTATTATATTTTTAAATTACCTTTTTAAATGCTTTTTATGATTAATATTAATAAACTTTATCTAATTTATAAATATATAAGAATTTTAATTCCATTGAATGATTTACATGTTTTTCTACTATAAATATTAATAAGATTTATTCAAATTATAAATATAAAAGTATGAATATTGAAAAAAAACTTTTATTAATGAAAATATTATACATCTAAACCCTAAACTTTTATTTTAAATTTTTTATATTTTATATTAACAAGTTTTATTTATTTTAAAAATATAAAAGATATCTAGTTGCATCAAATAATTTTCATAAATTTTATTATAAATATATCTAATATATAATAAGAACTTTAATTGTATTTAACAACTTTCATTGAATTTTTTTTATAATTTTAATAATATTAAATAATTTATAAATTAAAATCACAAAATTTTATTTATTATATATAATTATCTGTTATTTATAAACAATTAACAAATAAATATTCACTTGCAAGAAACAGGATAATAAATTAGAGTAAATTGGTTAAGACTTTATATTTACATTTGTTTTTTACATAGATGCCCTTGGACCAGTCATCTATTGTGTGAAAACAAAGTTGGGAGAAAAAGGTAATTTCATCTTCTATCTCTCTAGTAATTTTTACTGCTCGCTCTCTCACTCAGTCACTCTCCTAAAGCCACTTCTCTGTTATCTCCACAGCCAACCAGCAACAAATCTGCTAGCAATTTCCGGCTGAATAATTCGAGAATGGTGATTTCCTCTTTCATCATTAGCTTATTTTTTCTGTTTTTTTTTTCCTCTTTAAAATCTAGTTCGTTTTATTATTTTCTATATATTCATCGAAGATTGTTGGATTAGGGTTTTGAATTTTATTGTAGTGAATCTGATTTGTTCTATTGTACGACGTAGCCATATTAGGAAGATTTTTTTTTGTTTGTCTTATTTTCTTCTGAATTGTAATTTTGAAAGTGCTGGAGTTCTGTTTGGTTGCTGAGAAATGGTTGGAAATTAAATGTGATTATTATATTCAAATGTTTAACGATATGGAAATCCACTAGTTTTGATGATATGTTTCTTGTATGCGGCTTGCTAATGGAGTTAGAATGTAAGAATCTATTGCTGAAACCAGTAACTGTGGAATGTAGCTTTTTAATTGTTTTTATGTTGCGGTGATGTTTAAGTTATAGATTAGATGACTGAGCTTTTTGGGTGTAATTGAGTTGATTTTTGTTTGCCGGCTTTTGGCTTGAACTTTACTTTCATTGATTAAAGATTTGCTTCCTTCAGCACCTATCATGCAGTCTGATTCAATGTGGTAGGAGATATTGATACTCTTGATGGCATTTTATGTTGCATGATTTTGGTTTTATCCTTTATTCTGCAGGATGGGAATGATTCAGTTGATCCAAAACAGAGCACTGGTGATATGACAGCTTTTGTGAGTTCCTTTTCAAGTCGTTACTTTAATTTATCATAAATAACATTTAGCGGGATTTTAAAAACATTGCACTTGAATTGGTTGGGTTGCATTGGACCATTTTATGTTTTAGCTAAATTGAGGAAAGCATGGGAATTTTGAGATGTTTATAAGTATGCATATTGCAACCTTCTGGTTCTATAGTTTAAATGATTTTCATCCAGCTTTCGCTGAATTTTAGTTCTTCCTATTGCAGGTCCAGAATCTACTTCAACAGATGGTGAGTTTTTTTGTTTTCAATTACTTTAAGATTCTGTATGGAATAAAGGAGCAATGAATTTTAAGCAGATGTAGCTTAGTTGGCTGTATTGTTACATCTTGCAGCAATCGAGGTTTCAAACAATGTCTGACTCCATCATCATGAAGAATATCCTTTTTTTATTTACCTAGTAACTGCATAGTACTAGGAAACTGAATCTTGAGGAGATGAAATTGCTTCATTGGTATTTTATGGCATCAGAAATGTGATTTGTTGACTTTGGGGTCCTGTTGGTGGAGGTTGGCTTCTTGACTTGCTCATTGCTGAGGTTTTAGTCTGTTTTTAGCTTGGGCTTTTATTTACTTGAGGAAAGAAGTCATTGGAGGGTTGCTGACTTTTGTTTCACTTGTCCTTGTTCCTCTAGTCCTACCAAAGCCAAAATAAAGCAATTTCATTTTAATGGGATGTATATTCCTGATTCTCAGGAGAATAAGATACTGCATCCCATTTGTAAATGGTTTCTTGACATCCTTAACTTCAATGCACTTGATGAGATGGGTAGCAGGATAGATGAGCTAGAGCAAAGCATCAATGATCTCAGAGCAGAGATGGGTGCGGAGAACTCTCCTTCTCCTTCTCCTTCAGTTCCTGCCGTGCCAAAGGATGATTCCAAGTCACCCCAGTGAAGTTTAACAGTTCTGTGATAGGATAAATGAATCAGGCGTCTACAACATGGTATTTCTAGACTCTATTTCTTTTCCTCCCCACTCCCTAGCCTTTCTCATATGGAAAACCAGTAGTATCAACTTTTGGAAGAGACAAGTATACACCTGATACGTGTAACCAAGGCCGTCCTTAATAGCTATTTTCCATAGAATATTGTTAACCCTCGCGATGCCTGCCTTCCTCCTGTTTTGAATGCCGCAAGGTGCGGGCAGCATGTATTGTATTCTCCACACAGAAACTTCAAGGCCATGATTAGACCTTTTGGCTCAATGTATATTCTATGTTTTGAATTTCATGATTGTGATGAGCTGTTGTTAGTGTCAACCAGGGGAACCGCAGCCGACACCATGAGCACCTGAAGAGGAATTTGATTTTCTATATAGGAAAAAGAAAAGAGTAGTTGGCAAAGGTATTCATGCTTGAAAGAATCTCATTATTTGTTGTAGATCATGCCACTCACTAAGGAATTAATTAGATTTAAGGTGTTTGATTTGGCTTAAGCACAAAAATGGTGTTGCAACGGTGGTCCTGGATACGCATGCAAGTATGACAAAGACATCTGAGGTGTAGCAAAAAAGGTCAGAGAGATGATGCCATTACAGTTGGATTGCAATTCACTCCCAATTTCAATCTCTATCCCTTCCCTTTCACATTGAAAAAAGAATTAGATTCCATGAATGAAAAGCTTCGCCACATGACCCGCCCACCCCAGCACTAGGCGCAATTTGTGGGGTCAATTTAATCGTATTAATTAATGTTCAACATAGCTTAAGGATGCCTTGATTTAATCTAAAAATTGAGGCTTTAAATGAAGGTGGGACAAGTTATTGTAGCTAACTCTTTAACTATCCAACTATTTTTCCAACTACAAATTTTACTTTTTTTGGGCCATTGGCTGTCTGATATCTCGAGAGAAAGATAGATTCACCACCACAAAAATCAAATGATATCCGCCTCAAATTTAATATCATGGACCCAAAAATTAGAAAAAGAAATATCAATAACAGAAAATAAATACAATACCGAAATTGATATATATTAGAAATAAAATTAAACAGGGTTTGATTATACTACAGTCGCAACATAATCACACTTTATTCAATAATCTTCATCTTTATTCCACTCACTTCTTTTTTTATATACGTTTTAAATAAAAATTTTGGAAAAATATTAAAGACAACAATCCCATCAGCAATACACATAATTAAATAAGGAATAAAATTAAGGGAGGAAAATTACATTTTTTTTTAAAATTAGAGAGGCGAAAAAAGGACTTAAAATGGAAAATAAATCTAGCGCCGACAGCGGGTAATTTTACTGCACCCGCGTGAGTAGGGATTCGCCTGAGCTCCTGGTTGGCAGTTGTAGTACGACGCGCCGCGTCGAGAGCATGGCACGGTGTTTCTCCTCAGCGCACCGTAGCTAATGTAACGAGTCGTTGCTAAAATGCGGCGGCTGATCTCGGAGCCCATGGCGAACTCGGCATCGAAGTCTGAGGAGGATTCGTCTCCGCTCAGCATCAGGCACTCGGCGATGGATCCGCGGCACTCCGATTTAATCGGGAGGAATTGGTCGCCGCCGACGAAATCGAGAGTTGGAGACGAATCTGAAACCGCCACGTAGACGGCTAGGATGGCGCAAATCGCGAGCAGACTGAGCGAGAATCTAGAGCTTCCCATTTTCGGGTTCTTTTTCGTTTTTCTGTTGATGGAAGGGAATGAAAACCAGGGCAGGTTTTAGGATTATAAGTGATTGACGTTAACAAAAGGCCACTGTGGTTTCGACTTATTTGCGATTCATGCCACTTGACTTTAACGTGACCGACCTTACTTGCAATCTAAGCGTTTCAAATGCTTTATGGACATCCACTAATCAATCTTTTGACTTTACTTCTTACCCTTGTAAAAATTAATTAATTAATAAAAAAAAAATTAATTGTGGGAATTATTTTTGACTGTCATCATTATTCAATTTGAATTATTATAATAAATATATATAATATATACACCTTAACACTGTGTCTAAAAATAATATGAATCGTAATTATAAAATTCGATGTGATAGATTTTTTTATTATATTTATAAATTTTTTTAATTCAATTTGTATTGCATAACATATAATCCTAATTCCTAAACATTATGATGAAATGTTGAGATAGCGCCAGATAGTGGACAACTAAGGTGAGAGTGAGACAATGGGAACATTTGATAAGTATAGGTTTTGGAGTAAGGAAAACAAAATATATTTCTCTTTCAATGTCATGAGAACGCTACTCAAAGTGTGTCAAATTAAGTCTTTGTATTCGAGCATTTGGCAAACAACTTTTTGCGCGTTTTGCGCTGCTGATGCTGATTGATGGCATGAAAGGGGCCCGCTCTGCAGTATTTTTCTTTGCAGCACTAAGGACTTCTCTGTTTTGTAATGAGTCAGTTTTCATACCAACAATCTATGTTACGAGACAGGGTTTTGGATATGATTGCCTGGAGTTAAATCTGCCCTGTCTTACCTCTGGACATCAGGTCAAGTCAAGCTTTCAGAAATGGTGAAACTAAGGCTGTGAAAATGCCATGACCAGAAATATATTCTCGTTGTCTGGCATTGATTAGAACTTGTGTCTTTCCTGGCAAAACATACAGGAAAGGGGAGTAGGGTTTCAGGCAATGAACTTGTAGTTCATGCCATTATACCAGTAAAAGTAGAACATCCTTTTGAATGTCAATCAAATGAAAACAAAAAGATGTTGGTGATCAATTTAATCCAAGATTTTGCCAACCCTTCTTTCCTTAATCACTCACCCATAGTTCTGTGTTTTGAAGGGTTACCTTGGGAAAAGACAAAGCCACAAAGGCCATGGGAAGTTATGCAGTAGCCATCAACAGGAGAGTAATCAAGATTGCAATATTACATACATCATGGGTAGCTCATGATTTCAAGGATAAACATCAAATTTGATTAAGTCATTGTAGGAGGATATGATCAGAGCCTGATGGGAGGACTGAAACTGTTTGAAACCTTGTTAGAGATAAGGTGACATTAATAGAGAAGCCCATTGAATAAAATTTTCTTCCTTTCATTGAATCCATAGGTCGGGTCTAAGCCCATACAATCTGAATGAAATCAAAGACTAGCTAAAAAAAAAGAAAAAATAATAAAGATAAATAGCCATCTAAATCAAGATTGAGAGAAGTCAAGCTTTCGTTATACCACATGGTGAAATTAAGCTATCCACGTATGGAAATACCTTAGCCCAATATGTGATGCCATGGACGACTAGCTTCTCATATGATTCATCTTTGGGATTGAACAAGAAAAATTTTTTATTATCTGAGCTTACCAAAACCTTGTTCCCGATATAACATATTGGAAAGGGTCGCCAAATTCTGCCATAATTTGGTGTTTCTGGAAAGATAATCAGTTTCATCCAAGATTTATGCATCCCATGCTGCTTTTTCCTGACCCAGAGATCAGTGTCGCCAGTAATTTTATCGTGCCTCAGCACGCAAAGACAGCCACGAAAAAGGCTTAGGCTACAACCGTCCACTCTGCATGGAGGAGGTAAGACCTCTCTCACCTGCTCTTTCGCTAAATGAAAACGTAAAATCAAATCATGGTAGATCCCAGAACGTAAGGGTTTGCAGGCAAACCAATAGAGGCAGCCATTGGCGAGGGTTGATTTTTGCTTAGATTTGGCAAAGTAAGGTAGATCCTTCTGAGCCTTTATGATTGAGTTATTTTTAATACTCAAGAGTTCAACATCCGAAAACTCAGAAACCCCATACTTATTAGACACTAGTAAGATTTTGTACTCATCCGTAGAGAAATCACGACCAAATCCCAACACTCTCCATGATTCCCTCCTCCAAGATATCGGAACTGGAATTTGCTTCAGATCCTGAAGAGACGGATTCCATAGTATCAGTGTCTGCAACCTAGATTTGACACTTTGTATACCTACACAAAACAGGCCATCGCAGTAACCTATAACAACGAAAAACTTGGTCGGATTCATCGAAAGAGTCAGATCGCAATAGGGAATCTTCAGATTGGTAGCTTGGATCACTTGTTGTGCATCATTGCCATGTCTCTCCCTTAATATTCTTATATAAAAAGGTCCTCGGACGAAATCATAAAGAAGAAAATCATGGTGGCTTTCGAGGGCTGCCATGGTTTTTAAATATCTTCGGATGAATTCTGGATCCGAAGTTAAAAAGTTCCAATGCTTGCAGACGCACTTGAACCGCGTTAAAGATTTGACGGGAAGTTTTAGTAGAATCTTCAGCAGAAGATCATGAGCAAATTCTGGCTCACATACTGACCCCATTGTTAACAATGGTCCTGCTTGTTACATACGTACTATGAACAAGAGGCTCAAAGAGTTTTAATTTATTCTAAGCTGCTTCGATGCACAAGGTTATATAGCATCATATCTTTTCCATTTTGCCCTTTTCAGGCATAAAGATGAGTTTATGTACTATATTTAAGGTTGAATAAGATTTTTATTTTGACAAAAATTTAACTATGTGTATCAAGTGATTATGATAATTATTATGGGTTTTGATTTGAAATTCAAAAGCCCATTTGGTTGGGAATGGGGTGGCAGGCTCAACCTATTTGCCCATCCACAGGTTTCAACCAGGCATGTAGATTATGGGCTTGACTTAGCCCATCTCTTGATCTTAAATGGCTGGGTGCATATGTCATCCTCGCTGAGATCTTGGAAATACCTCTCTTTTCCTATGTTTATGCAGCCCAAGAACCAAAAAGGGGTAAACCAGCAATAGGAAAACTTCTCATCCTTACATATTTATGACATGAAATTTTATAATTTAATAATAATGTATTAAATATGAAATTATATTCTTCAAATTATTGTCTAACAATGCGTCTATTTATTGAGTTTTCTGAACGGAAAGTGATTATAAATACTTTGCACTCTTTTTGAGGTCCAAACTAAATCAGACCAGTTGCAGCTTTCCCAAACAACAAATTTGACTGGTAAGCTTTAACTCAGCCTTCCTTGTGCCTTAATGGCTAGAATTCAAGGGCTGGCCGTAGCCCACCACTTGTTCTTGATGGCTGGATGCACTCGTCATCCTCCTTGAGATCTAGGCTTCCAAGGCTACTAGCAGCGTTAGGGGCAAATTATTAAGACCCTACCAAAAAAACCCCCTAAACTGAACGAATGAGGTATTTCAAAATACCTTTCTTTTTTGTGCTGATATTAATTATTTTGAAAGTAATAATGTATAAATATTGTATACCGCTAATACAATATTCCAAATTGTATAAGCCCAGCTGCAGCTTTGCACTAGATGGTTAGGATTCGTATAACACACTCTGACCAAGAGATCAAGGGTTCAAAGGCTATGAGAAAGGGTTTAGGGTTTTGAGAACTACTGAACAAATGAGGTACTCTAAAGTACCTTTCTCTTTTGGTCCTTGTATAAAATTCCTAAAGGCTAAAGTTTTCCATGGAATTGAAGAAAACGATTCCAATTTGTTGTCTTACATTCTTGCTCACAGATTATGAATAGTGGCACCATGTTACTTAGCTTTCTACTTTGAAATAGCTACTTGACGTGTTGATCTTATTTTTTTGTTTTTTTCCAGAAGTTTCCAATCATCTCATAGATCAACTATTTATTCTTTTTTTAATAAAAAATAAAATTAATCGATTAAAGGAACCGTGTGAGGGGCACACGCCCTTTAATTGTTAATTGTCAGTTGTTTATATTATCAAATCGTTGTTCATATTTAAAAGTATTTTAATAATTTTATTTAAAAAATTAAAAATATAAATTCTTATGAGAATAGAGCTTATCCACATAAATTAAAATACAGAAACGTTAATGATTAGAATTGAAATTAATAAGATTTATTTAATATTAGAAGTGGTCGTGTTAATGAAGCCCTATGCCTTTCAACTTTTGATTTACATGTTGTAATTGTTTAATTTATCTCACAAAGGAATTAGAGACAGGAAAGATTCCTTTTCCATTGCATTTTTTGACAATTCTCATGTTTGTTCAAGCTTTTCTTATTGTCCAATTTCTTTGCTAACCCCCTATATAATAAGCCTTAGTCATGGTTTGTTTGCTCCATGCATATTTCTCTCTTTTCTCTCTCTCGTAAGGCAAGCAAGCATAGCTAGTTTCAGGTTTTTACATGAGCTTTAGCCCATCGGTTCAAATGGCAAGCTTGTTCACTTATCTGTTGTTCCTTTTGGCCATCTTCTTCATCTCACCAGGTGTATCATTGACTTTGAAAAGAGGGTTTTATCGAAAAACATGCCCATCAGCTGAGGCTATTGTGATGAGTACAGTGAAGGCAGCATTGGCTAGTGATCCTGGAATACCAGCGGCTCTCATCAGACTCCATTTCCATGATTGTTTCGTGAGGGTAATCCTTGATTTACTTATTCATTTGCTTTCAGAGACTCCATTTCTGTTGAAATGTTTACATCCTTTTTGGTTTCTGACAGGGTTGTGATGCTTCCATACTTCTCGATTCCACACTCAGCAATCGAGCAGAGAAAGAGAGCATGGGGAACAAGGGTGTGCAGGGCTTCCAGGTCATCGACGAAGCAAAGGCTAAGATAGAAGCTCAATGTCCGAACACTGTTTCATGTTCGGATATCCTTGCCTTTGCAGCTCGTGACAGTGTCACCCTCGCCGGTGGCCTTCACTACGGTGTTCCTTCGGGGCGTCGAGATGGGAGGGTTTCTTTCGCAGCGGAAGTGACTCAGAACCTCCCCGACGCATTCTTTAATGTGACACAGTTGAAACAAACTTTCGCACGGAAAGGTTTGTCAATGGAGGAAATGGTAACACTCTCGGGTGCTCACTCAATCGGGGATTCACACTGCTCTTCATTCTCGAAACGTTTATACTCTTTTGATAAGACTTCTGCACAAGATCCATCCATGGATCCATCTTACGCCAGGCTCTTGAAGGGTAAATGCCCTCGGCCGTTGAACACTCGGAGTGGTCCTGATCCATTGGTGCCTTTTGATCCTGTAACTCCCAACCGGCTTGATAACAACTATTACAAGAACTTGAGGAGCAGCAAGGGACTGCTGGCTTCAGATCAAGTGCTTTGGAATAGTACGTTAACAAGGAAGTTCGTGAAAGAGAATGTGAACCACCCAAGTGCTTGGGCAGCGAAGTTTGCTGCTGCAATGGTGCACATGGGTTCCATTGATGTGGTCACTGGGAAACAAGGAGAAATCAGGAAGAACTGTAGGGTTGTGAATTGAAGATCTGCTGGAGAGTGCTGAAATTTATAGTTTCATGTGTTTGCTTTGATATTTCACAACAGACTTTTTGATGCTTTCATAATGTAGTTTATGATTTTGATATGGGTTTGCAGGGGAAGAAAATTTGTTTAAATTAAATAATGTTTCTATGTCTTTCCAGTGAGTAATAAAAATGATAAACTTTCTTGAATAAATGTCATGTTACATTGTCACTTCAGCCTATAAAGAAATATACAGATATTAAACGTTACACAACGTAGAAAAGCTTCAATAAATAACAAGGGGATCGCTTCGGCCCTTGCCCTTGCAGCAAGAAGAGGAGAGAAGAAAGAAAGAAAGAAAATTCAAGGACTATCCTCCGCCTAAAGCAAATTTAAAGCAAAACTTTGAAATGTCTATATTTGGCACAGACATATGCCACTTAATTTCCTTGTGTCTTGCTGATGAAAAACATGCATGTTAGCCATTGAGATCAAGGGATCAAATTCCATCCAAGGCAAAAGAAAACAAAAGCAATACTTACTTTGTAAAACTGAGGTATTCTGAAAATTGAGCAAAAGGGTATGTTATAGTTAAATCATGAACTCTTCCTCAAACTCAGAATAAAATGGTTAGATAGGGACTTTATGCCGCACCATGTTTTTTCCTTTTAGCGTCCTGAAACACTTTCAAGCCTTCTCTTCCAATTGACCACTGAAGTCATTACTTCAATGGTTTTCAAGGAGGTAGTTGCGACCAGCTGGTACCTTAAGAAAGAGAATATGTGGCAGTATTATTGTACATCTTTGCTCACAGATTATGGTAACCCTGTACTTCTAATACTGTTACCAATATTAAACATGAAGTTTTAAGTTTTAAATAGCTAGTTGCCATTGATTTTCCAACTTTATTCAGATTTCCCTGTAGAAATTATGTCATTGGAGTAGCTTCCTTTTCTTTTCACGATAGAAGTTCATTGAACATCTTCCTTTCCTCGACTACATGCCTGAGACAGGAGTAGGTGAAACCTTGGCCAAGTCAGATGATTCCACTAACTTTTTGTATGATCTGCTTCTCCCTATTACTTTTAAAAAAGGGCATCGTGTGGAAGGCACACGCCTTTCAATTGTTTATTTGCTGTCAATTTAGACTGCAACAGTAGATTTAATGGGAATTGGTGTGGAGGCCACATGCCTTTCAATTGTTTATTTGCTGCTTTGTAGTTGTTTTATCTCACACGAAGGTTCTTATCATCGCCTAATTTAAATTCACATGTTCTTTTTCAAAATTTTTTATTGCTTTATTGCTTCGATGACTCACCATAGAAGGCACTGGCCATGACTTGTAAGCTGCATACTACCCTTTCTTTCTGATAATAGAACAACGGTAAAGTTCAAGGTTGGTTCGGCTCATATACATAGCAAACTTGTTACTATATTCATTGTTGGGCTTTGAATGAGACCCAATCTTCCCAATGGCTTGGGCTCAAGCTTTGGGTTCCAGCCTCCTCACTCTCTCCTTGTCACAGGCCTTTCTCCCATTGATGATTTCTCTTTTTTCTAGCAAACTTTAAGGCGTTCCAATCGTTTCCTTGATTGAATTATACGAAATCATGGACTGGGGTATTTATCAAAATCGCTTCTTTTCAACAGATAGATGTTCATCTTTAGAAGCAGTTAATATAGTCACATACGTAGTCAACAGTTCACCATGCAGTACTTCAGGGACAAAGTATTGAATCTTTGCATTCCCAGGAAATGGTATTTCTGTTTCATTCAGTTTAATTTAATGTTGTTTTCGGTGATAGGTTGATTACTTCCGAGGACCATTCAGCTATTCTGATCAGCATTAGACTCATCCATTCTCAAAGCTTTGCTCTTTGCGGTTTTGTCTGTGCTCGGGTTCTTGTTCTCTTCTCACCGTACTATGTTTTTGCATTTTAGCTTTTGTGTTCGTATCTCCTTTTCAAGAGGTGACCAAACTGTTTACTATGCTACCTTTCTTTCTTGGCTGTTTGCGATTGGTTAAGCGAAACTGGCTGGTCCACTGATGTTTCTCCTGTTCAGGGAGATGCTGACAGTGCATTGGACCAGCTATGGTAGAAGAAGAAGATTGAAGTTCGTCAGCATTTAAACGAAAGCATTAGATTCTTTTTACTCTGTTTCAGGACAGAGATTTTGTTCCTACATAATGAGTTTTGGTTCATTGGCCACGTTTCAACTCTGCCAGTTGATTACTCCAGGACAGAGATTTTGTTCCTACATAATGAGTTTTTGTTCATTGGCCACGTTTCAACTCTGCCAGTTGATTACTCTTTCTTGGATTGTTTGATTGAACAATTCTTCTTCACTGCTAGGTTGAATTGCACGATTTCCATTCGTTATTTGACATCTATCTCATCAATTTCTTGGAATTTTGAGGAAACTAAAAAACCCCAGAGACTAAAAACAGTTGGTGCTGCTGCTTGCTGGGGCCCGCGACCAAAGACAAAACTTTAAAACTTTTAACCTTTTCTAAGAAGCCGGCCAGGACTTGAAACGAGGTTGGTTCAGCGGAAACTCAGTGAAGGAGAGCAATGGAGCCGACGACCCCAACAAAGCTGGAATACTATGATCAAATGTCGAAACTTCAATCCAAAGCCACCCTTCTTTCCTACTTCAAGGTCACTTCTTTATCCCCATTTCCCATCTGGTATTTTACCATTCATTGGTAAAATTGACCATTTCATTTGCTTTTTTTAATTGGTTTTCAGGGTGATGATGGAAGGGAAGCTTTGATTTTGGACTCTACAATCTTCCATCCACAAGGCGGTGGCCAACCTTCTGACACTGGTTTTATTAGTATTGCCAATTCCAACCACAGATTTTGCGTGCAAGATGTTAGATCAAAAGATGGAGTTGTAAGTTTACTTGTCTAAAAATTGGAACTTTCTTTTCTTCTTTTTCTTTAAAAAAAAATCTATTTGCTTGTTGGTTTTTCATTTTTCTTTGGTTCATAGGTGTTTCATTATGGAGTTGCTGAGAATTCCAGTAGGGAAAGTGAATTGGAGCAAGGAAAAGGGAAAGAAGTGTCTTTGCAAGTGGATGAGTCACGGCGGCGGCTGAATTCTAGGTAGATGATATGAAGTGATGATGAATTCATTATTGCTAGTTTCAATTATTAGGATTATGAAGACTGCTTCATATGAAATAATTTAAGACTATCCAAGAATTATGACAAGTTGGGATTAAAATGAAGAGTATAGAAGTGGTTTACAAGGAAACTATATTTTTCTTTAGCTTGGCTTGAAGGAGAGAAAAGTTTATAAATATTACTCATTTCTTGATGATTTGCCGATTCAAGTTCCTTTTTTTCTGTTTCAATGTTCATAAGTGAAAGCTTGATTGTTTCTAATGAACCAGCTAACTGAAAAACATACTGTTCTTCGAAATGTTTTCTGAAAATTCTAAATAGATCAACATGTATTGTTCTATCAAGCTTTAGAATACTTAAACAATGGAACATAATTGACACAAAGATCTAGAAATTTGAATAAAGGCCCCAAAAGTGGTATAAACTTTAAATTTATTTAAGTTCTAACACCAAAAGTCTTTACTGTTTGAGCTCCAGTAACTGGCTTTTCCATGTTCTTGGGCTTATTTGATATTTATTTTTTCTTCATTTACTGTTGTTGAGCAGGTTGCACTCAGCTGGGCATTTGCTTGACATATGCATGAGAAATGTTGGATTGGGGCATTTGGAACCTGGGAAATGCTATCATTTTCCAGATGGGTATGTTTCAACCAACTGGCAGTTGTGAATTAATTGTCTGTGGCAAAAGCTTCAACCTAGATTGCTTGTAATGCACACAAATATATGCACTCTTTGTGCTGTGCTAGTACCAAAAGAAGTACAAGGACAAGTGCTTACTGTGATTGCTTAGGATTAATTCCCTATTTCTTTCTATGTGTTGTTAAACACCATTATTTACTTATATCGTTAATGGTTGATCCGTTATGCGGATCTTTCTGCTGAAACTTCCATTTTGATGTCCATATTACATCAATCGATATGTTTATAAGCAAATAGGGTTGCTTAGAAGTGGGATTCATGAAGTTTACTTTTTTCCAGGCCATTTGTTGAATATAAGGGTACAATTCCACCAAATGAATTGCAAAGTAAGCAAAGGGAACTAGAGATGGAAGTTAACGCCTTGATATCTAAAGGAGGGAAAGTAAATATCATTTTAGCTATGCCAGGTGAATTTAGTTATGTTGCAGTTGCACAGAAATTGTTGGTAAACCTCATCCCCATTTCTTTCAGGTTTATGCCACACTATTACCATATGAAGAAGCTGCTGAGCTGTGTGGTGGTTCTCTTCCTGACTATATTCCGCAGGTAAGGATGTGGTAGAATGCCTTAGTATGGCCTGTAAATAGCACTTATAAAGCTTAATTTTGGACTACAGCTGTCTTAAAGCACTTAAGGAATCTAGTATAGGAGAATGGCAGAGATAGGCCATGACACAATTACTGAAATCCTGACAGATTTCAGAATGTAATTCTTTCTCCATTGCTAAGGGTAGCCTTGTTCTTGTGTCTCTTTCAGGGCAGCAATCCTCGTATCATTAAGTTAGGGGACAATCCTGGTTGTCCTTGTGGTGGCACCCATGTTTCTGATGTTTCAGAGATCACAAGTTTGAAGGTATATCGCCAATTTACTTCACCTGGAAAATGGTAGTAATTTGATTGGTGGTCATCTTCTTCAATTGTGTAATCTGACTATCCTCCCTTTAACATATTTCATTTATTGCACCCCAATATGAAGTACTTTTTTCTATGCACTCATTCATTTGCTCTGAGATGGAGATTCTGCTTTTTGAATTCACTTCATATTTATACTTATTCATGTCACCTCAGAGTGATGCCATATGTAGAATTCAAGCCATATGATATTCGATACAAATCATGAATATGAAATGGACTATTGGCATTTTATGCTGTGATATCATCTATATAAGTAGGGGTATTAATTTCTCATAACATATTTAGCGGCTAATACCATGTTTGAATTTCAAATTACTTCATAGAATCATTTTGGCAACACCTGGTGAAAAAACAAGTTGAAGATGTATAAGGTGCTAAGTAAAATTTTTTTTTGTCTTTTTTATTGTTTCCATATGAGTATGCCAACTGTTTGACATCATAGCATTACTTTAACATTTTGCAGCAAATTTGGTTTATTTTTAGGAGGGTTCGATTTAGCTTTCATTTATATGTTTTGCTTATATTTCAGGTCTCTCAGATCCGCACAAAGAAGGGAATGGCAAAAGTATTTTACAGCATTGGAACTTAATAGTTGGTGTTTGATACTCAATATTATAGGTATAAAGCTATCCATATATCTTGAGAGGAAAATGTTTCTTAATGAAACTGCATGAAATCATTTTGTTGATGATGTATTACATGATACAAAATGATGCTCCTATGAGGTGTGATTTTCTTTTTATAGTAATAGATTCCAGTTCAGTGCAAGGAGATTGAAAATGTTTGAAGGCGTAGAACTCACATGTCTAGCACCTTCTGCTTCTATGATTGATTAGTTCATCCCCTATACGTTTGCACGAACTAAAGGCCAAAATGAAGATTCGGATAATTTATTCTCAATGATATGAATTTAGGATATTTTATGGGCTAATATGCATCTTGTGCTATATGTAATGCTAATTAGATTCATTTTGGTTGAAGGCAGGCTTTTGATCCCTTACTACAACAACCATTCTGATTCGACGACTACCATCTTCACTCAGTTGAGCCATTTTCATTCAAGATAGAATGTTCATCAACCCTTCAACAATAAGCTTTTCACTGTCTATACAGTGGCAGAGCAGCATATAGAACATTCCTTAAACTTTTAATGGTTTGTATGCCTTTTTTTTCTCAACCCTGGTTAATCTTCTCTACTTTTTGAGTCCAAGCTCATCTCCTTGCTGCTGATGCCCTAAAGCCAGTATGAAACTGCCAAACTGGGGGAATGCATGGCTGGGCTTGGTCACTTGAGCTGGTTTCTGTTGAGTGGTGGATGGAAACGTGTGTTCACACTTGACACCTTGCCAAGTCCCATTTCTTTTGTTGTTTTCTGTGGCTTCTTTTCTTCTACGTTTCTTTTGCTAAAATGTTGTTTTGTGTGACTATAATAATTTGGGGTCGACGTGGGCTAAGAGGCTTCTGTCAAATGGGTGTCGATAGCCCTATCACCCTACTGTACTAGGATAATTTGGCAGTGTGGTCCACACCATTTGTATGTATCAGCAGAGTTTGCAGATTCAATCTTGGTCTCTAACTCTTCGGTCCCCACCATATCTAACCTTTGTTTTCTTTTACTTTTACTGTAAAGAGTTTGGCAAATTTTACTGCCACTGTTCATATGATTACACCAGATGAAAAGCCATTAGCTTTGAACATAATAGGAATGAGGATTCTGGATGGTCAGATGCAATTAACCAAACCAACAAAGTCAGAGAGCAATCTTAGAATATCAGTTGTTGACACATTCTGGTCCTTCCTGTTTGAAACCCAACAAGAATCAAATCTAACAAACCATTTCTGTTGGGTTGGAAACTAGATCAATGCTCACCAACCCAGTTTCTGGTTTTGACTGTGGACTCAGAATTGAATAAATTCTGTGGTTTTTCACTCTTTAAAATCTCTAAAATGCCCCAATGGCCAAGACTTAACAAACTGCACCCACAAAACGTGAAAGGACAACGTGCCTGACAAATGCTAGTTCATCCCCTTTGCCAATCTCTCTCAAGATTGTGAAATAGTGGGACTCTACAGAAGGAAAGTAATGTATCAACTGACAAAATCTTTTGCCAACCATGGTAAAGAAAGACTGTGGCAATCTAGTGGTTAGAAACAAGGAAAGGGTCAACCGCGGAATGATATTGGAAGGTAGAAAACAAGTGTTAAATTATAAAAAAGAAAAAGAAAATAAAAAAAAACAAAAGGTATCAGAGTTCAAATGGACTCTGAAAAACGGCACTACCGGTAATAGTGAATCTGACAGGAAAGGGAGGCCAAAACGAGAGCCAAGCAAATAAAATTCCTCCAAATTTAGCAGAGAGACCCTTTCTTTCCCAACCATCCAATCTTTCCTCTAAACACAACGCATTGCACGCACTTCCTTCTTTCAGATTCTCCACTAAATCTCTCTCTCTCTCACTCCCTTTCTCCCTATCTCAATCTCCTACACCCAAATCTCCTCTCTTTTCTTTCTCTTTTGCTTTTGTTTTCGTTTCTTTTAGCGCTTTTGCTTTGCCCCAAAGTTCGCACTTTTAACTCTCTCCTCTTCCTGCATTTCAGTAGAAGTCAATACTTATGGTCGTTTTCTGGGTGTGTTGACCTTGCTCTTCTCTTTTGGATCAAAAAACTGAGGTGGGTTGTTCTTCATCTGCTCTGTTTCTTCTGTTTTTGTGGGCAAAGCTTTGTTTCATATTATCTTTTCAATACCAAGGTCCCTTTTTCTTCTCACCCTTTTGTGTTGTTAATTATTTTCAATCCGTTTCTTTATTGAATTGCTTGGGTTTGTTGAGTTTTGATTTCTTGTCAAATTAGGAGACTTTAGGATGCTGATTGGTAGTCCATACTTAGTTTAGATTCATTGCGCTGTTTTGTTTTGAGTAGGCTTTTATTACTCTTAGAACTGTTTCTGCTGTTTTATTGGTAAATACTAGTACATAAAAGAAATTCTATGGAGAGGGGCGTTTTATATGTGTAACAGCTTAAACATTAGCAATTTATCATCATTATTCATTACTTATTCTTTTATAAAATTGCGTTCCGATGCCATGATCATGATCCAGATTCAGTACATTTGGTTCTAGTTTAAGATTAATAATGTCATGCTGGTCACGAGACGAATTTATAATAGGTTAGTTTTAGCAACAAAAAGAGAGCTTAATTCTTGAAATGAAAGTTTTAAGTTTAGTGACTTCAGTTTCTGATCGTTACGGTTCAAGTTTCTGTTACCTTTTGAGAAATACGATAGATTGGCTTACGTAGAATGTTGGGCTGAACTGTTAAATATATAAAGTTGCACTTCTAGTCAGTTATTTATGTCATGAACTTTTCACCTTGTTAATACACTGTCATGTCCTTTTCCCATATAAAAATTGGATAATGGAGATGTTTGCTCTGTTTCAGCCTATAATGCTGGGAGAAAATTTTAATACTTCTGAAGGGGAAATTAAGGTAAGTTTTGGCTATCAGTGCAGCAGCCACAAAGGTATTCCTTGCAGCACTGCTAATGGGTGTGCAATCCGGCCGGGAAGTCAAATGCCAAGGACAAGCAGTTTCTCTTGCTTGTCTGGTGCTGCGCTAAGCGCCAATGCTACATTGGCCAACACAAATATTTGCAATGGTCTGATAGGAGCTGAAATTCTTCCTAGTTTGGACTCTCCTAATTCATTCCGTAGGGTTCCCTCTTCACCATCTCTTACAAGGTTGGATATATTATCATCTTCCCTGCAAAGCAGTATGTCAAACTTAAGTTGCAGTCCACCAAGTCCAGATGATTCACCTGAATCTGATTCATATTTAGTGAAACCCATGAGTGCTCCTTCCAGAAGTGACAGTTTCCTTAATGCTATGGAACTACAAGTGGCAGGTGGAGCTGCTGGTGAAGACAGGGTTCAAGCTGTTTGTTCTGAAGAAAATGGGTGGCTCTTTTGTGCAATCTATGATGGGTTCAATGGAAGGGATGCAGCTGATTTTCTTGCTGGGACATTGTATGAAACTATTATATTTTATTTTAATTTATTGGACCGGGAATCAAAACATGATATCTCGGGGGCACTCAATGGTTTGGATGGAAATGGACCTTTTGAATATGTTCTTGATAATAGTAGAGCTGGTAATGAGGTGAAAATCCCTTCTGGGATTGATAGCAAGAACCATGCAAGTACTGAAAGCTTCATGAAGAAAAGTGCAGATCATAAAATGGAAGTGTCATCTAATTCGTTTAGCCATGGGGTGCTTGATAGCTTCCAGCGTGCTCTAAGTCAAGCTGAGAATGATTTCTTGTACATGGTAGAGCAGGAAATGGAGGACCGCCCTGATTTAGTTTCAGTAGGATCTTGTGTTTTGGTTATGCTTCTTCATGGAAACGATTTGTATACACTCAATTTAGGTGACAGTCGAGCTGTATTGGCAACATATAATGAAGGCAATGACATGTTTCAGTGTGGAAGGTTGAGAGCTATTCAGCTCACTGATAGTCATACTGTTGATAATGAAGTTGAAAGAACTAGACTCTTGCATGAGCATCCTGATGACTCTATGCCCATAGTTGCTGGAAAAGTGAAAGGAAAATTGAAGGTCACTCGTGCTTTTGGAGTCGGTTACTTGAAGAAGGTAGGTACTGGTTTTTCTCATTCTGAAAATTTTCCTTTATATCTAACCCCTTAAGAAGACTTGACTTTCACTGCATCCTAGCCTCGTACACAAAGCAATGCCCTGACTAGGAAACAACATCTCTATATTCCTTCATATTTATATTTGACCACTGAAGAAGGCAAATTAATACTCAGACTTGGAAATTACATCTAAGTGTAAATTTCAAACATTTTCCTTGTCAACAAATAAGTGTAGCCTGTCTTGTTTATATTGTGATTGCTATATCTTCAATCTGGGCGTTGTTTATGCAAGAGTAAGCTCTAATGCTGACCGTTATGTAACCTGTGTTATTGCTGCAGATCAACTCTTTCTGTAATCAATATATCATTTTTGTTATTCCTTGCAGAAAAAACTGAATGATGCACTGATGGGTATTCTTCGAGTTCGCAACCTCATAAGTCCCCCATATATCTCCACAGAACCATCATTGAATGTGCACAAAGTATCAAGATCTGATCACTTTGTTATAGTTGGCAGTGATGGTTTATTTGACTTCTTCAGCAATGAAGAGACTGTAAAGCTTGTCCATTCTTACATCTCAAGCAACCCCTCTGGAGATCCTGCAAAATTTCTTGTGGAACAGCTTGTAATTAAAGCAGCTCATTCTGCTGGTAAATTGCTTTATATCTGTTGCCGATAACAACTTAAGCTTTTTTTCCTAATTTAATTTGATCCATGAACAAATTATTCTTTCATCTTCTGTGTTTCACGGTTGTTTGCATTCTCATGCAAATCTTCTCCCCATTCTTTGCCTTGTATCAAAACTAAAATAGCAAAACAACAATACTAGATTACATATCATGCCAAATAGATCCTAATTGACAAAGTGGTTAGTAGACACATCCAGTTTCTTTTTTATAGCAGTATATTATTTATTATACTAAGATCTCTAAGACCTTAATTCTACCATCACAGGTTTCAGTAAGGAAGAATTGATGAATATTCCAGCGGGTAGGAGGAGGAAATACCATGATGATGTTACTGTTATTGTGATTATTCTTGGAATGAATTATCGCACTTCCAAGGCATCGACTTGTGTGTGAATTTTATATCACCTTTTTCTGTCTTGCAATAGCAGATTTAGCAGTTCTACATTTTCGCTATTTTTTTCAATTGTAAATAGCTTAAATTTGAGATAATCTTCTCTTGATTTGATGCAAACCAATTTTGGTATTACTTTAATCATGCATTAGTCTTTGGTGTAAATAAGTAGCTGGTCTTTTTATTTCTCTTTCTCTACTACTTACATGTGAATATTGAGAAGATTTTTTAACAAAATTTATCCAGCTTTCTCAATTGAGTAATCACTTCAGCATGATCTTATTCGTTCATGCTCTCATCATCTTTTATTCATGTTTACCCCTCATTCTTACAAGCTTCTATTCATGGAATTCTTGCTCTGTTAAAATTCTGGGTTTCTATGACATGACTGACACCAGGTATGTGCCTGGTCCTTTTCCATTTTGCAAAGCAATTTATAGGAATGGAACATTCACAGATGAGCCAGATCCTGGCAAAGAACAATCACAGAAGTGCAAACCATTTTCCATTTTCCTGAGCTGAGAGTGAGGCTAGGTGCATACTTATGAACACCCAGGCTAGAAGACAAAAGATGATACTGTTTTGGCTTCATCATGACCAAATGGAAGCATCCTTTCAAGAAGACTAATTAAATGCCAATACCATATAAACTGATTCAGATCAAAGCTCTTTCTTGTGCTAGATAACAAAGTAAGACTCGGAATTTTAAACTAAGAAACATGATGTGAACAAAAGTAATATTTCATCACAAGCTCCAGGAGCAAGAAGAAGAAGAATGCAGAATCCATGACGAACGCATTCTAGTTCTCCACTTCCTTGCCATTTTCCTTTATGGGTGAAGTATGCACTTCCTCATCCTTTCCTTCAATATTGGGATCTTCAGCCTTTGCAGCACCCTCTGACACATCCTGTAGCTGCAAAAGTTCCAAAGGATTCAACCCAAGGATCGCATACTAGTTTCTAAAAGTGTAGACTGATACTAAGTAACAAGTAGCATAAGGGATGCAAACAAAATCTTAGGCAACTGACCCCCAAATTTCTTAGGCTAGCGGTAACATCTTCCTGCTGCTGATGGAGAGTGGTCCTCAGTTCTTGAAATTCCTTATTTCAGGAATGCAACATTTTAGATAACTTATTCTTCCTCATTCAGAATGAAAAATCTTTATAGGAGGAGCACTTACCGTACGGAGTTGCTCCACTTCAACATTAAGTGTTTTCTTTAATTCTGTCAACTCCTGCATGGTACACGAAATTTAGCTTAACTAATGATGACATTAAAAGGTATTGATGAGACATCTACCTAAAACTGCAATAAGAGAATTTATTGTCTGTATGCAAGTAATTTAGGTCCAAAATCTGTTCTTCCATCAATATATTCGAACAATATCGCAAATCTTTAGATTCTTGATCTCAACCATTCAGTCGAAATGAAGAAAGACATCACATCAGAAAGATTTATCTAGTCAATGTACTTATACATCTAGTTATACACGAAACACCCACAAATTTCTCTAAAGCTAAGCCCATTGCTAACATGTTTGCAGATCTCCAAGACTTTTAAGAGCAGCAGACACTTATATACATAAACTCAGACTGCATTTCATAATTCAATTTAAACCATGGTTTGAAGCCATACTTTCCTTCCACTTGATGTTTCAGTCACAGGAACAAAAATACAACCTGACAGCCATATGCAGATTTTTTTAAGAGAACCTTCATTTCATAGTAAAAGAGGCCAGCTACTTCATCTGTCAAATACTAACTTCTCAAGACATGAAACAGACACTACCACAGATTTACTTCCCAAGCCTTTCCTATCACTCTATGAATAAAGCAAAAAAAAATATGAAAAGAATCCATGAAAAATACCACAGGCCAAGTACACCAAGTAGCAGGAGCTATACACATTCAACAGATTATATCAACCAGAAGTTTATGAAAAAAATAGAGATAAACAGCAAAACTGAACTTACATCACGGTAGATTTTAACTTGGGTGTCCAACTTTGACCTCCAATTTTGCAGATCCTTATGGGAAAAGGATGACAAGCTCTTTCCTAGTCAGAATTGAAGTATATAACCCAAAATAAGGAAAAATATAAATCTTTTTTTCCATAATTACCTGTTTCAACCCTTGAATTCTACTGAGCAGCTCTGTCCTTGATTCATTCAATTCCTAAAAGCCCCCAACAAAACTAAAAATTAGAAACTAAATGTATCAAATCAAACATTTTAAAAAAAAGTAAATATAAATAAAATAAAGTTAAAAAAAAAAGAAATCCAAAACTTACTGCGATTTTTGAACCAACTGGAGTCATATTCTCCTTCTTCTGTCAAATGGGTAAACAAAATTCCATCAATATCTCTAAGCAAATCCAAACTTCAGAAAAAGGAAACAATAAAAAGAAGAAAAAGAAAGATCTTTAACTATAAGTAGAAAAAACAATAATAATTAAAAAAAAAACTGGAAACAGAGAAAGTACAGGAGCGAGGGGAGCTGTGACGGGAAGAGGAGGAGTAGAATCAGAGGTTGCCATTTGTAACAATTATAAAAGGGGATTATGCTTTGACTTGAATTTTACCAAAAGATTTGGTCTTCGTTTCTTTTTGTTATTAAAAAACAGGTTTTTGAATTATTTTGATGATGATGATGATGATGTTTATCCAGGTGAGATCTGGAGAACTGGAAACACCAAAAATGGGTAATTCTTCTAAAGAAAGATTTGGGTTTTCTTAAAAAGAAAAAATGGAAATGGATTTGAAGAGCTGAAATTTTGAATTTGGGAAATTGGGAAGTGTTTGGGCGGGCAAATTGATGATAGGGTTTGTTTTAAGACAGACATTGATCTTCAAATACATGCCCATGTGGGACCCACTTCCTCCAAGTGTTCATTTATAGATCTCTACATTCTTTTTCATTTACTACATTTTGATTTTTGATTTTATCTTTTTTTAATTAATACAGGCCCATTGAAAGTGTTAATCCCAGAAGTCTGGGTTTCTTTTATATTGACTGGGCCGACATCTATGAGCCCGCTGTCTCCCTTCTCTCTCGTCTTCTTCTCTCCTCTCTCTCTCTACCGCCCTCTTTCCCTTCAACGGAAATTCAAGTTCCTTTTTTTCTTTCTTCAATCAAATTTGTTGTAACTGACTTCCTCGGATTGGGACATTGAATTCCAGGTTTGACTCTCCTTCCCTCCCTTTTTATTTGTCATCAATAACATGTAAAACAGTTCTTTAAGTTCAGTTGATATCCAAGTTATTTATTTGATCAGAAAAGTTGTTGTTTTCTCTTGTGAAGTTACTTTCTTTCTTGAATTGGTATGTGATATTGTAATTGTTTCATTCAAATTACTGGGAATGTTTGGAAAGTATCAATAGTCAAACTAAAAGAAAGATTGTCATGCCAGGGAATTCCTGTGAGATGTCTTCAAGAATTGCCCAAATTCGTCTTGTGAGTTCACATTCTGAGGTTTATGAACCCTGTGATGATTCATTTGCGTTAGTTGATGCACTTTTAGCTGATAGAAAAAACTTGTTGGAGCATAAACCCACCTTGTGTATGGAAGTGGGTTGTGGGAGTGGTTATGTTATCACTTCTTTAATGCTCATGCTTGGGGAGGAAGCTAATGGGGCTCAGTTTATTGCCACTGATATCAATCACCACGCTGTTAGAGTGACTCAGGAGACTATGGAAGCACATAGGGTTCATGCTGAGTTGATAAATACTGACATTGCATCAGGGCTGGAGAACCGTCTGGCTGGTTTGGTTGATTTATTGGTTGTTAACCCACCTTATGTACCAACGCCTGAAGAGGAAGTGGGTCGTGAAGGAATTGCCTCTGCTTGGGCAGGAGGAGAGAATGGTCGAAGTGTTATTGATAGGATATTGCTTGTTGCTCTTAAGCTTTTGTCGAAGCGGGGTTGGTTGTACATGGTTACTCTTACAGCCAATAATCCTTCACAGATATGCCGTCAGATGAGGAAGAAAGGTTATGATTCTAGAATTATTGTCCAAAGATCAACAGAGGAAGAGAGTTTACATATCATCAAGTTCTGGAAGGATTTCGATATAGAGGTGGATGCAAAGGATGTGGTACTAAACAGCAATGCAGCTCCCGCAGGTGTCATGGATTCTGTACTTTCACAGTTGCACCGATTGTCATTTTGGAGAAGTAGTGACGTTAATAGCAGCAGATCAGGAAAATGAAGGAAGTTTTAATGCTGTTGTCTGGCCATATAACTCTTCTGGTAACTAGGTCGCGTTATGTTTCAGGGTTAATCTTGCTTGAGTGTTCTCCCTTTCAGGTGTTAAATGCTCTTTTTCATTTGGCCTTTCGTTTGGCCTACTTTTAAATGGCTGATCTTTGTTCTCATCTTTTGAACTTAACCATACAGAGGGCTAAACTGAACAATTGGGAGCAAGCTCAAGTTTTGTGTTTGCCAAAATATCTGTCTTAAGACCACTAATATCATGAATATCAGTTCATCTCTACACGACTAATTTGTAAGAATTATTTTGCTTCAAAGTTTAGTTTGCTGTTAGGTTTACGTGTTTAACCTTTGTCTACTCATCCAAAGTGGCAATGCAGCATAGCTTAAATGTTTGCATCTGATATGGGGAGAAGCTTAAACACATATGAGCACATCTTAAGCACTGGTACAATAGAATTGGATCTTGACAAGCATGGTAATGATTCTTTTCCCCAGTTTTTAGCAGTTGCTTGTGTTCTTTGTTTTGCTACTGTCATTAGGTTCCTCTCTTTTCTTGGGAATTCTTACTGTAAAGCATGTGATATATCATTTTTTTTTTAAAAGCGTGATATATCATGTTTTAAGTAATGAACTTAGGCACGTTGCAGCCAGTCTTGATGCAAACTTCTTTGTTGCACAAGTGCAGAACTTTTTTACCTGGTTGAAGACTGTTTAAGAGTGGAATCAACACTATCATAAGTGACTTCGTCATTACGAAAGATTATGAATGCAAGGTGAGCATGCTAAAGGGAACCATAAATCATTATGCAACAGGGGAAAATGATTATTAACCACTATCCGCCTGCAATAATTTCATGTTTACTTGTCCATGAGTTGATCATGGCCACTTATTGGTTTTCTTGCCGCTGCCCCCTGTGCATAAATTGTAGCCACCGGTGTCGTCTTCAAGCCAAAGCTTGCTTAAGTGGGCATTATCATGTTTTAATGCGAGTTAACGCCAAACCCAAAGCCTTCTTTAATTTTTTGGTGGGTCAAAATATCAAACTTCCCGTCATGCTGATTTGGCAGTGTTCTTGGCACATGCTTGCCCTTTTTCTCTCTCTCTCTTCTCCGCTGACCATGATATATGACCAAAACCATGAGTGAGAGCTGGAGGGGGATTCCGTGTGGGATTCAAGCTGTATTTGAAAGCCCTTCTTCTGTCTCTCTTTCTTTCTCTCTTTCTTTCTCTATTGCATTCTTTTTGTTCTAATAAGCCTATATATACTCTTCCTTCACTTGTTTTCTTCACACAACATCTTCGCCACCACCTACCTACTCCACCCACTCTCTCAAATCCAATAGCCGGGAACTACCTCTTCCTCCAGGCATCTTTAAGTTTACCTTAACATCAATGAAACCTTTCAACTCTATTCCGGAAACCCAAATTTCTTCTTTGCTTCAAAGCAAAAAAGGGTCTATACCAATTCTTGTTCATTCTGCTCTAGGTACAATAAGCAATACATATAAGTGGTTCTGTTTTTCGTATAGGTATGGCTCCATATTCAAAATCCACATACTAGACTGTCCTAACGGAGAGTTAGCATGTCAAATTGAGGAAGATTGTTCTCTCTACTTGTAAATATGCATTACTTGCAAGAGAATATACTTGTAAGGAAAGCAGAATGAACAAGAACTGGTATACAACTCTGCTTCTTTGAAGCAAAGAAGACATTTGGGTTGGGTTCTGGGAGTAGAGTCGAAAGGTTTCACCCATGCAAGGCCAACCTAAGCTGCTGTAGTCTTGAGGGAGGAGTAATTCCCGGCTAGCGAATGAACATGTATTAATGATTAGCATTTACCATCAATTCAAATAATCTTTATCATCCGCAGCTTTAATTCAGATTCTGGGTTTAATTTTTTTTTTAATTGATAGTGAGATGTAAACTTATGAAACAATTCTGTTCTCATCGTTGACATTTTCTCGACCTAACAAAATAGTTCTTAAAAATCTAGAGAGATAGTACCATTTGTAAGCTACATATCGATTGCATGCTTTTGTTTAATTTATTTAAATATTTCATTATTTCTAGCTCCATAAATTAATTTGTGGGTCCAAAAACAGTCAACTGACAACTATTTTATTAATTTCCACAAAATTTATTTAATTTTTAAAATAAATAAATCGCCGCCAAGGCAGAATCCCTGTCTTAGACTCTTTCCAAAGTGTTTAATCCTTTTCCCACCCTAATAATTGTTCTTTGCTTTTTCCATCAAATAAAGAACAATAATTCCGTTTCATCAAGTCCATTTTCCATAAATCCAAGACAAAACGTCACCGTTTAATTAAAAAAAAAGGGGCAAATTTGAAGCAAATTGCATTCTTTGCAACAAAGAAAGAACCAAACACGGCCTTAAAATAAAGAAGAGAATACTAACGTTAAAACCAGAACAAGCAAGCTCCTCGTCTATCTCTCTCTCTCTGTTTTTCTCTTTGTGATCAACTAGCGAGCTAACCCAGCTTAGCTGAAAAGAGAAAAAATGAGTCAGGAACCGTTTATATACAGCTTCGTGGCTCGAGGAACGATGATCTTGGCCGAGTACACTGAGTTCATGGGGAATTTCCCAGCCATCGCAGCTCAGTGTTTGCAAAGACTCCCTTCTTCTAACAACAAGTTTACTTACAACTGTGATCACCATACCTTTAATTTTCTTGTTGAAGATGGTTATGGTAATTCGCGCAACTCTGATCTCGTTTGTTTCCTTTCTCTGCTTTTTTCTGCTTTTTCTAGAGAAACAAACAGGGTAGTGGGAGTTTAAAAGCTGAATTGGAGATTAAAGTTTTTGGATCTAGTTAAAACAGTGTAAAATGGGATGTGGGTTGGTTGGTTTTGTTAAAAAAAATGAAAAGTCAGCTTCCTTTTATTGGATGGATTAGTTCTTCTCCGTTTAGTTGCAGAGAAAACTGAGGAAAATGGTGCGGAAGTAATTGTTTGATCCTAATTTTGATTTATAGATGTTGGTTAAAGAAAGTTGAATAGTAGTAATATCAGAATTGGGTGGAAAGGGACCTTTTTTCATTTCTCAAAATTTCTGTTTTTGATTTCTTTTAGACCTCCAGAAGTTGTGGATTTTGGATAAACGTTTGATCTTTGTTAATGAAATAATAATCATATATTTATCTCAAGCATATAAATGAAGCTTTCAATCAATTCTCATTCAAATTAAATGAAGCTATTGGGAGATTAATATTTGAACACCATGTGCTCTTTGTATATGTCTAAACTTGAATTTGACAGTGGGCGTTTTAAAGAAAGTTAAAGATTGAAAATCTATTTTCTTGGTTTGAATTGTCTGATAGATGGAGACTTTGTTATAAATATAAAGGTTTCTATCATGTTCATTTTATGCAAATAATTGACTGGCTTGGAATATAATCAATTAATTTGGTGACTGAATTGGAAAGCCATCTCTTCCTCTGGCTTGGTTGTTCTTAAATATATTTTACATTTATTTTTCTGTTTTAACGAATTTGAATAGTTTTCATGTCCTTGTGGTGAGGGCCTTTGGTCCCTAGGAAGCTTGTAATGTGGAAAAAATGAAAAGGCTGATGCACTGATTATTTTGATGGTTCTTTTGCAATTATGCTTACTAATCTACAAGTCTGCATAGACTGCATTGCCTATTTTCTGGTTCGATATCTTTTTACATGTTTGTTATATGGCTGAGCAATATCAGAGCTTGCTTTGATTGATCAGGGGCAAGGTAAAGACATGGTGAGTAAAAACTAGTAATTAAAATTGGAGGTTCCTATTTAAATTCTAAAATTTTTGGGAGCTAGTGTAATAAGTTCTTCCAATGTGGTATCCAAAATGAAAGAGTTTAGATTTTTCTTGGACAGTTGGGGTATGGGGAGGAGGGGAGCTTCTGGTATCCATACAGCTCCCGCTGTTACTGAGTAATGTTGAACTTGCCCCCGTTAACAAAAGCCTCTTAATACCAACCCTTTAACAGTCATTCCACAATGCATTATAAAGTTGAGGCTACAAAATAGTACCGAGCTGAGCCTTCGCTATAATCATCTTGATATTTCTAGTTCCTTCAGTGTTTTTAGGATGACAGAAACTGACAAGATAAACAAGTGTTTTTCCACTATTAATGAAAGCATATCAATTGTGCTAGTAAAGTTACAATCTATCACCACCAGTGCTTAACTAAGTAATTTGACAATTTTATTTGATGTTTTACTGGTACCTAAGGTGATGCACTCTCAATCGTCTTCATTGAGATTAATGTTTTATTGCTTCAGTAATCAATACTCTTGACTTTTATGCCTTTTGATATATGCAGCTTATTGTGTTGTTGCCAAAGATTCTGTGGGAAAGCAAATCTCCATTGCTTTTTTGGAACGTATGAAAGCAGACTTCAAAAAAAGATATGGGGGTGGAAAAGCAGATACCGCTATTGCCAAAAGTCTAAATAAGGAGTTTGGGTATGTTCACCCATGCAACTGATGGATGGGTATTCTTTAATTTCATTTTTTTAGTTCACATAAATATTTTCTGTTAAATTAAAACTATGTAATTTGCAGGCCAATTATGAAAGAGCACATGAAATATATTATTGAACATGCTGAAGAAATTGAAAAGCTATTAAAGGTGAAAGCTCAAGTTTCAGAAGTTAAAAGTATAATGTTGGAGAATATTGACAAGGTTAGTGCTTCTACTGTTGTGTCTTGTGCTTTGGCATTCCTTTCCTTCAGTTGTTCTCTAGACATGGTTGGTGCTATGGTTCATTATTGAAAACCCATGCCTTTGGTTTCCCTCTCCCCAACCTTTCCCTCTTCTTCCTACGTTTTGCATGCAAATGCACAAACATAATAAAAATAACAAAAATTCAGAATAAGAATGGAGTTGTTCCTATGTCCCAACAATGCAATAATTAGCAGCATGCTGCTCACCCCTGGAAAATGCTTTCCTTGTATGCACAATTAGGCAAATTTACATATAGAAATTGAAGGTTACAACTAGGTTGATAATGGTTGTGAATATGTTGGGAGACCAGGTATCAAACAGCCAAGTTACAGAAGTATGAAGTGATTAGGTTTCAAGTAACATGAGGATTATTTGAAATAGGCGATAGCTGCGAAGAAAAGGGTGCCAGACAACTCTTGAGCTGTGGTTTAATACAGTGAATGCCATTAGTATATCCAAAGGCTTGGTGAAAGTTACCTGCAATATGATGAGTAATAGTTGGAATCAGTATCAGCCATCAAAGGTTACTATCTCTGTTAGTGGAATATTGATTTAATTAGGGTTTGGTTTGTTTTCTGCTATCTAGATTCTACAGTATCTATTACTATTTGTCAAATCGTATTTGCTTGAAATGTATTGTTCAAAGGTCAGTTGAGTCTAGACCAGGTCTAATAGGTAAATCAAGCTGCATTTATATTGTTTACACGACCCTCTGTTCTGCATCTCAGGCAATTGACAGAGGGGAAAACCTAACGACTCTTGCTGACAAGACAGAGAATCTACGTGATCAGGTTAATTCCATTTTCCAGGTTAAGCTCTATAGTAGTTTGTATTTATCTAGGCCGACTATGAAGCGGTTTTGCTTGTTGCCTTTTCCAGGCCCAAGCATACAGGAAGCAGGGGGCACAAATCCGCCGTAAGATGTGGTATCAGAACATGAAGATAAAGTTGGTTGTTCTCGGAATCTTGCTACTTCTAGTCCTTATAATCTGGCTTTCCATTTGTCATGGATTTGATTGCACCAACTAGTAGTATCCTTAGTCTTATGGAGTTTATGGTATACAAATGAGCTTTCTCAACAGCTTGTATTCAGCAGGTTGGTTAGTTCACGTCTAAGCGGATCTTACCATCTTCTTGAGTTGGTCTTGGGAGGTTTTGGAGCTGTCATTGAAACACAAAAGACAGAAAGAGAGAGAGAGAGAGAGAGAGAGAGAGAGATCTGTATCATGTATTATACTTAGTGGTCTTGTCTTGTCAGAAGAAAAGCACAATGATTTTTTAGTTTCTTTCTTCTTACTTTTTCTTTTGTAGCAATAAAACTTTACAAAGAAAAGATTTTGATACAATGATGAATGACTACCTGATAATTCTTGCAAGAATAATTCTGCCCCACAAAGAGAATTATCAAGGTTCCAACTAATAGAGCCCAAACATCACGTCATGTTACCATAACAGAAAGGAAGTGAAGAGAATTGGTAAATTGGGAATTCACCTCACACCCATATTGTGAGGTATTATCGGTTATGAACTTGTTGGATTTTACTGTTTTATTTTATAAATAAATTTATAAGTTGAAAATAATGTGAATATTTAAATACTTAAGTTTACTTTAGAAAACAGATGATGTAAAATTCACCTTGAGCCCAACATTATGTCATCTCTGTGACCTTGTCACACACCCAGAGCCCAACATTGATATAGTTTTTGCTACTGTATAGGCTTGTTCAACAGGTTAAGGACGGATTTTCCAATGCCTTTGTTTGTTTGAAAAGCCCAACAGGCCGGTGCTTCCTGAGGCTAGGTGACATTCTGCCAACTATGGACCTATTTCACCACCAAAAACTCACCTCCCATTGGTGATGCCCAGAAGTCAGAACAAATGGCATCTTCATTTTTTTTGGTAAAACATTTGAACAGAATATGTTCCATGGACGAACACTTTCGGCAACAAGTCTTCCAACGTTGTCCTAACATTGACTACTTAAGACATAGATGATAACATGCATCCTTGTCCCCTTTTTGCTTTCTTCTGCAGCATGTGTTCCTATTGCTCTTTTGAAATTGCTTTCCCAAGCTTCATAATATCCACTCTCCCAAATGATTATGATGAGAATTGCAAGCACAGAAAAGCAGCATAAATCCGCGAACTAAACCCTTAGTTTATTCCATAGGTTCACCACAAAGTCATGGCTTGCCAACCTCACCAAAATTTTTAATAAAACTTTTGCTTTTCTAGCGCACCAGCATCTCAAAAGGGCCTAGCTGCATATGCATAGGCTAATCCGGCATGAAACAGATGAAAAAATCAAGGTAGGCGCCAGAATTTTTTTGACTGGTAGAGATTCTTTCCCAGAGTCGGTAATAAAAGGAACATGAGGTAATAATGTCTACTAAAAAGTATTAGGCCTGCTTGTTAGAGTTGAAATTATGCTATTTACTTCTTCAATGGTCATTATCATTGGCTCTACAAATGGAGTTGTAGGTCAAACTATGATTTGCATGCTATTTGTTTTGGTTTTAGGTGAAGATTTATCAACTTTTATACACCTTGATGGCCCAAGAAGATGAAGACAATGGACTATATTGTATAATTGGAAATAGCACCCTTTAATGAAAAAACCAAGGTGTGGGTCATGAAGAATGGATGGCAAAGTCAAAGTTGCAGCCTCCATTTCTTCTTCCTTCCCTTCTTTTTGAATAAAAAAAGAGTGTAGGAGTGCAGACACAATGCATGGAATGACAAGACAAAAGTGCTGTGGTGGTCTGATCCAAAACCAAACTCGTGAGAAGACAAAACAGGATCTCTCTTGCCCCATCCTTTGTGGATAGGATCAAAGAAGCAGCTTTCTATTCTCCATCACCTCTCTTTATGAGTTCATTCAATTCTCTCTCTCTCTCGCTTTCTCTTCTCCATCACCTCTCTTTATGAGTTCATTCAATTCTCTCTCTCTCTCTCTCTCTCTCTCTCTTCTGAAAATTGAGCAAAAACAGCACAAGTGAGGGAAGTGAGTACTCAATGTACACTGTAATGCTAGCCCATTCGAATAAGGAATGGGCTTGAATTGCATGACTGGGAAACAAAACTCTAGAAAGTCTTGAAGACCCTTTTTTGCGGGCTTTGTCTGGATGTACACACGTGTTGATAAGAGTTCTCATCCACACGAGTTTATAGAGCCAGTAAGCTAAGAAATGCTTACAAAATCTTGGGAGCACATGTTTTTCGGAACTGTTCATGGCCTTAGCCAAAGATTCGGGATATTCATGCACGGTCGCTAATTCAATATCTCCGGGGAAATCTTTCCATGCTCAAGACTTTTCCAGAAAGAGAGAGTGGATTCTTAAAATTTATGTGACATTAATTACTTACATATAAATATTACAAATTTATAACGTTATATATATTACCAAAAAACAATAATGGAACAACGTCTGTTCTAATATCATTAATATCATGATAGTATCTTTTTAAAGCACATTGTGCCCTTGGCTCATAAGCATTGGTAGAGAGTAAAGACAAATGTCCTTGTTAAAATATCTACACTTGGCATGAATATTGGAAATCTATGAGGGGGTCCTAATAATCAAAGAAAATTGAAAAGGAAAAAAAGCACTAGGGTGTGCCAAGCTTTGATTTTAGACCATTCCCTTTATACATGTTTCCATTGCCACCCAGCATGTTAAGTTTTCAGCCATGTGGAAGCCCTAATTTGCTGGTCAAAATGGTAACACAGATGCTCCCTTGCTTCAAAAATGGTGGTCCCAAAATTCTCAAGCTCAAATTGCTATCTCTGATTGGAATGATTCTCTGGTTTAGATTTTAGATGTGGGGGCTCTGTCAAATTTGACATTAGGTTTATAAATGTAGTCCTCACGTTTGTTGTTTACAAGAATGTGAGGTCAAAACAAAGCCTGACTAGACAAGTGTTTTCATGATTGGACGAGTTATATCCCCCCAAAAGGTTCAAAAACGACAAGAACTAGCCCTTTCTCGTCATTTGGGGGAGATTAACAGGGCACCAGGGGTGTTGGAGGTATCCGTTTGGAGAGACAAATTTCTTTAACTGATACGAAGATTAGCAAAAAAATAAAAATATTATGTGATCGGGAGTTTTACGTCACGTTGTAATTAATATCTAATCTTAAGAGGTGAAATTTTTCTTTATTTATTGATATTTATAGATCAGTATTTCTCTGTGAAGTAAGGGATCAAAAACCCATGTTCTCATAAGCTCTTTAGTGAATATTTGTCTTTTTAGACTTTGCTTGAATTAGGACATTGGCAAGTGAAGTAGCGTTATGTATTGAGTCCAAATTAATTGTGTTTCTTTTTGCATGAACACAAACTTCTCATGTTAAGAAATACTTAATCAAAGCTTAAACATCCCCATCAGTTAACTCTTAAACAATGCAACAATGTATACATATAGATCTGCCGTGAAAGTTCACCTTGATTTCTTGAGCTATCTAGATATTCCAATTCCGGAAAGAATATATTTCTATTTTGGGTATTTAACTATAGTACATTGATAAAATGTTTCTACCTGAAGACAAAACTCACATTTTGTCTTACTTTCCAAGATTGGTTACTGATTTTGCCTGCTCCACTCCAGTTTCCAAGCACAGGCACCTACCAGATTGTCCCTCGCAAGTTGGCCAATTTGGTCAGCCTTTCGGACGGAGAGAAAAAAAACATAGAATGCAAAAAAGACAGGATCCTTCCATACATATTGGATAGGCCTGTCTACTTGGGTTCAACCACGTGGCATTACCACGTTGTTGGTAAGCAAACCCCAAAGTGAACCTTTTCCTTTTCTGTTCTTTAGCAGCCCCCTTTAGGTCTCTTCAATGCCATAAAGCAAATACCCACATTTTCCTACCTATTAACTTCATACAAAGATTTGGCTTATAATACATTGGTCTGAACCTTTCTTGGCGTGTCAAAGCACTTTCTTCCATTTCACAATCTTGCATGACAGCCGGTCGTGCTAGGTTCCATGTCGACACTGACACTTGGTCAACTCGAGTACGTGTCATTACAAATTACATCGAAATTAAATTATGATTGTATCGATTTAAACACGAAATTTATTAGTTGTACATGTTATTTTAAATGGAAAGTGAAAGTGAAGCACACAAAGAAACATCAATTTTCATTCATAATCACAATAGTAATGTCCAGAAGGAAGACAAAGCAATACACACAGCTACTAACCAAGCAAACAATCTTAGGCACATTAACTTCCTTAACCTAATTGCACAAACCCCACAAGCTTTACCCTTCAACATATTCCATTTTGAAAACCAATACCCATATAGGAAGCTCGAAGAACAAACTCATCACATTCAACACAAACAAAGAACGAAGGAGAAGGAGAAGAAAGATGAACACAAAGTGCTACACTACAACGTACTAAATATCCCTAACTTCAAACGCGTTACGGTTTTTGACGACGATGTCGTACATGTGCATGGACTTGAACTTGCTGAAATCCTTGGGGAGAGAGATCAAATGGACGGTGGAGCGTTTGTGGAACTGGAGAAGATCAGGGTCGTCGTAGTACCTCTCCCACCCAAGAGACGATAGCTTGCGCTCTAGAACCGCGTAGGAAGTGATCACTTCGTTCGAAGGGGTGTGCACCAGCACTTTGCGCCGGATGTTGGGGCCCTGTCGGCTTCCATCCATTGACTCAGCCCCAGGGTTCTCAACCAGGCGAACCACTCCGTTCTTGAAAACCCAAACACCAGACATTCCGAACCAGGAAGAAAATTCTAACTTGGGTGGAAAGAAAGGACTTTGAAGACTGAAAGAATACAGCTAACAACTCTCTCTTGGCGATGGGGTACATGGGGTGATGGGATTGGAGGCTATATATAGGTGAGGCGAGTCCTTGAAGGATAGACTGATCAGAGAGAGAGAGAGAGACAGAGAGAGAGAAAGTATGGGGATGTTTAGGCAGAGGCGTAGCTACGGTGGGGCCCAATGAGGAGAGGTGGGGTGGAGGGGGAAGAGAGAGAAAGAGAGAGCCTGAGAGGGGGTCTCAAGGACGCATTGAGGTCAGGTCAGGGCTGGCTAGCTGAGGACACCAAGGGTTCCATCGATGTGGGCGTAACAGGATTGAAGGGAATCCCTGTTTCTTTTTCGCTAAGGCCTTTAATTAAACCCCACCATGGGAATCTTTGTTTTTGTTTTTGTTTTCGTGGGAAAAATGTGGAGAATGTAGACTGGTTCTGGAGAAGCCTAAACGAAAATGACTTGGTAGACGATATCTTGGTGTGTATCTGAGGGCGTAAATGTCAGGAAATTTTGTACACTACGGATCATCGAATCCAGGGCTTTGCAAGGGCATCTTTCAGAAAAGAAAAGTGTCTAAATATCCATGCTTGTTTGCCACATGAATAAATGTTGTCTCACCATTCAAGGTAATATGGACTGTATTTAGTTTTAATTCCTTAAGAAAAAAAAATGCTCCAATCTCGTGAATATCCATTTTCCACTATTAATGCACAATATGTATGTACTTTTCAAAAAACAAATGCACAGTATATATGTACATCTATATATACATTGTAATACAAGTAATTGTCTTAAATAATTCTTTCGGAATAATAAATCTTATTTTTAACATACAAATTTTAATCATAGAATAATGTGTGGATAAATAATTGCAACATACATTAATTATTTTAACTCGTTTTAATATTCTTTTACCTAAAAGGATGTACAGGTAAATCCCTACTACCACTATATCAATTTTATTAAAGATATGCCATTTATCCCATAATTTAATCTTCTCATTACATATTCAAAAACTCACCATTTTAAATTCGAATTCAATAATAAGAGATTTCTTACCAACTCAAGATTATGATCTAAAAACTTGCAATGCATTCTTAATAGCCATCAATTTTGCAAAATTAGAATTCTCTACTCCAAGTGGACCAAAGAAAATTTCAATAAGAGAATTAGTAAAATCTCTTAACACTGCTTCCGAATCTGCAGGATCGGATTCTTTTTGTTTCTCTTGAAACTTGCTTATATATGTATCAAGAAAAATTATGTTTGTGCTTACAAGGAAAAAATATGGAAATGAGAGAGAGATGTGCTTTGCATGCAGAATTTCCACAAGGGGAAGGGGGAGGGCATGAAAGAGTCTGTAAAGGTCTAATGTCCTTTTCCAAAATTTGTGAATGGTTTTGTGTACAATGATCAAAGAATGTGTGGGGAGAGTGAGGGGTGTGGGACCACAATGCAAGGATTCCCAATTCTGGTTGTTGGATATGGGAGAGAGTTCTTTTGCGTTGGAACTTCACCCATTGTTGGATTTTTTTTCCAAACTTGCCTAACTGTTTTGACTTATCAACTATATTTCTCCAAACATCAATAATAGAGGCATTCCTTCTTTAAAACCAAAAAAAGAAAGAACTTAAAGATTTTACCATTAAGAAACTATGTGCATAATTGTCCTTGATTACTGCCATGACTCATGAATGGTTAATTTTATTTATATTAGGAGCTAAAACTTGATTTGGAAGGGATCAATCAGAGGTAGTGAACCCTAAATTTTGTTTGCTCTCCCTATGGCACTGGTGCCTCTGTGTTTTCCTTCCACCGATTTTATGTGGACCAAGGAATTCCATGTTTAGGTTAATGGTTTTGAAGTCTTGAGAAGTATTTGATCTTTTATTTGTTTCGGGTGTGTTAGAATTATTCATGTTACTAGCTATATCAATGGCAATGAGTGTGTCTGCTAAACTAGAATATCGGTTTTAAGTTTACAGCAAATGACCTAAATGACTAAGTTGGAGTTTCTCAGAGACCCATGTCGAACTTGTGGCATGAGAATTTGCTTGGCACTCACCATTTTCGACCACAAAGAGTGCAATCCCTTCATGCCCATAATTTGTTTTTCGTAAGAAGTCATGTGGATTAAATTTCCAACGGAGGGTTCCTAAGGCAAAGCAGAAATCCGGAGGAATGTCGATGGAGAAGCAAGCAACAACTTGAAAGTCCGTAAAAGCAAATGGCTTAGATTAACCCCCAACCAAGCCCAAACGATGACGCATGGGAATGTAGGCCTTTAGGGCACACAATATTTCTTTATCCAGCATCACGGTCGCAGCAATGGTTAGCGTCTGCAACCCTCCTCCTCGTGCCCCATGGTCCTCCCCTGACGCAGACCTCTTTCGACTAAAGCCAGCATTGCCCTTCACTCTTCACATGACAAAGATCTCCTTAGCCCCCTCCCTCTCTCGTTTTCGGGATATAACTTATTTGTCACCTTCCTCCAAAATTCCTCTCAATCGTTGCTTGCTGGTCCACTGTCGACTTTTCTCCATTTGTTTCCTTCAAGTGTCTACTACGCTTACTTTTCAACCCTATTATAAGCCAATTTCAGGTGTTCTCTTTATAGTGTCACCATCCATATTTTCCTGCAAAGTATTATTCGTGTTGGATGGTTTTGTCTCAACTTTGGTACATTACAAAAAAATCTATTAAATTTGAAAATGATACGAAAAATTAAATATCTAATAGTATGTATTATACACAGTTAATATGAGATTCACATTTTATTTTTAAAATTATGTCACTTGATTAATTCAATTTTTTGTTTATACTTTTTAGATATAAGATAAATATATGTTATATCAATTACTCAAGCAAAGAATAATTAAGAAAAAAAATTTTCTTGAAATTGAACCTGACCTAACTAGGAGGCAAAACAATGAGGTGGGAGTCCAAGGGAAAGATTTTCCACCCCACGTTTCCTTTCCTTTTTCTCTTCTCCCATTGCAGACATAGATTTGGATGATTCTCTCAAGAACCCACCAATCCACCATGAGGCTCGACGACATGCCACATCAGCGTTTGGCATGTAAAAAATTTCCCATTCTCTTTTCTAATTTCTTGGTATAAAAAAAGGTTATATTCAAAGAACATGTTCAAGCTAGACCCCAAATTCGACCACCTTTCACAGACATGCTTTGCTTTAAATCCTAAACCAAGCAGAGAATCATTGAAGGAAGGGAGGGGAGAGGGGAAGGATCCCACAAAGGAATGAAAGCTCAGCTCTCTCAATCATCACTAACTACAAGCCCATGTGATTGTCCCCTATCTAGACAAAGCCAAAAATATTTCAAGTCCTATATTTAACCTAACAAGATACCTGTATCAACCCTTTTTCCCATATGTTCATGCCTTTTCATATTAGCCTCTTCTTTTTCAATAAAAGCATGCATCCATCTTAATCACTAAAGTATGGCTTGTTGGGTTTCCTCTCATATAGTAATATCACTTACATGACATCCATTAGTACTAAGTAAATGCAAAAGATTACTAGTTAAGTATATGTAGCCAAAGCCATGAATTAATACTGTGAGATACTCGCAAAGGTCGAAGGAAAAAACATAAATTTATAATTTATCTAATAAGAATTTGTGTGAATGAAGTTATTCACCATATCCTAATTTAATCTAAATAAAAAGAATATGCTAACATAACAAGAATAATTAAGTTATGTGCTTGACTTTTACAAGTTACGACAAGACATTAATAGCATGAAACACAAGTTCAAATCCCTAATCGTGAATAATTATTCAATCTTTATTAGTTTTTTTTAAAACTAATAAGCTAGACCAAGGGTTGAGAGGCCCTTATTAACTATACATATTTCTCTTAAACGTAATGCTTTGATGTCTTAAAACTAATGATGAGCAACTGGAATCCACTATGCATAAAGGGGGAATAGCGTACTTGGTGATCATTTGTTTACAATAAAAAACAAAAGGGAAATTCTCTCTTAAAAGGAAATTCTGATTAAAAACATGCAAATTATCCACCTTAATCACACATTAATAGAGTATCTTTCTAAATTAAATTTACATGTACATGGACACTCCTCTCTTTGGTGTACATGATGAACTTATTGCCTACTTCAATATATAACAAAGAGATTAAACTCTCATTGGGTGTATTAAAGTTTTGGAGTATATTTCAATAGTGGGAACTTTTGGTCTATATAAAGGAGGAATTTTATTTTTTTTTGCTATAAGGGGGAATAAAATAAAAAGCTAAGGGAAAGAATGCTTTGCTTATCTATATTCTATTGTTAGGATTATGCCTAACTTTGATTAAAATAAGATCGAATTAGGCCATTTACATTGATTTTGAGAATAAAGTATACTGAAGGCATTTGGAATGTAGGATCAATTCCCCTCTATATATAAATATATATGTATATATATATATATATATATATGTAAGAACAAAATTAAGGAGAGAGCAATCCTTGATTCATATTCCATAATTCATTTGAAAATGACAGGATAAAATGTATAATTATATAAAATTCAAGATCAATGAATTTGTAAAATTTACATTGGGTGTGCAATCATTCCAGAAATGACATAAATCAAATCAAAATAATTAAAGGTAAGATTAGAATTCATAGAACTTTAGGTTTGTGCGTGCAACATAGCTTTTCTTACATAGTTTAAGCATGGAATATTACGAGCAAAAAACGTCAATCTCCCTAATTTGCATAGATTATCAACCTGATTACGAGTCTTCTCGACCGTGAATCAAATGTGCTTCCATCTATTAATTACTTGATTAATGGCTTAATCTTACAAAAGAGAACAACAAAGTTTCTTTTTGCTATGTTACAACAAAGGTCAAAAACAAAATAAATGTGTTACCAGGCTGGGTCTCATCTCATCTTTAGGATAATTTTTAGTCTTGGAAAAACATATACTTTTCTTTGACAATTAGTCAGGAGTGGCATTACCCACCAAAGGGATCTAAAAGTTTCTTTTACTATGAATGTTGATGTTGTGATCTGTGGTCCTGACAACAGGGTTCAGTTAAAAATCTTTGAGGTAAAAGAAAAGAGATTGGTTAGTAGGACAAAGTTGGTTTGGATTAGATCCAGCCAATGGCAAAGCCAATTGAGCTGTTAATGAGCCCAATGGGCAGAATTTGGCTTACATCAAAAGATATTACCATATTGGGAAGTCATGTTGATGAGCTGAGATTCTAAGGTCTCAAAGCTAAATTGAACTTGATGATAGATGGTGTGTTAATGTTGCATAGTGTAAATGTGGCCAGCTACTTTGTGTTGGAAGGCAAAAGTTTCCCTAGAGAGGACAGCCACTGGGGGGAGGAGCAGCCTGGTTATCTTCCCCCTGCCGACCAAAGGATTCTCTCACCTTTGCTTGATTACGAAAGCCTAGGGCAAATAGCCCAAAGTACCCATTGTTATGGAATGTTAAGCCTAGGATTTTGATTGAACCATTTCGCCAGGCCCAGAAATAAACCTGGCAGTGTCGTCATTAGTTTTACAGCAATGAAAACACGTTCATATTAGTGATTTTGCCCCACGCAAATATGGGATTTTTCTAGAATCTCGAATCTTTTTAGTGCAAATTACATGACTTCAATACTTTCACCTCTTACAGATTCTTTGCTTTTTTTTATTTTATGTGAACCACTAAAGTATTTTCTTTAATCTTATTCATAATCTAACTCTAACAAGTTTGAGCAAGTTCATTACTCGTCAACTTGGATTTCTTTCAGGATAAACTTTGTTATTTAGGGATTTAACATCTCCTTGTCCTACCTGTGAGAGCAGATTGTGGTGTAAAAGTAACTTTACCTGAAGGTTTAACCAACAACAGGCGCATCTAGTGTAGTGGTATCATAGTACCCTCCCACGGTACTGACCGGGGTTCGATTCCCCGGATGCGCAAGTTTCGGACCTGGCGCCTTTTTGGGTCTGACTCAATCCTGTTAAAAGTCCAGACTCAACCCAAAGACAAAGCATACAAAGCACGAATCCAACGTGCCCGAGAATAAAGCCACATCGATACCCTCATGGGCCCTGTGTTCTAAGTTTGACACGCCGTTAACCCACCACACAGGTTTGCAGTATCCTTAACAAATAACTTTGGAAGACTTCTCTCCTTCTGCAGAGATGTTTATGCAAAGCATGAGAGTGTACACATAGTAAACCTCTTACTGCTAAACAGCCTAGTTCACAATTTATATTTTCTATTTTGTTAACAGTAATGTATACAGAAGTTCTCCCTGAAGAAGCATAACCAAACACAAGATCCCACCGAAACAATAATCAGGTTTACTTAGAGAACATTGGAGGCTGTCAAGCATCCCATGCCTAATGAATCAAATCTTATCAATATCATGTTAAATGGTCAATGGTATATAAGAACATGCAGATCAAAAACTCTACAAAGCTTCGAACTGAAGCTGCAATAACAGGAACGCACGCCACTCCAGGAGTTGATAAGGTTCAAAGCTTCTATGGAATAAATTGAAAGATCAAAACATATAGTAACCTAGGCATGTGATACCAAAACAATGAATTTGACTTCAAGGACAAACGATTCTGATTGAAACTTAGGTTATCTCAGAATCCGACCACTTTGTGCCTGAAAATAGCCACATCCCTACCCCATGGACCCTGTGTTTTATGTTTGACATATGATTAGCCGAGCATACAGGTTTGTAATATCCTTAACAAGACTGCTCTCCCACTGCAGAGATGTTTATGCAAAGCATGAGAGTACCACATAGTAAACCTCTTACTGCTAAACAACCTAGTTCACAATTTATATTTTCCATTTTGTTTAACATTGATGTATACAGAAGTTCTCCTTGAAGAAGCATAACCAAACATAAGATCCCACTGAAACAATTATCAGGTTCACTTAGAGAACATTTGAGGAACAAGCAGCCCATGCTTAAATGAATTAAATCTTATTAAGATCATCTTAAATGGTATATAAGAACATGCAGAATGTAAAAAAAAAGCATGCAAATCAAACTCTACAAAGATTTGAACTGAAGCTGCAATAACACAGAACACAACCCACTCCAGGAGGTGGCATGGTTCAAAGCTTCTATAGACTAAATTGAAAACGAAAGATCAAAACGTATAGTAACCTATACACATGTGATAAAAGTGCAGTTAGAAGGTCTTTTTTGAGGTTGCTGATACCATAACAATGACTTTGACTTCAAGGACAAAAGGTTCTAATCGAACCTTAGGATTATCTCAGAAAATTTTATTCACACAATAGCAGTTACCAAGCTTGTACTAATGGCTTTCATATCTTTGTGGCAAGATGAAAACTACTGTACAAGCAACAATATCTGGTTTCATTTAACCAACATCATGAAATCCATGCTTAAATCTTTCACATTTTCACAGAACATAAATCAACAGAGACATTGCAATATGGTAAAAATAATAACAATAACCCTTCTATCACTCATAAATTTAAGCTAGTACAAAAGCATATGACATTGAAATAGTAAGCCTCAATCAGATATTTGCACTGAAACAACTTACTACCCCCCAAAGTTAAAGACAAAACTCAAACTCAAAATTCAAAATCGATAACTACTCTTCAATTAGCTGCTCACTCTGATTCTCCATCCTCAAATACTCCCCAATATCAGCCTGATGGAGCACCACAATTGCATTAGGATCCAATTTCCTACAATCTTGGGTACTCTTCGCTGCAATCCCAAACCCCAAAGGCAAATCCGACATGGAAAAAATGACAACCCCATCACCAGGCGCAATACTCTCCGTTATCCTCCCTAACCCACCTTTTAAAACATGATTCGCGTACAAAAACGACATCTCCGAGGTGGGTTTTAGCCAGACTTTGTGCTTCGCGTTTGCGGCCAACAGGTTCAAGCACTCTACGGTCAAATGGAAGTTGCCTCCGTGGGTAAATTTGCCGATGCATGTCCCTATAGAAGCCAACTTGGGCCTGGCAACGTTGGTGGCTCGCTTCACCAGCGACTCACTGACGTAGTAGACTTTGTTTTTGTGGAGTCTGAAGCAGTACCGTCCTGGATTCTGGTCGGGGCCTTCGTGAGATGGGTTTTCCACTATGTTCTTCAAGTTGTTGCCCGTGAATTTGAAGATCTTTTCAAAGACGGCGGTGGTTTCTTTCTCGTCTAAAGGTCTCATCTTTGCTTCCTTTCAAATTTGTGGAGGTTCTTGCGCTTGTTTCTGGTTATAATTTGTGAGGTTTTGGCTTTAGGGTTTTAGCTGATTTTTGGTTAAATTCTAAACAAGTCCCTAAACTATGTAATAAAAACAATTAAGTCTCAATACTTTTTATCGTCTGCAATTAACTCCCTCCTATTAAATATTGACTAATAGATTTAATTAACCATTATTACGTGAGTGATCCATTAAATATTGTTAATTAAAAATTAATTTTTTTATTTTTACCTTGATTAATAAAAATCATTAAAATATAAATTTAAAATAAACAAATAAATAAACAACTTAGTAATTCTTCTCAAACTAATTTAGTATTTAATAAAATTTTATATTCATCTCAACAAATTAAATCGAACAATTGAATTTACAAATTCACATCAATTTGTATCGAAAATTCAAGAGTCGAGTCAATCATTAATTATGTGTTATCTTAAAACTTAATTAATTGATTCTAAATCGATATTCAATTTTAGTGCCCTTAATTTAAAAATAAAATTGCTTTTATGTACTTTATTTGATTATTTCTTTGATTATGTTATGGTAAGAGGATTTTGATGTTTATCCCAGGGAAATGTTCAACAGAGGTTTATGTCCGGAATCATGTATCAGAAGAGTTGGGCTGCATTATCGTAAAGAGACATAATGATTTCCGATTCAAGGAGAACGATGCCTATGAATTTGAATTGCAAGATTGAAGCAGCAAGCGTGCGCCATAGGTTTCATCCACCCCATCCTCCAAACCAATCTGTAGTTTCGATGGTTATGTTCAGTATCCAGAGTTGTATCCCTTGTTCTTTATCTTGAGTACTGCTTGAATCCTAAATCGTCAGGAGATTTTACTTGTTATTGTCAATTTGGGTGTGGGAATTTATTGTTTCTGACTAGGTTTTCTCACTGACAGATTATGTTACATTAACCTGCAACTTCATTGAAGCAATTTTGTCTTCAGGATCAGTCTGAAGATCACAAATTGTAGACAGTAGACACCCCAAACTTTTATTCCAAACACTATTTTATTAGAGACCTGGAGGTCTAGAAATCAAACAAAACGTACATTCTTTCTTTCTTGACCATGGATAGCTGCAACAGGGTAGTTGTAACAGATTCCTTGAGACCAGCTACACTGTCATGGTTTCTGCAACCTTAACCGTGGCAGGCCTTGATGAAATATCGTTCCACCATGCGCTTACATGAGGACGAGAAGTTACGACAGATGATTTAGGAGTTCTCATTAAGTAGACAAGATAGGGAATGTGGTGCAGATCAGCCAAGCTATAGAAGTCACCGCCAAGGTATTTACATTTAGACAGCCTCTCCTCACAGACATCAAGAACTTTTCATAGCTTCTCCAATTTGGTTTCGATGATCTTCTCATCAGTGGCGATTCCAAATATCGGATTGACAATCATTTGGCGGATGATTGCTTGCATTGGACTGTTGAATTGGTGTGACTCCACTTCCATCCATGTATCCACAATCGTGGACACTGTTAAACTACTTGATCCCAAGAGGTCAATGCCGGTGTCCTTGTACTTGAGTGCCAAGTACTAGGAGATTGCCCTTGATTCTGGTTCAACAAGATTTTATACAAATCAACGAGAAGAAAAACCATATGTTTGTCATTTTAAGAGATTAATGGATCTTACCAAAGATCTTGACATCCCCATCCTCAAATGCAGGTATTTGGCCAAATGGCTACCAACAGAAAATAGAACATGAGAACAAAAACAGACAATATTAGCTTATAATGTAACTTCACTGGTGAAGCAATGGTCAGTTAGTAGCCTTGCATTGAGAGATCAGTAAGGTTGTTGTTTGTGGGCACCGTTTGCCACATCAACCAGAGCAACCTCGTATTCGAGGCCTTTCTCAGACAGACAAAGCAAGACGCGTGCGGTACATGTAGACATGGCATATCCATGAACTTTGATTGCCATGGCTATAAACTGTTTGGCTATAAGCAAGAAGCAAGAAATGAAGATCGGGAATTGAGAAGAAGTGTTGGTATATATAGCTACAGACGGCTACACAGCTTTGCCTGAAAGGTTTTATCTGATCTATCGCCCTCATATATTCCCCCTTTTCACTTCTATTAAACTACTGCCGGCATTCTTGTTGCTTTCCTATTGGAGAAGGCATCTTTGGAAGCAAATTCAAGACAGAACAACTTGAGATTAATGATTTGAGATTTACTTGGGAAAGTAGAATATGTCCAACACAAATACTTACAGCCAAAAAATGTCAAGAATTTGACAGGTAAAGACTAAAGAAGTGTGGTTGGCCATGTAGACATAACTGTCCAAGTTTTGCAACATAATTCGTATTGCATTCTTTCAAATTGTCATGGGGTTTCAGGTTAGCTGGGGCAAAATTCCGAAGGAAATTATGATCATACATAATATCTTGCTTATAGAATCTTTGACAGGTTGCTTCTAGAGATAGGGTTGAATCAGATGAATTTTAAATTTAAGCAAACAAGTAAACATACAAAGGGTCAATTATAACTAAGTCCATCCCATTTTACTCTAAACGACAATGACTAATACCAAGACCAATAACACAACAGTTTTAACTCCAACTTGGAAGTACCTTCTCGGAGAATCAAAGGTGACTTTATGGTTAAACGTTGAGGAAGAAGCGGTCCAAAAGCAAGGTCCAGTCCCAGTCCATATATTTGGGATTTTTAAAGAACCCTCTCAACCCATCATGCTTTGACCCACCAGACTATGAGTCAGGTAGCAATAGCACAATGTGCTGGCTTGCTGGCTCTCTGTCTAGGATTGCGGAGAGTAATGTATCAAAGATAATTAATAGCAAGTCAAGATTCTTGGAAAGTTTTATGCCCGATAAGATTCACAAAAAGTGTTAAAGCGAAAGCCACATCAGGCCATTGCCCGACCTATCCTACCACCCAAATGACGAGCCAAAGCTGACAGAAATGGCAAAAGCCTTGATACCCAAGTTAGCCCAATTGTCCATGAACCCTGTTCTCTGACGTCTGAATTAAGCTGATATCTGGCATCTAAATATTTCGAACCTTTGTAAGCTCTGGCTCGGAGTTTCAACTCCTGTTAAAGAGAGGATCAAAGTCTCAGTGATTGCCTTCTTGGCTTCTTCCATGGAGATATGCCCCATATATGGCTATGGAAAGAAAAGGTCTACAATCCCAATCAAGTTCCAATTGAAAAGCATAACAAGCTTAAAAGTCTTATTTAAACATTTGATATTTCACAAGTGAATAAGAAATGACATATCATACTCCTTTTTCCTGTTTTTTTCCCTTTCAACAACCACAAAAGATAAAAAAAGAAATATAAAAGAGTTCTAAGATGCAGAGGAAGTAGCAGCTAAAGCCCCAGTTGAAAAGCACACAAAAAGAAAGATCAAAAGCCAAAACCGCCAGCATCATCAAACCCTGCATCATATCCAGCATCATAAGCCCCAGCATCAGAGACCATATCTCCGATCAGCAACCCACCAATCGCCCCTCCAAGCAACCCAGCTCCCAAACCCATTCCAAATTTGCTATTCTTCTTTGGTGGCTGTTGTTGCACTGGTGGGTACCCATATCCCCCTGGTGGAGGGTAACCATAACCTGGAGGCGGAGGTGGGTAGCCATAACCTGGTGGAGGTGGTGCTTGTGGTGGGTATCCACCATAAGCCGCCGGTACAGGCTGCGGCGGGTATCCGTAGCCAGGTGGCTGTGGTGGCGGATAAGGTCCAGGCGCACCATATGGGGCGGCTGAACTGGACCCTGCTGCCATGTGTGCCGGATATGCAGTAACAGGCTGATCACCCTTGGTTTTCTCTGACTTGGCAGGCTCTGAAACTTTGTCTCCGAACTTGTAAGAAAAGTTCAAGGTACCTTCAGGCTTTCCTGACGGTTTCCTTACCTGGTAACTAACAAACTTCATGGAACCGCCTTCACTTGGTGAATCCAGGAGCTCCTTAACAGGCACGTTGACTTGACCAAGTTCTTTGTCTCCAAGAATACGCTCGCACTTGATCTTGAACTTAAGGTACAGATTGTTTTTCTGGGCCAGGGACTCGTCGATGGTGAACTTGACGGGGAAATTCCAGTTTGGGTCTTTGCCACAATCTTTGTCTACAGGGGTTTTTGTCTTCTGCTTGTGCTTCGATGAATCACCCTTGAGGGAAACGATGGCGTACACATCCATTTTATCGATAAGATTGACATTTTTGAGGCCTTTTGCAGAGATGACGTTGATCTCAAAGGTCCTGTGCGCCATAACTACAGGTAGAAAGAAAGAAAACTTGGCCGGGAGAGGGCTGCGGGCAAACTGATTGAAGATATTTTCTTTTTAAAATTCCTGGAAAAACTCTTACGTCAACGCTAAATGCCCTAATGGGCACTGGGAAAAAGAGAACTAACCATGGTTGGCAAATGGATACTGACAATTATTAACCATGGTTCATGTATCTGACTTTGAAAGAATTGTGGAATAGTCTAATTTCTTGCTTCTTTTGTTTTTTTGTTTTTTTTTTCCTTAATTTTCAAATATTAAGAATTTCCCCTAGTTCCTTGGCTGGATCCAGGATGTTTGACTAGAGCTTAGAGGTATCTTTCTTGCCAAATGAGTGGATGCAACACCTTATCCTGGATTATCAACCTAAACAAGCAGATTATGAATAAATACACACAATCAAGCTCCAAAACTATCAGAATAAGAAACCAATTAGAAATGTGGAGCATAACATTTAACACCGATAGTAGAAAACATGAAGTTAACCCTTTCATTGATCTTTCCTAGGTATACAAGCTGGAATAATAGCATTGTCATATGACAGCAAGAATGATAAGAACTACTCATGAAATAGGATAAAGTCTCATTACTCCTTATACTTTTTCCTGTATGTGCCTCTTTTACTTCTCACGTCTCAACTAGTATTTACTTCTATCACATGCTGATGGCTGCCTTCAGAGATGGATAGGCACATAACCCAACCAGCATTTCAAGTCAGATGCAATTTTGCAGCATCTAGTCATAACGTGTAGCATCGGACTGGATATGTCGACATTAAAGGAAGGGGGTGTACTGTCGATGCTGTTGTTCCTTACCTCAGCTTCATATCGTGCATTACAGGCTGCAACAAAATCGTCAGGTCCATAGCTCTTAATTGCATTCCTAACCAGGTTTAGGAGGTTTAGGAGGATGGAGAGCAGGTGTAGATTGAGCAATGAACACCTGCCAGTTTCCAGGAATTTCAGCAGTCGCATAACAAGACAATGGAGAACCATTTAGTTGATTCACATTCGAGTTTTTGACACTGCTATTGACGATCAATTACTCTCCGCTGCTGCTTTGATCCCCATTAAACCTGAATTTTACACGTGGTTTCTTATGGAAGGCACCTCCACCAAACTCATCATCCTCTGACTGCTTCAGGCATGATTTAAGTTGAAGCGTTGAGTGCAAAAGCTGCTGTTCCTTAGGGGCTATTGATTTCAGGTTTCCAGTATAATCACCAGTTTCAATAGGTGCCGACCATGGAAACTTATCCAGATCCTGAGGAACATGATGCTTACATCGTTAAGGTAATTCCGAGGCTGCCAAGGGTTGCAGGTAGCAATCCACCTTTGCATTGCCGAAAAGGGATTTGTTTCCAGCGTTATATCTATATGCCATCTGAGCATCAGATTTATATCTGAATACAATTCGACATGTTGATGATTTCCAAAACAACCGAGGAACAGAATCAAAGGGTCCAAATTGTGCGAATCTGGCTTTCAGCTCTAAAGTGTCAAGGCCGATTGAAGAGGAAATTGCATTACAAGCAGACGAATAAATTTTTGCTGGCTTGGGACTCAGAAACCATAGCAGCCGATGGAGCTCTTGTTTGCATGATATCATCTCCTATTACAACAGCATTTTCCTTCTCATATACTGACAGGATTGAGATTTTTTGCAGCAGCACTTGATCAGAATGGACTCTTGATATATCCCACTCAATAAGATATTTTTCCACCTAGCTTCTGCAGGCCTTGATCAGCATTTGCCTCTTGCGGGAGCTTCGGGACTCTCAGGAGAGCAGCTTACCGAGGCTTGCAAAGAGCAAAGAGATGCACGAGAAGCTAGAGCATGCATTCAGTTAATATAGAAGAACCTTGATGAACAAGTATGGCACTTTTAGCTCAATTACACTGTTAAAGATAGAACCATCAAAGCCACAAAGAGTGCATCCAAAAGTATAAAAACATAACAGGAACATAAAAAAACGTAACATCACTGAAGACTGTTAATATACTGAAAGTGAAGGCCAAATGAATTGGCAAAAAAAATCAGGAAAGCACAAGAACTCAATACCTTCAAAAGGCAATTTTTCTTGTAGATCTACTCCAAAGGCATTGACATATGTCTCGTTAAGCTCCTCAAACACTGCCTACCGATATGCAAGAAGTGTAGCCTCGGTCTTAAGCAACCAACACCTTTCTTCAAATTATAACATGGCATCAATGCCAGCCCTTTTGAAAAACAGAGCATCTCAGTAGGCTGGAAACACATCTCTAGCACTTTCGATTTGCTTTCCTGTATGAACACCAGGCCCACATCCGCCCACATCAAGCAGAAGGAATTCTCTAACGCCAATCGCTTCAAAATTTCGAAGGATTCTAGCAACAACATGACAATTTATGCGCAACCCCTTCTACAGGTCTCCTTTTCTGCATCTTGAACAGCATCCACAAAAGCCCTGGGATTGTTTGCTTCGATTTCTCCATGTAATTGGGATCAAATGGGCTAAATCATCCAAAAGTATTATCCCCAAAGTGATCTTTTCTCTTAGTTTCGCTCACAGTTGGCAATGCAAGTGCTTCATCAAATATCTGTCCCGACCACCATGGATGTGATTTTACCTTACCCCACACTATATCTCTCCTACTTCATATTTCACTCCCGAATGGTTATCTATTGCAGTGCTTCCAATGGCATGATCATCTGTCAGTCTCTCATTGTCAATCCATCATTCCTCATGTTACACATTGAACCAGGAGCCTTAACTGCAGAACAAATTTCCATGAATGGATCTCACAACAAAAAGACCATTTTCAACCACTATGATCCATAGAATCCATACTGCAAATCATACCTTGAAAAAACACACTTTCTTCAGACCCCATTTTCTTATACACTAAAGCATAACCATGATATTCAACTTTAAAAACCCAATTCAAGCTTAAATGCACTGTGCTATAATGCTATTTGGTGCACGTACAACTAACACTCTGGAAAAAAGGAACCACAAAAGTTGATATGGGTTGCATATTTGTCATCTGGTGAAGTTCAAGAAAGAAAGCTTGAGCATAAGCTCTGCAAGTTTAAACTGATTTTATCCCAGGTTGAGGTTTTATTATCATTTGCAAGCCTGCTTAGGATTATGCCTTCAAAACCTAATGTCAAACAAGTTTTAATTTTCATAGAATAGTTGTACAATATCAAGGCTCACCAGCATTCTTTAGTCTTTAAGGCAAAAGGTTACTTTCACAAGGACGCATGATACTCTTGCAAACAACTTTGCTATGGTGAGAGAGTCGGTTTCATCCATTGAAAGGCAATATGTTGTGTTGAATTGGAATTCAAGGGATCAAATTATGCAGAATATGACCCTTGACAAGAGAACTACCATGAAAAGGAACCTGTCTTGGTTGTAAAACTTTTAAAGGGAATATAAAGCAATCAAAGATGCTGAATTTTGCTCTTCAAAAAAAAAATGCTGAATTTAGATAAATGGAATGAAGCAGGGAAGTTGTCGTTGGTCCATTGATGAAGAACTGTTTTTGTTTTTTGGCTTTCCTTTCCTTTCCTTCCCTGCCGTTCAAAGTGAATGTCAAGCATCTAATCAACCCTCAAGGATAAGAACAGAGCCACTGATGAAGTGTTTCTTTACAACAGGATGATTAGGTTGATGTCAACCTAAACCTTGATCATTATGTTTCCATCACCATCATAATCAAATCATGATAATAGCAATGTTTACAAATGAGGATGAAACATAACATCATATCATTCCCTTTTGGTGGCATCCCAATTGATTCTTTAGATAAAGCAAATCAACATGAGCGTGACAGAGTAAAGCATTGGGACTCCTACTACCATTCATGTGCAAATTGTGGAGTATTTTTAACATCCCAATCTTGAATATTTCACACTGCCAAATGCATGTCTCATAACTTAAATGCAACATGGATGGAGCATTTGCATTGACCCCAAGACAGAATCAAAAGCCAAAATCAAAGTGAGGTCAAATCAAATCAAACCAAACCAAACCCTCAATTGCAAATACTAAATTAAAAAACATATAAGAAAAAAAAGGGTATCGTACTATTTCTATGATTGATCTAATCTAAACCTTGTATTATTAACAAGTAACATTAAAATAATCAAAAGTAGAAAGTGCAAGATGTGACCATCACAGGATTAAAGGACTTTTTAAATCACTAAGAAATTGAAAAAGTTGACAACTACGGTGTTGGATTAGGTCTACTTGTAAGATTCTCAACCAAGAACATTGTTTTGAAATAAATAAAGGCATTTCTGCAAAAAAAATTTTGGATCAATGATAATTTTGAAGGATTGTATTGGTTATTTCTAAGGTACTAAAAATTTTTTGGTATAATTACAAAAAAAAAAATCATTTTTCAAATATGTACGTGATTTAAAATAAAATAAAATAAACTATCAAGAATATTATGATATTATTTTTTATATTTTAGAATTTTAAATGATTTATGGCACTAAGTTAGTAATTAAGCATTAAAACATATTAATTAGTATTTCTATTATTATTGCAACAAAAAATTCATTAGGACACAAAAGAACAACCCAAACATAGAAAGAAAGTCTCTCTTATTCTCTCAACCTTAAATATCTTTCTATTTTCCTTCTCTATCAGTTTCTACGATTTTTCTTCAAGTCGCCGCACTCTCGATCCAATAAGACGGCAAAAAAGGGAGAAAACCCAACCCTTTCTCTCTCTCTTAAAAAATATATTCAATGGCTATGGCGGCCTTTCGCTTTATCTGCACCTTCCTTGTTCCCAGCTCCCGTTATCTTTCTCTATTCTTTGTTCTTCCCTGATAGCTCTTTTTGTCAACGGCATTCTCTCATTAACCCTAAATTTCTGAATTCTTTCTTTCTTTTGGAAACTGGGTTTTCCAGCTTGGTAGCCTGAACCCAGAGAGCAAGAGAAAAAAGGGGTTTTTTTTTTTTTAAAGCAAGGCTCTGGCAATGGAAGAGCCAGGGCAGTTAAAAAGGGCGTTAATTGACTCAACCGCCGGTGCCATTTCCGGTGGCATTTCCCGGACAGTTACTTCTCCTCTTGATGTTATTAAGATCAGATTCCAGGTAAAAAAGTTTAAGTTTTTGTTTTTGATTTTCTAAGTTTATTTTAATATAGAAGCATTCTGGAATTACTGTAATTTATTGTTGTATTTATGAAATTCTTTTTGGGTTTTTAATGTTCTATGTATAAAACCGCTACCTAAGTTGTTAGGCCTAGTAGAGTGTTAGGTGAATCCAATTGAGTTTTGTTTGTGATGCAGCATTACAATGTATAGCTTCACTTGATAAGTATTAACAAGTAGTGGTGGGATGTAATCGTAATATTTGGTGAAATTTTGACTTTGATGTTAGCTTATTTGGCATACAAATTCATGCCATTGGGTGTCAAACGTCAAGAACAAAACTAAGCCTTTTCCCACCACATGATGCCGGGCTAAATGAATCATATTGCATAATCATGTACTACTTAGGAACATATCCTTGTTAAAAGTCACATTTTCCCTTTATAATTTCCAACCTTGTCCTATTTGGTCATCCTCTTCGTAATCCTCCATTCATTAACGTTTTCTCACCGGAGGAATTTAATGTCTCCTTTATTTTTGTTTAAATGATCTTTAATGTGTTTTTATCATTTTATCCTCAATGTGTGCAACCTCCATCTTGTCCCAACCACACTCATTTATCTTTATATGTTCACACATCAATTGAAGAATTTTCATCTCAGCTACCCTCATTAGTTTCGTTATGTTAATGCTTCGTTGCCCAACATTAAGAAAATTGTTTTTTTTATATGCTGATAGGTTCAATTGGAGCCCACATCTTCATGGGCTTTGCTTCATAGAGATCTTCCAGGATCATCAAAATACACTGGAATGTTTCAAGCAACAAAGGATATACTTAGGGAAGAAGGTTTACCGGTATGAAGATAGATTCACATGTTTGTTTTCTCTTTTACTTTACTGGTTTTGACTGATGATTGATTTATATAAAGAGCTTATTAGTTTGTGCAGTTAGTTGCATTGTTAGTTAACCTTTTCTTTTCTGTATGCTAGTTTGCCTGAAATTCTGTAGATTTGCGGTTTTTTTTATTCAGTATGCTTGCTTATGACAGGGTTTTTGGCGTGGTAATGTCCCAGCTTTACTTATGGTTATGCCATACACTGCCATACAATTTGCGGTGTTACACAAATTGAAAACATTTGCTTCTGGTTCTTCAAAGTCAGGTACTTTACAGTCGACAGTGCCTTTTTCTATGCATGGTGAAAAGTGACAAGTTATCAGTAATCCTATCTTGATAGTAAATTGTGACATTCAGCTAGTTATCATGGAAGCATACAAATTACTTATGGCTTGATGTCCTCCAGTACATATGGTAGATTGGATGACTTGGCTTTATAGTATCAGATGATAGCCTTATGTTGTTTCTTACATTTTGATATGTCGTGGCCTTTTTTTATGATGGTGCAGCGGATCACATTAATATAAGCCCCTACCTGTCTTACATCAGTGGGGCATTAGCAGGTTGTGCCGCTACTGTTGGGTCTTATCCTTTTGATCTTCTACGGACTATATTAGCTTCTCAAGGTGAACCTAAGGTATCAAATTTGACTAATGCTGTGACCTCATTTTCTGCCCTGACAACAATTCTTCCAATAGTGTGAAGGACATGTATATTTGAATCCCTATAAAATTTACAAGTTCATAACCTCTTTACAAATTTTTAATTGTATCGCCGAACTCAAAAAATGATCTGTGAAAATCTCTAGCACTCAAATATCCAATGCATCCTCATGCTTGTTACCAGTGAAAGCTTTGATTTCGCCAAGGTAGTTCGTTTATTTTGCACCTCCTGATTCCGTGTAGATATATCCCAACATGAGATCAGCATTCTTTGATATAATTAGAACTCGTGGCTTCAAAGGATTGTATGCTGGCTTGTCACCAACACTGGTTGAGATCATTCCTTATGCTGGCTTGCAATTTGGCACCTATGATACATTTAAGCGTTGGACCATGGTGAGATTTTTGTTCTCTATGTTGAAGTGATCTTTCCCGTAAATGCTTGGTATAAATCATAGATATTTCCTGTCACCTCTTTGCTCTTTGGAGTGTATTACTTACAAGATAAGGAAACATGTTATTTAACTGATACTTGATGTGGTAATATATTATTTTAACAGAATGATGCATAGAGTATATAACTTATTTGTGGTGGTTTTCATGTTATTGTTTCTTCCAAACTACCTTCATCTGAAACTTGGAATGCTGGTTTAAGAGCACTCTCTGCGGCTGTGGCTAAATGTTAAGAGTATGTTATATAAACTGAAATTTCTTGAATACAATGAAATTATGATTTGCTATTGGTATATGCTTAGTCTTGGTTTAAAAGGTTAAACATATATTTTTTAGAAAATTCTTTTTGACATATGGTTTTGGTTTTTATGTTGATCATCTTAGTCTTGGAATCGGTTAAGGTCTTCCAATACAAGCTCAACCATGGATGATAGCCTTTCAAGTTTTCAACTTTTCATTTGTGGGCTAGCAGCTGGTACCTGTGCGAAACTTGTCTGTCATCCGCTTGATGTAGTCAAGAAAAGGTTCCAGGTAGATCTCTGGCCTTCTTGAAACCTATGATGCAGCATCACTCAAATCAGTGAATTTGGGGGTTAGATTAATGTCTATTTCTGTCAGAACTAGTAGCCAAGCTGTTAGATATCTTTGCTCATTTTCTTTTAAATAGTGTGAAAGTAAATTGGATTTTTTTAACTTTGTTGTTTTTGGTTGTTGCAGATTGAAGGTCTACAGAGGCACCCAAAGTATGGTGCTCGAGTAGAACATCATGCTTATAGGAACATGTTTGATGCCTTACGTCGAATCTTGCAGTTAGAGGGTTGGCATGGTCTTTATAAGGGAATTGTTCCATCAACAATCAAAGCTGCACCCGCTGGTGCTGTAACATTTGTGGCTTATGAGTTTACATCAGATTGGTTAGAGTCCATTTTGACTTGAACCTAACCTGGATTTTCATTTTTGGTTTCCTATCTGTTACACAATCCATTCTTTTTCCATGGATTTTTTGAAAAAGCCCTCATAGGAGAATAGGAAAGGGGTAATCATAATATTACGTTCAATTTTGCCATTATTTACGGGCACTAAGTTCATAAAGTACAAATTCAAGGGGTGAAATCAAGATGTAGAGCAGAATAACTTTTTGTAGCACTTTCTCAAATTAGAAATGCTTTTTCTTTTTTCCCACTGGACTTGCATTGGTCTCTCACTGCATTTATGCAAACCACTGAATTCCCAGCATGTACAGCCGCCATATGGTAACTTGTACATCAAATTTGCATCATCTTAGCAAAGCTTTAACCATTTAACATTTTCGGAATCATCTCCTTGCCAAGGGATTAGTAATGCTGAAAATTTTTCAGTTTTACATTTTCTATTAGCTTATGCATGCAATTCATTGTTATACTTGATTCTGATACAAAATTAGTTGTGCCCTCCTTACTTAAATGATTCCAAGGCTTACGACCTCCGGAACTGTAAGATGATTCCAGGATCATTGTAACAACACCTATTCCTTTCATTCAAAAAAAAAAAAAAGGAAAAATAAAACATCCTAAATTACATCATACAGGGTACAATTCATATCAAAGTGAAATGCAAAACACATCCTCTACTGTTTCTCTCTATATGCTGAGGAATATCAACCATTTTGTCAGATGATAGAGACCTCAAAAATTTTTCTCCACACAGAAAATCCAAATCGTAGTTCATAAGAGCAAATGAAAGTCAGTTGTCTTTATTATTACTTTTTCTGTTTAGTGCTGTCCTCTGGGGGCAGGGACATGAATTGCAAGATCCTTTGGACCAGCGCAGCATCCAGACTGAACTTCTCTGCAATCTGGTGAACATCCATCGGGCCATCGTGATCATCAGCCTTGCCCTGATGTAGAAGCATGATGTGGCGTAGCTGTTTCACGTTCAAGGTTCCGGAAGGTACAGGCCTTTCTTCATACCTTCCAGAATCCGGCGTTGTATTCCGCAATTTTGGCAAGGGCCTATTGGGCTTTTCGGCCACAAATGCCTGTAATATGGTAGAGTAATTATTAACCAATATTTAAAAATGCTATAATCATGGCATAGAATTCTCTTGTCCAATAAACATTAACTGATAAAAAACAGTATTCTATTGGTTGTCTAAACCAAAAATGTAATATTCACATTAAAAGACTCAAAGAGGAAGGCCAACGGACAAACCAATACCACCCCATCAAGAACAAGTGTACTCATTTCGCTAAAAGAGTGGTAAACTATAGACTTGTTAATGAGCATTTCTTCACATTAGCCACTCATCTATCTGCCTGAATCCATATCATAGCATATTGGCATGGAGTGAAAACAGGACATACCCCATTTCTAATGGAGGTCTAAAGTTCATCAAAAGCTCCAAACTTGGTCCTGATTGATATGACACTAGAAGTTGAATAAACACAGAGGCGGAGAGTTTAAATAGGAAATCAAGAATGGCGAGACGTGGTAAAACTCACAATTATAAAAAAAAAAAAAAAGGAAAAACAAAAGGGTGATGCCATATGGACTACGGATATTCACTTTCTTAAATTGAAGAAAAAAGGGCCATCAGCCAGAGGGGCCGAATGAGTAATAGTGCTTAAGATTGTGGCTAAGCCAACAGCCTTCTTGACAATGAACTTGTAATTCTAGCACTTGGCAATTCAAAGACCTTTACAATTACCCCAGACAAGGGCCATCAGCCAGAGGGGCCGAATGAGTAATAGTGCTTAAGATTGTGGCTAAGCCAACAGCCTTCTTGACAATGAACTTGTAATTCTAGCACTTGGCAATTCAAAGACCTTTACAATTACCCCAGACAATTTCAGTGATTCAATTCTTTATACAAATAGTTCCCCACTTTACCCTACGAATGCCTCCACTTTCCATTTCCTTCACGGAGAAACATTCCAAAAAATAAAAGAACATGCAGTCAATCCTCTATAAGGCATTGTTTTGAACACCATTACAGCTATAGATTTCTTTTTTGACTGAGCAGCTATTGATTAAAAACAAATAAAGCAGCTTGAATGAACTGACCTCACCCATCTCAAGTTTGCCACCAGGCTTGGCTGAAATCCTACCCACCATTTGACTAAGCATTGCATCATACTTTGGATCTCTTTCTTCCAGTACATTCTCAGGATTGCTTCTAGAAGCTCTTTCTTTAAACCCAACAAAATTTCAATTCAATCACCCATCCAAACATAATAAAAGAAATTTCCAACTTTCATTAATTTGAGTGGGGAAATCACTTACCATGATCAAGATTATCATACTGGGAAACTCTGGAGATCTTCTCCTTATCGGTGGGACCCAAAGGTCTTCTGGGTTTTATGGGATGTGATTGGTCCACGGACCGAATCCTACCAGTCGCTCGACGAAATGCTTGACCCATCTCACCGTCCTTGTTTCAGTTGTTTCTCCCTCCTTTCTTTATTTAACGTTTCACTTTCACGCATAAAAGAAAAAACCCAGATTCATTATCTTGCTTTTTAAATCATTGATTGTTCGCCAAAACTGTACGGACACTAAAACCCTACTCCTGAGCTTCTGGGTTTTGGGTTCTTGGCTTTTTATTCAGAATCGAGAGAGAGAGGAATGGAGAAAGGAGCTAGAGAGAGAAAGAGAGAGAGAGAGAGACTGAGGAAAAGAGGTTGTGTGGCGACCACGCGCTGGTTTATTTAATAAGACAGAGCGAGAGCGGCAGTTGATTCTGGTTTGCAACGTGGTGGTTTTCTAGCACACCACGTCAGTCGCTTGTTGCCTTACCTTAATTACAACAAAATTTTTTTTTTCATTTTTTATATAAACAAACATATTTCTTGGATTGCATGCATGTATATAACTTTGTAATGCAAATTGGCCTTAAAAAGGATAGGTAAACTACCGGCCAACTCATGTTTAAACATGGTGCTTACTAAAGGTTTTCAAAGAGAAACAAATGAAAAGTTGAATAATAATACAGCAGTCTTATGAGCACACTTGATCAAATTCTGAGGAGAAGATTGAGTCTGCCACCCCAATTTGTTATGGCAGTCAAGTTCCGATTGCTGGACAAATAATCAAGAACACTGCCTCTGTGTGTACACTAGGAATGGAAAAAAGTATTCATCATGTCAAAAAAGAAAAAAAAGCTACAACTGGTTGGTTTCTAATCTCCTTCCTGACTCTCAGTACTTACAGATATCGCTTTGTTTTGATGTCTTTCTCCAGTTTGAAAAGTGTTCATCGATCATTGCATCTGCTGGCTTATGTGTTACAGCAGTTGGGAAGGATTAGTAAAGGAATTTATAGCAGCCAGAAAAGGCACTCCTTCCTGCAGACATTATGGGAAGAATGTTGGTTGAAGTTTCATTCTTATGTCAAGTCGGCAAATTTCTCGTTCTTATGAGACACCAAGATTTGAGTCCACTTCCATTTGTGTCAAGTCGGAAGTTTGCTCCATGACACCATTGCCATTGCACATGCCATTTCCATTTACCTCTGCTTTGAAATCCACCATACCATCTCCATAATTCTCAGAAAATTTGGCCCCACCGTGAGCTCGTCGAGAAGGTCTTGATAAGGAATTTTCCCGTGCAAAACCATCCCTACGTTTTCGCTTCTGCGTTGTACTTAGAAATCCACAAGCAAGAGCTTCAAGTGCTTTGGTGGTTGGAGGCCGATTTCTGGTGCTCTGTCTCCGAGCATTCATGTTAGGCTGCAGCTCAGAGCTGGGCATGCAAGAAGTGGCTTCCGGTTGACTGGCATTGTTGGGCTGACTGCTTGGGTTTTCATGTTCTCTTTCTGTCACTTCACCCATGAAAGGCTCATCAGTTTCACCATCCAGAAGAACAGGTAAGTTCAAGTCAATTAGCGTGCGGTGTTGAAGTTCCTCATGAGTTTGTTCAGCACCAGCACAAGTACTTCTGAGAATGCCTTCACCTCTAATAGTTGGACTACCTTTGGATGAACTGGCAGATGACAATTGCTGCTCAACTGGATCTACTTCAGAGGGGATCTCTGCACTGCCATCAGGATTCCCTTCACAGCAACTGGCCTCCTTTTGTTTTAATCCAGGAGATACCGAGATAATTTTTCCCTTCTGGGTTGTCTCTTTGCGATTACATGCAGTCAATTTCCGCCGTCGCTTAGTAACAGGGGCTAGATCATTTTTATTGTCATTTTTTATTCTCTGGTGTGGTTGGTTCTTCATAGCCTTTCTTGGCTGCATGCCATTGCAGACCTTTGTTTTTGGGTCCTTTGGGATGGCAGGTACACTAGTAGAAGGTTGACCATCAACTGAAAACTTATTGTTTGAAGCATTTCCATCAGGATACACTTCCCTATCATGATTAATCTCCGAGGGTTTCAAACCATTAGTTTCAACTCTACCAGAACATGAAGTATCAGCCAAATCAGATTCATCTATAAGCTCCTCAGAAGTACTTTCTTCAGAATCACCTAAGGAGTTGCAATTGTTCATTTCAATGGGTAAGCTTCTGAGTTCTCTCACCTTGAATTTTCCTCCATCATCCAAACTTGTATCCACAACAGTAAATGTCATGACATCTGCTCCACGATTTGGGATTCGGGGCTTGAGATAACAGTGACGTTGCCGATTAGGAAGATCTTCTCTGTCAGATTCAGCTCCATTTTCTTCTTTGCTACTATCTCCCTTATCTGCCCCTATTTCAAGTTCAAGAAGCCCTGGGTCTGAAGCAACCCTACTCAAGACATCACTGATGGAATCAAAATAGTGGTCTCCTTTCACCAGTTTCCTTCTGGAAAACTTCTTAACACCAGGGATAAGAAAAACCAAAGAGTGCTTGGAACCAGCGGTATACCCTTGACTAGCAGGCTGCTCTGAGTGCCACCCCCTTGCAAGCAAACGAGGCCAAACAGCTTCCCAGAACAGATCATTTGATCGGGCTTTGCTTAACCGGTAGTTTCCTGTTAGAAAGTTGATAATCTCCAAGGGTGTAAGAGCAGAACATGCTTTGCCAACAGGTATTTCTGGACGGACAGGAGCAACTTGATTGGCTTTCATAGGCTCCAAGTTCATGCCTGTGAGATCTTCCTTCCCTTTACCAATCCCGACTGCACTGACAAGAGCATTTAACCCAACTGTAGCCTTTAAAGTGAATACATATTCCTCTAGCAATATTTTTCCCTCTCCAAATGCCTTGGAAACCTACCAATCGATCGAATAATCACAATAAATTATAGGCAATTCTCTGCTCTAATGGGGCAGACAACAAAGTACAATATTGTAGCTGCACAATGATAGTCATAAAAATCTACCATATCTAGCATGAAAAAAGGTTCCTTACTGGAACAAGTTATCAAAGATAAAAGAATTTATCGGAAACTAAAGTTATAAGGAAAATGATAATACAGTCATAAGCAGAAAATGCTTCCTAAAATACCTCCGGTAAAGTATTTTGGCATTCCTCTGACATGTTGGGAAGCAAACGAGCTAATAACTCCTGTTGCCTCCATCCTGTAAATATTCTCTGTCCATATATACACCTTCTTCTTCTCATTTTCCGGCACTCTGACCATCTGCAGTATTTCTCTGACCCATAAAATTTCCCATAATAGAATGAAAGTATATCCCTCATCTTTTTACTCTCAACAAACTTCTTCACCAGAACAAGATTCTTCCCAAAAATATATAGACCAAGGAGAAAACTTGCTTCTTCTAAATCGTTCCAGGCATCACTTGGGGTACCTGGAACTGCAAAATAACCTTGCCCTTGATGCTTCTGATGCATTTCAATCTTCATTTCCTGCTCCAAAGCTAGTTTCTCTGATTCTTGAAACTTTATCCCATCATCAGGTGTAATATCCATAGCCTCAAGTTTAGCAATTAAGTCACCATTTTCTCTATGGGTCTCTAGGGTGCATTCAGATTTTACAGACTCATTTTTATCGGACAGATCAATAGAATTAACAGGAGTTTTGGCAGGTTCATGCTTAATTTTCCCAACTTCCATGCTGACCCACATTATTGACACGGGTAATCCCGTCAGACGTTCATAAGACACAACAGAGCTTTTTACATCAGTAGGGTGGTCTGTCAGCAAGAGAGGATCAGATTCCGTTATTAAGGGTGGAATTTCAACCTGATACTGATCTCCTACTCGAGGTAGGACCTCTGGATCTTCAAAGACATTATAAGTATCCAGAGATACTGCAGAGAGTGATTGCTCATTAGATGCATCTTCAGTGCAATTCCCAAAATGATTTATTTCAGCTACATCCATCTGCCACATAATTAATATAAACCAGATCATTATTTCGCTTTCAGGAACAAGAGAAAACATAAGCATCCACCTAACATGAGAGTCTAATATTTGTTCTTAATGAAGTTTTTTTATCAAGATGCTACAGAAAATTAAACTCGAGGAAAGCACAGGCTCAAACTTGTAAAAGCACCCGTCCTCAACCGTTCATCTTGTTAAACTGCCAATGCCAGCTAAAGAATCCACAGAAACAACTATCCGTAATGCCAAAATTTTATAGTGTTGTTAAAAAATTTCAGACGTTCCTTCTGAAATACCACCTACATTTTTCCAGACACCTTGAGCCATTTTCATCTATATTAATCTCTATTTCAAAAAAAAAAAATCTTATTCTAAAGAATATTATTATATCCTGAGCTTTTGATCATACTGGACAAGAGCAAAAACATTTAGTCATTTCAGGTTAAATTAAACTTGACAAAGAAAATGAATAAGCAAATCACATAAACTATGTGAATTGCATATATATTATATATCTTTCATATAATAAGTGATTAACTCTCAACTCTTCGCTGCAAGGCAGAATAAAAAAAATACCATAGTTTCAAATTCATACCAATTATTTTTCAAAGAAAAAAAAACAATTAACATTGGAGCATAGCCAATGACTAATGCTAAATAAGTTTTTCCACCCCCACCATAAACAATAGGCCATTGAAGCAATTCTTTCCTAGATGAAACAGTACTTTGAAAAAAAAAAGAAAAAGAAAAAGAAATTCTAAATATGTTCAGCTATTGAATACTGCATTTATTCAAGACGAAGATCATAGAAAAGAAGAAAATACTTAACAAATTCCAGGAAAGTAACCCATACCAACCAAAAAAAGAAAAGAAAAAGAAAGATAGAAAAGAAACTATGATAGATATAGCTATCAGGCTGCTAAAGGAACCGACCCCAGATCCACTTTCGAGCCAAAAATGAAGAATAAAACAATCCCATATCACAATACATTGAAACATAACTGCCCATAAAGCACATTTACCTTAAACACCAAACACAAAGCAATCTTAACTGAAGTAAACAACATTCAAACTCCAAAAAAATCTAACCAAAAAACCAAGCCCAACCCAACACAAAACAAAAAAGAAAATACCAGTAGCAGTAATTCCAATACGATCCCAAACCAAAAAAATTCAACTTCTTTAACCCTTTATCACCATACCAAGAACTTAAACTTTAAAGTCATGTACAACAAGCAAAGCACAATACATACCGAAAATAAATAAAAGAAAAACAAACAATAACAAAAAATAGAAACCAAGGACAACAAGAAAATAAGAAAGCAAAGAATAAATTTAGTGTTACCTTCATGGGAAGACTTAACGATAAACTCAACAACACGTGAAAAGCCC